AAAAACAATGGTCCATCAGCTGATGTGACCTTTTGTATATTGAAACTAAAATGATTGGTTTTGCTAGTTGTTGAGTGCTGAAAGCCAGGTATCTGTGTTACAGCTGCAGTGTGCTGTGTCAGGCTGCTAAGCAGACTTAATTGTAATAATACCCATGTCCCTCCGGGATACAGTCGTGGTCCTCTAAAGCTGAAGGAAGGTGCATAGAGTCCTTTCTTGTTTTGTTGTTTATGAATGTCGCTAGTAACTTCTCTATCAGCTCTGTTTCATAGGTTCAAGTTGATAATGATTCTGATGTTGTTCTTGGTGTGTGACAGGTCTAGCAGACAGAGATAATGGTGGAAGAAGGTGGTAGGGGTTGATGTTGAAGGTCACACCAACCTTCCTCTCCAGGTTTTTCTGTCACACTTCTCAGTGTGGGATGATTGCTACATCACTGTGATAACAAGCATTGCTATGGCTATGGAGGCAGACCCACACAGGAGGCAGACCACAGACCACAGGAAGAGGACCCACAGACCACGACGCCAGGAGGTGACCCACAGGAAGACCACATGGAGGCAGGACCCAGCCAGCAGGACCACAGGAAGAAAGACCACAGGAAAGACCACACAGAGGTAGACGAAAAGGAGGCAGTGACCATTGTATGAAAAGACCCACACAGACCACACAGACCACACAGACATCCACACACAGGACCACCACACAGACCACAGGAGGTCCACCACAGACCCACACAGACCACTGGAGGCCAGACCCACAGGAAGGACCACACACGGACCCACTGGGTCCCTGGATCCACACAGAACCACACAGACCACACAGACCACCCCTGGACACACCAGGCAGACCACACAGGACCACCACTGGCACCCTGGATCCACCACAGACCACACAGAGGCAGACCACAGGCATGCACAGGAGGCAGGCACCCACAGGCATGACACAGGAGGCAGTGACCCACACAGGAAGACCATTCCCAGAAAGACCACAGGCATCCACACAGAGGCAGACCACAGGAAGGAGGCAGTGACCCACAGGAGGTGACCACAGACACACAGAAAGACCATCAGTATAAACAGACAGTGACCCACAGGGCAGCATCCATTGTGTATGGTGGTGTGTAGCAGTATCTATTGTGTATGGTGTTGTGAGCAGTATCTATTGTGTATATGTGTATGTGAGGCAGTATCTATTGTGTATGATGCTGTGCAGGCAGAGGCAGTATCTATTGTGTATGGTGTTGTGAGGCAGTATCTATTGTGTATGATGCTGTGAGGCAGTATCTATTGTGTATGGTGTCAGTATGGCAGCATCTATTGTGTATGGTGGTGTGATAGCAGTATCTATTGTGTATGATGCTGTGATGCCAGCATCTATTGTATCTATTGTGTATGATGTTGTGAGGCAGCATATCTATTGTGTATGGTGGTGTGAAGCAGTATCTATTGTGTATGGTGTTGTGAGGCAGTATCTATTGTGTATGAATGTGTGTGTGAGGCAGTATCTATTGTGTATGGTGTTGTGAGGCAGTATCCATTGTGTATGGTGTAGTGCAGCATCTATGTGTGGTGTTGTGAGCAGTATCTATTGTGTATGGTGTTATCTATTGTGTATCTATTGTGTATGGTGTGTGTATCAGTATCTATTGTGCATGTATGGTGGTGTGTAGCAGTATCTATTGTGTATGGTGTAGCAGTATCATGTGATGCTGTGCAGCATCTATTGTGTATGGTGTTGTGAGGCAGTATCTATTGTGTATGATGCAGTGAGGCCAGTATCTATTATTGTGATGTAGCAGACTATTGTGTATGGTGGTGTGTGGGAGCCTAGCAGTATCTATTGTGTAGCAGTATCTATTGTGTATGGTGGTGTGAGCAGTATCTATTGTGTGTATGGTGCTGTGAGGCAGCATCTATTGTGTATGGTGTTGTGTGAGGCAGTATCTATTGTGTATGATGGTGTGAGGAGAGCAGTATCCATTGTGTATGGTGCTGTGAGGCAGCATCTATTGTGTATGGTGCTGTGAGGCAGCATCTTGTGTATGGTGGTGTGAGGCAGTATCTATTGTGTATGGTGTGTGGATCTATTGTGTATGGTGTTGTGAGGCAGTATCTATTGTGTATGATGTTGTGAGGCAGTATCTATTGTGTATGGTGCAGTGAGGCAGTATCTATGTGTATGGTGTTGTGAGGCAGTATCATCCATTATGTATGGTGTGTGAGCAGTATCTATTGTGTATGGTGTTGTGTAGCAGCATCTATTGTGTATGGTGTTGGAGAGGCAGCATCCATTGTGTGTGGTGAGGCAGTATCTATTGTGTATGGTGTTGTGAGGCAGTATCTATCCATGTAGCAGTATCTATTGTGTATGGTGGTGTGAGGCAGTATCTATTGTGTATGGTGCTGTAGAGGCAGCATCTATTGTGTATGGTGTGTGTAGCAGTATCTATTGTGTATGGTGCTTGTGAGGCAGTATCTATTGTGTATGGTGTTGTGAGGCAGTATCTATTGTGTATGATGCTGTGAGGCAGCATCTATTGTGTATGGTCTATTGTGTATGGTGTTGTGAGGCAGTATCTATTGTGTATGGTGTGTGAGGCAGTATCTATTGTGTATGGTGTTGTGAGGCAGTATCTATTGTGTATGGTGTTGTGAGGCAGTATCTATTGTGTATGGTGTTGTGAGGCAGTATCTATTGTGTATGGTGGTGTGAGGCAGTATCTATTGTGTATGATGTGTGTAGGCAGTATCTATTGTGTATGGTGTTGTGAGGCAGTATCTATTGTGTATGGTGTTGTGAAGCAGTATCTTGTGAGCAGTATCTATTGTGTATGGTGTTGTGAGGCAGTATCTATTGTGTATGGTGCTGTGAGGCAGTATCTATTGTGTATGGTGTTGTGAGGCAGTATCTATTGTGTATGGTGCTGTGAGGCAGTATCTATTGTGTAGCAGTATCTATTGTGTATGGTGTTGTGAGGCAGTATCTATTGTGTATGGTGTTGTGAGGCATCTATTATCTATTGTGTATGGTGTTGTGAGGCAGTATCTATTGTGTATGGTGCTGTGTGAGGCAGTATCTATTGTGTATGGTGTTGTGAGGCAGTATCTATTGTGTATGTATGGTGTTGTGAGGCAGTATCTATTGTGTATGATGTATGTGTGTAGCAGCATCTATTGTATATGTGTTGTGAGGCAGTATCTATTGTATTGTGTGTGTATGGTGTTGTATCTATTGTGTATGGTGTTGTGAAGTAGTATCTATTGTGTAGCAGTATCTATTGTGTATGGTGGTGTGTAGCAGTATCTATTGTGTATGATGCTGTGAGGCAGTATCTATTGTGTATGGTGTTGTGAGGCAGTATCTATTGTGTATGATGCTGTGAGGCAGTATCTATTGTGTATCAGTATCTATTGTGTATGGTGTTGTGAAGCAGTATCTATTGTGTATGGTGTTGTGAGGCAGTATCTATTGTGTATGGTGTTGTAGCAGTATCTATTGTGTATGGTGTTGTGAGGCAGTATCTATTGTGTATGGTGGTGTGTAGCAGTATCTATTGTGTATGGTGTTGTGTAGCAGTATCTATTGTGTATGGTGTTGTGAGGCAGTATCTATTGTGTATGGTGTTGTGAGGCAGTATCTATTGTGTATGGTGTTGTGAGGCAGTATCTATTGTGTATGATGTTGTGAGGCAGTATCTATTGTGTATGGTGTTGTGAGGCAGTATCTATTGTGTATGGTGCTGTGTGGCAGTATCTATTGTGTATGGTGTTGTGAAGCAGTATCTATTGTGTATGATGCTGTGAGGCAGTATCTATTGTGTATGGTGTTGTGAGGCAGTATCTATTGTGTATGGTGTTGTGAGGCAGTATCTATTGTGTATGGTGTTGTGAAGCAGTATCAATTGTGTGGCAGTATCTATTGTGTATGGTGTTGTGAAGCAGTATCTATTGTGTATGATGCTGTGAGGCAGTATCTATTGTGTAGCAGTATCTATTGTGTATGGTGTTGTGAAGCAGTATCTATTGTGTATGGTGGTGTGTAGCAGTATCTATTGTGTATGGTGGTGTGTAGCAGTATCTGTTATGTATGATGCTGTGAGGCAGTATCTATTGTGTATGGTGTTGTGAAGCAGTATCTATTGTGTATGATGCTGTGAGGCAGTATCTATTGTGTATGGTGTTGTGTAGCAGTATCTATTGTGTATGATGCTGTGAGGCAGTATCTATTGTGTATGAGGCAGTATCTATTGTGTATGGTGTTGTGAAGCAGTATCTATTGTGTATGGTGTTGTGTAGCAGTATCTATTGTGTATTGTGGTGTGTAGCAGTATCTGTTATGTATGATGCTGTGAGGCAGTATCTATTGTGTATGGTGTTGTGAAGCAGTATCTATTGTGTATGGTGTTGTGAGGCAGTATCTATTGTGTATGATGCTGTGAGGCAGTATCTATTGTGTATGGTGGTGTGTAGCAGTATCTATTGTGTATGATGCTGTGTGGCAGTATCTATTGTGTATGGTGTTGTGAAGCAGTATCTATTGTGTATGATGCTGTGAGGCAGTATCTATTGTGTATGGTGTTGTGAAGCAGTATCTATTGTGTATGATGCTGTGAGGCAGTATCTTATGTGTAGCAGTATCTATTGTGTATGGTGTTGTGAAGCAGTATCTGTTGTGTATGGTGGTGTGTAGCAGTATTTATTGTGTATGGTGGTGTATAGCAGTATCTATTGTGTATGGTGGTGTATAGCAGTATCTATTGTGTATGGTGGTGTGAGGCAGTATCTATTGTGTATGGTGGTGTGTAGCAGTATCTATTGTGTATGATGGTGTGTAGCAGTATCTATTGTGTATGGTGTTGTGTAGCAGTGTCTATTGTGTATGGTGGTGTGTGGCAGTATCTATTGTGTAGCAGTATCTATTGTGTATGGTGTTGTGTAGCAGTATCTTTTGTGTATGATGCTGTGAGGCAGTATCTATTGTGTATGGTGATGTTCCAGGTGACAGCGACTGGTCTGACTGTGTCTGGAGAACGACGTGCATATACAGCAACATATGTCAACTATCAGACCATCATGTGCACCCTGCCAGCCCTGCATAGCTACTCTCTTGCAATAAGTAACAACGGTATAATCTTCAGTGAGACCTTCAAAATCCTCATCCTCAACAGTGTATGTGCTACAAGAAACAGTGACGGACAAGTTGTATTGGAGGTGATTCAGTATGATTCATTCCTAAATTGCTGATATTCTATTCTGAAATATACACAAAATAGAAAGGATTTCTTTGATGATTTTCTAGGGGCACTATTAAAAGTATTTTTTTGTGGTACTGAGACCATTCATTTCATTGTATAAGTTGTGTGTTACTGTGCAGCCCAACTCCTGCTTCATCAACAACACCTGCTACACTTTGGACAATGTAAACCCAACCAACACCTCCCTTGTGTGTCAGCCTGCTCTTGACCAGACACAGTGGTCAGCCAAACAAGGTATGTTCCATCCCCCACATTGAAGCAGCTACCTTTCAGAAACATTAGGAGATCAAGTTTGAAATTTTCTGATACCCTAAGCTGTATTTTAGTGCTGTGTTTACATATTATGTGACAAGATGTGTTTTGCAGATTACCCATCCATTAGGCAGCCTCGTTTGGAGACCAAGACTGTTGCTGAAAGCCCATACTTCCAAGTAGTGTGTAAATTTGACATGGAGGAGGGAGTGCGGTACAGTGTTACATGGCTTGCAGGCAATGACACAGTCAGCGACTTTGGACCATTCGATGAAGGCATCTCAAGTTTGGATTCAGAAATGCTGACAAACTTCACAGTTGGAGATACAGTGAGTTCTTCTGATTAATGTATCTGATAAACATTAGATGTCCTCTCAAATCACAGTTAACATTTTCATTTTGTTAACAGTCATATGTGCCATGCCATGGGTGGATCCAGAGGCTACATTATTAAACTATCGTGAAAGTGGTTGAAAATTAACTGTGCACTCCTCCCTTTCCCAAAAAGCTGTATCCACCCCCGTGTGCAAATACATTGTTAGAATTAAATCTATACGTAGCCATTTAAAATAACCTGTGTCTGCTTGGCTTTGTTCAACTGTCATATTTGAGCCATAGTCTCCCTCAGCTCAGCAAGTTTTCAAGACATCAATGTGCAATCAGCGACATGAATGTGTTCTGCAAAGGAATCCAACAGTAGCACCTATCATTCTTCATCAACCATCTGGAAAACAATGGTCCATCAGCGGATGTGACCTTTTGGTATATTGAAACTAAAATGATTGGTTTGCCAGTTGTTGAGTGCTGAAAGCCAGGTATTCTGTGTTACAGCTGCAGTGTGCTGTGTCAGGCTGCTACAGACTTAACTGTAATAACACCATGTCCCCACTCCGATACAGTGTGGTCCTCAAAGCTGAAGTGAAGGTATGAGTCCTTTCTTGTGTTTTGCTGTTTATGAATGTCAGTTAGTAACTTCTCTATCAGTTCGCTTCATAGGTTCAAGTTGATAATGATTCTGATGTTGTTTTGGTGTGTGACAGGTTCAGCAGACAGAGATAATGGTGGAAGAAGGTGGTGAAGCTGAGATGCTGAAGGTCACATCAACCTTCCCTCCAGGTTTCTTCTGTCACAATTTCTCAGTGTGGGATGACTGCTACATCACTGTGACAACAAGCATTGCCATGGCCAAGGAGTTGACTTGTCAGGAGGAGCCCTTGGTGCAGGCTGTCATAGGCTATGACCAGGAGGAATTTGGTGTACCTTGTGGCAAGAGAATCACCAACAGTAACTGGCAGACAGGTGTAATAATCCTTGTCAAAGCTAAAGTGGACTCTCCGTTCAGAGATGGGGACCAACATAGAAAGCTCAACGTTCATGTAGCTCTTAGGACTGGAGATATGAGCATCACAAACAACACTCTTGACCAAATCAAGGTATGCTTGGCTAGACTACATACACAGCATAGTGTGGCTAACTGTTTAACACTGTTAGTTTTCCGATAACCTCTTACATGTATTTGGTCATATGTTACATGTGTGCTTAATATCAGACATGTGTCATCTTTCACACTCTACTATTTCAGCTCACAGTGAAGGATAAGGATAGAAAGGCTGTTTGTAAATCTATCAATGATCCTCACATAACTTCCATCGACGGAAAGTGAGTATAGTTTGATAAGTATTTATTTTCTCCTCAAAGGCTGTTTTCATGTTATTCGATAGAAATCTCTAAAACATAGGCTTTTAACTTGTCTGGCCCCATAGTGGCTTTTACAGAAGGATTTATACCAACAATTCTGACAAGTCCTCTGCCTCCAGTACATTAATGCCATAAATTCTGTATTTATGCTGCAATTACACTAAAACTAAACTTACAGGTTTCCAACAGAAGTCCACTTTACTGTCAAGAATACACAACTAGTCATCCCAACAGTAGCACAATCAGCTTACAGCTATTCTTTGTGTAAAGACTTGAAAACCCTCAAGTCTTTCCTGTGTGTCATAAAGCCAACACTTCCTATGCAGCTTCTCCCCTGTAGCACATTGTTATGTAGTAACACCAGTTCTAGCTTATTTCAGATAACCACATTTTCACAAGAGTATTTGTTGATATTTGGTGATGTTCATTCTCCAATGGTGTCATCTGCTCTTGTGTCATGAGAAGCAAACAAAAAAGAATATCGCTTCTCATCATAAAGCCAGCTACAGCATCACTCATCAGCCTACTACTCCCTGCTGTGTAAAACTCCTACCAACATCCAAATTAACATGTTAGAGCAAATGTTTACTCAACAAACTCCCATCCAAGAGTCCACATGAAGAACAGTTACATGCAGGGCCAAACCAGCCTTCTTCTTCTGCAAGCGCCACCACAATACGGGCTCAAGAAGGTTTACTTCACATGTCATTTTCACAGGCAGAAGGTTCCAATGCTGAAATGCTTACAGCAGATACAGCTCAGGAGACTTTGCCAAGCACAGAGGCCATATGGGGGCAAAGTTAGTTGCAGAACCATATCTTCTATATTCTACTACACAATAGCTGTGCAGCCTGTGGATGGTGCTCCAAACAGGGCATGTAATCACATCTCCATCTGGTTCACCACCACATACAAATACTTCAATGACATTTAAGGACAAACACAACTAGTACTGGAACTCAACTCCTGACTTGTCTGAAAATTCCTCTTTCACCCATCCAAATCAGAAGTTACCCAGGACATTGGTTTTCTACACACACCAGAGGATTGCTTTAGCTCAGTGTTCCTGATTATTAAATTACATGTATTGTATTTGAGCCAGTGTTAAATGTCTTTATGAGGCAAATATAGCTATCCCCAGGACAAGACATACAGAGGCAGGTTAAAGTTGCATCTTCTACAAATGTGGATCATTACTGTTACAAATCATACTCTGGGCACTCTAATTCACACTTGCCATACATTCCAACTGCCTCCAGTTGACTGTTCATCATGATGATCATGTCCTGGCATTCCTGTGGTCCACTTGCCACCAGCCAATCATCAGATACTATAGAATCAGGGTTCCACTTAGACAGTCTATTGATTCAGTGCTTATGGAACATCATTGTTCTAAGATTATTGCCTCCACTGCTTCAGAAGTACTCTCACCACCCCGATCATCTGTCTATAGTTGATGGGTGTTGGAAAAGACATGAGTCGTTACTACTTTTGTGTGTGGAAGAGCTGTAAGATGACCATGCTAAAGTCTTCCAGGCCCTTTACAATAATTCTGGAGTCCAGATTGCCTACCCTTAAAATTAAGAATTGTTCTTGGTTCATTTCATGTATCTATTTTTTTGTAGATATATATAGGATAGCTTTATTCATGGAACTAAATGTAAATCTAACAGTGGTAGTGTATAGTTTACAGTGAAAAGGACTTCTGTTGAAAATCTGAAAGTTCAGTTGAAACCAGAATACAGCAGTCGCTGAAGTACATGCAGTACTCTTAGACTTATGAACAATACTAACTATTGTTTGATATTTAAAAGTTCTTCACTTGTACCTCAATGGATTTAACTATTTGTTCTCATATCATGCAGGAAATACTGTTGGAATTAATCATAAGAAATTCCATATTCCATTTAGGCTTTGACATCCTAAATATTGTGCATATTATGTTTCCAGGAAATTCAATGTGTTTTTTTGAGGGAGAATTCATACTGTACATCAACAAGAAAAGAGACTATGAGGTAAGAAGGTTGAGTAGTGCACAATGACATATGTTAGAGCTACAAGTTGACAGCTGCTTTTGAGAACAATTTACATGCAGCTTTCAAAACATGTCATGAAGCTACTGTGTTGATGTTTAAAGTTAAATCTGCCTTTGTGTGTTTAGGTTCGCACGATGTATCAGCGTTGTGGCAAGGGTATGTCAGCCTCGTGTAACTGTGGAGTTGCTGTGAGAGCTGGCGATGATGTATTTGTCTTTGACCGGTGTAGAAGGAAAGGATCCAAGAAGACTCCGATGATAGTCCGCAGCTATGTCCAAGGCACTCTAACACCAGGCATGAGGATAATCAAATATTCTGGGGGGACGTGCCTATAAGGTGAGAACAGCCTTTTGGAACTGAACCTTGGGAGCATACAGTAACATGCATTATGTATTTTGGTTTGAGAATTTAACCAGGTATAAAGGACATTTCTCATGCTTAATTTACAAACACACAGGAACATCAAGGTACTGCCTCTTTATGTCACCATGTTGTTGATCATCTAAAACGATAACGCTGGAAAACTTCCTCATCCCTATAACATGTTAGAGGGTTGAATCTATCCCTTCATTTTCTTGGTATTTGCTCTTTCCTTTTATGCTGTCTGTCAAAACGTGTATGACCTCCGCCATGTTTGCTAGGAATAAAATTGACTTAAGACTGGTAGGTAGCAGTCTCAGGATTTAAGACCAAAAATGATCTGAGTCTTAACTTTTAAGTTAAAAAAATGTATGTGATCCCCGATTTAGATTGTTTTGGACTTAAGATCAAAATGACAGATCTAAGTAACTTTCATGATCCCGGGGCCAGATTCTGTGCTATTGTTTTGCTCCTGTCCGTTTGTTTTGTACATTCATACTAAGTGTTAACTAATGGATGCATGTTTTACCTGTCATTAAGGCCTGCTTTCCAACTGGAACCTGTGTGGAGATAAAAAATGGAGTGAGGAGAACTTCAGAGTTTCTAAATGTCTGGCTGCATGCTTCTGCTGATGACTACAATAACATGGAAGGTGGGATTCATCTTACATCATGCTTTTTGGTTGCAATGAATTATTATTGATAATAATGAGGGCCTGAAACCTTTGCATTATTTCATGATGTTTCATGTTTCATGCTTCCAGGTCTGTGTGGTACCTTTGATGGCAACAAGGACAATGATCTGAAGATGAGCACCGGAGAGATATTCACAGAGAATGTTAGACAACCAAAACGGTTTGCCCTCAGTTGGAGAAGGTTAGTTCACTAAATACTTTACCTGAGAAGAACCCGGGTTAGAATCAGTAACCCATGCTTGTCATAAAAGGCAACTAAAGGGATCAGGTCATCTAGGGCTGTGCAATATTACTGGTAAACCGGTATATACCGGTACAGTATCTCGCGATATGATTATCACGATATGGTTCAGATTCTGCAATATATTGGATCATCCGAGTTAGCTCCCTTATATTATCTGCCCTTGATTTCAATAGCAAAAATATGTGGCAAATATACTTTTATTTCTGTTGGATTCATGTAACATTTTACAAGTGGAAGTATCATTATAATATTCTACCAAATGCTTTACGTTTTGTGGGTTTGAATAGTTTCATTTGGAGGAATTGAGTGGCCTCAAATGGACCAATTTTTTATTTGGACTTCATGGTAGACTCTGAGTGACCATTTCACAATTCACAGTATTTTGTTTGTTTTGGTTGTTTCATAATTGTACATATGATATCAATTTATCATAAAGGTTTAAGTCTTATAAATTTTGTAGTACTGTAATATGCCATTCTTGTCAAGGATGTTAGTTATTGGACGTCACATGCGATTTTAAGCTCACCTAAGTCATGTTTATGTTTCATTTGGCAATAGTTCATGTGAACACATGTTGTATTGGAGTTGAATCTGAATGAATCACTGACATACAGAAACAATAATTGCATACTGCATTCTGTTGAAGCAAACAACACTAACCATGAAAATCATGTTATACTATTACCTTTATCATTATGTTCGCAAAACTTTGTTGCAATACTTCAATCCAACATTCCACGTTAAGGCTCTATATAATTGTATTTATCTGTAAATGACTAGCATACAGCCATACACAATGGGAATGGGGAGCCAGCCTGAAAGTATGGTGTAACAGCAACTGAGAAGATGATGTTGCCCACAGAGAGCTTTTATGAAATTATAAAGTACGCACTTGGCCAGAAACCTTCCAGTCAATATATCACAATATGTATTGTGATATCTCTTAAATTATTGCAATATATCGCAATATGAAAATCAGGACAATATCCAGCCCTAGGGTTGTCAGGCTAGCTGACATTTTTGACACATGTCATTGTATCCAGTAGTAGACAGGATGGTGGTACGGGACCAGGGTAATCTAAAGCTTCATTTAATAGATGAAGCCTTAGTCGGACCCTTCCCATTACCATCTACTATTATCGAGAGCACAAAAATGGTCAGGACTACTAGGATTGGTACTACCTTGTTGCATTTTTTCCACCCCGCAACAGTAGTCGACAATTTCCAATTAGAGGTTTGGTAGTTCCAATGAATAGCACTACATATAGCAGAAGATGGCAACGGAAACGACTTTCCAACAAATGGGCCTACGGGTCGAAAAGTCTGTAGGGGCACATCTACTCCTAGAAAATACTGTAGACAGCAATCTTGTGTCGAATATCGCCGGCGCCGACTATCTTGCTGGACATCTTGGCAGAACAAATCTACAACCTTTGGAAGGTCTACCTACATTAAGTAGGCGATATATCGTGTTTGGCTACCTCCAACGCCAAAGACTGCGTTTGCAAGAACGCCAAGGTATCGTGCGACTGGAAGGGAAGGTTCCGCACAACTTCGTCGTTTCCAGAATCTCCATCGCAGTACAAGAGTCTTTGGCAAACCCCAAACATGTGCAAACAAATATCCTACACCACGATAGGAATACGAGAAGACAACTGTGGAGCAATACGGAGCACCATCGCTAGAATAGAGAGAGAGCCGGAAAGAAAGCGAAAGACAAGTGGCAAGAACTATATCCGGAAGAGAAGGCATACGCTCTATTAAGTAGCAAAGATAGGCGTTTCGAAATACCCATTGGCAAGCTACAAGCGGCGATTCCAAAACTAGAGCGCCAACTACTAGCACACACGGCTATGGGCTGTATTCTATCGACTATACAAGAGATTTTTCTGGTGTACTGGACCGCCAAGCAACTGGTGGAATACCTTTGGAAGAAACATGGTTTCGAGCAAGGAGACTTGGCTTCTGCTATGCAGTCGAACAGTCCAACAATTCTAGACAATACGGGTAGTGTTGGGGCCCGTCTGTACTTGGGTCGAAACCTGGAATGGCTATACAATGCGAACGAAACTCTACAACAAGGTTGTTTCCAATTTCGAAGCAGGAGAAGTCCGGGAGCAAATCGGAGGACATTTGGCAGACTATGTGGACTGCCCAAACCAACACTTGCGGAAAACATTCCTGCATCCAGGCGTGCAAGCCCGTGGTTGTACTTTCGCATAGAAGTTTAAGCTCACGCACATCCACACAACTTCGGAAGAAATAGCAAAACGATTTGGTAGAACAAACTCTACAGATGGTATCTCCTCCAGACACCAACTTGTTAAGTAGTACAACCACCAACAAAACAATGGGAAAACCTATCGAAATGTCTAGACCGCTGTCTCGTTCTGGCAGATCGTCCACAGGGCACCATCTTCGTAGTATGGTATGCACATTCGGAGGCGGGTAGAATTTCTGGGGTCCGTATTGCCCCTACAAGAGCAGGCGACGATGCTACGTGGGGAAAGCGATAGAATGGGCTGCAGCAGATTTTGGTTTCGAGCATGTCCAATATTTCGGGTAGATATACTCTCCGCTACAGATACTGGTGTGGAGCTAGGCCCACTACGTTGCTATACAAAGGATCCGATGCCAAAAGCGATACTGTCTGCGGTAGAAGACCAACCCAGCTACATCCAAATGGAGCAGATCCAAGTATTCTATTGCCTTCTTGCAAGACAGTAGAGTGGGAATGGAGAACAGCCAAATGTAGCACCATAGGAAAGGCTTCTTCCAAATTCCAATTGCAGGAAGTACCAGAGATTGCAAAAGACAGAGAAGTATATTCTGGATCTACTAGGGGTCGAGGAAAACGATTGCAAGAAATACAAGAAGCAGCATCGTGGAAGAATGGAGAAGAGAAGCATGGGCTATTCTAGAAGGTAGAAAGACAGCCGCGGCAGATAGAACAAGAGCAGCGTGAGAAAAAGAACTGGAGCAACTAGGAGAAATAGTGCGGAGAAAAGGAATACACAAAGCGTCGGGAAGAAGCTTCATAAAGAGGTAGAAACGGCTCTGAAAATACACAAGCGGAAAAATAGCAGGCGTTGCAAATACTACATGGTCCATTCTAGGATACCGCAAACAACCAGAAGGACAAACATCCAGCAGAGTAGTCTTGTTGCAAAAAGGCGTAGAAATGCCAATTGTGGTTTGGGCAAACAAAAGATTGGAGTGTGTGCTAGAAGAGAACCACGACTTTGTGGAGACCACTACGGACAAATACGGACGAAAAACGTGTTGGATACCAAGAGGCTTGGCCAGCAACGAAGAATACCCTGTTGGCCTGCACATCCGCATAGAACCCACCAGAACTTTCCAGAAAGATGGAAGAACCATACTCTGGAATCCTATTGCCGTAGTAGTTGCCCCAGATCCTAGAAAGCTATCTTCTATAGAAACCGAAGAAATAGAGCAAGACTACAACGACCTGCTAGACGAAAAAATGCAAACCATTGTGGTAGAGACATAATAGCCCCACTTCAAAGGATACAACCAAACTTCTAGATGTCGAGAGCCTGGAAAATACATGTGCAGAAAGTTTGCGCTGCAACATTCGAGGGAAAGCAAGAATTGTATTGTATCTGCTGCCAGTGGGGAAGATGGGAACAACCACAGACATCGAAATACCGACATATGGATACTTTCTAGAGAAGGAAATAGAAAAACTTGGCGGAGTAGAAGCCCTGCGGAAAGGAGACAGCTTGCTTCTCTGTAGAGTAGGTCCAGAAAGACAACACCACAAAAAACAAAGATAGAGTGGTGTCTGTAGTATACAGCTAGAAACAAATAGTCCCACCAGGGATACAGAATAGAATACCTCTCGTACCCAACAATATACATTCTGCTACGATTTGCAAACTGTTTTGCTGTATGTTTGCCAAAATGGCCTAGTATCTGAGCTGGTTGGTCTATTGGGCCTTCCCCAGCCATTTCTCGTAGTTTTTAAGCCCACAGAAGAATACTCCATAGGGTCCTCTTTCCAGTATGCAGCCTCTGCTTTGTCGAATTCCTCGAATGGGAGGCGAGGTGTATTTCCTCTGCTATATACAATATGCATGCTCGAGATGTATACACAGTACAGTGTATACTTGAATTGGGTACAATATTTTTTTTCTAGTCCATCTGGAAGGGTCCCTATGTTTTGGTGTTGCTGTTGTCGTCTAGTGGGCCTGCTTGTGGACCCGGCGGTGGTGGTGTGCTGTGCTTCCAGGTCTTGTGGATGACCTTCCAGAGAAAAACAGCGGCTAGCGAAAGGTAGGTCCACCTTTGGGCTGTTTCTAGCATCTGCCGCACCTTCTGGATATCCAGACAGGTCTCTTCTTGCTCCTCCTCGGCGTTTTCTATTTCCTCCTGGGTTCTTCCTCGTCGTCCTTGTCCAGCATCGACAAGATGTCGACCAACAAATTAAGTGGTTTGCTCCACACGAGCGGCAGCGTATTAGTGGTTTGCTCCACGAGCCGACATCGCCGCTGTTTGCTCCACCGCGAGCCTCTAGCCTCCCCAAAGCGGTCGTAGAAGTCCTGGATGGTGGGCACAGTCGGCTCTGCAGCAGGCACTATGCTGCTGGTAGGCGGCTTCGCTGGCTGGCAATCGCTGCCGGCAGATGTCTCACCGATAAGCGGTGAGATAGCGCGAGCAATGCGTCTGTGCTGGGGGTGAAGCGCGCGGTTGGAGCTATCTCTCCAGTGGTGCTGGTAGGCGGTTCTGTGGCCGTATTCCATATTTTCGCGTGGTCGATTGGAACCCGATGCGAATCGTTGTCTGCGTTTCTTGTGCTGGGACTTTTCCACGCGTCTTGCGAATCTCCTCCACTTGGTCTTTGCGATAGTTGTCTTTTTTGGAGGCATTTGGTTTGTACTATATATCTACAGTCGCAAAATTGTCTATATGGGAAACTAGGGCACACTAGGTGCAGACTAGGCAAACTAGGGCACACTAGACAAACTGGGGCACACTAGACAGAACCTAGAAGTTTGCTTGTTTTGCCAAGCATTTTAAACAGAAGAGACCTGTCGCGGATATCCAGAAGGTGTCGATAGAAAGCGCAGCCAAAATGGACACAAGCATGGGCTATTGAAGATCAATTCTAACCCAAATCGCCACAGGTTTTATTTACAGACAGACATCATATGGCTAGATTATTGCAAAACAAAAAGAAACCAAAGTTTCGAAGATAATATGACCCGGCCGGTCGCGGCGGCGTGTCTATTCTTGTCCTGTTGAACTATTTGTTAACATTACGAGCACCGCTCTATCTTTGTTTTTGTGGTGTTATCGCAACTACTACGGAAGCAATATGCTCTAAAGAACTCATGGTTTTACCATTTCCTTCTGAAAATGTCCATATGATTTCATCTTCGGCGGCAATGCAATGCAATTCTTTGCTTTCAGTCACGGCGTGCTTTTTCTGCATCTGACTCATTTTGTGAGGACGCCTGTCAAGAAGCAGGTATCCCATTGAGCACCCAATTGCATGCTTTAACAACGAGTGGATTCCCCAATTTCTGCCAGACTCTGAAGACAACTCTGCGTCAGAAGCCTTCCTGCCTTTCCATCTGTTCTGGCAAAATACAAAACAAGTCTAATTTGCAGCCAACTGAGACGATTAACTGGATTGCTGGCAAATCCTAAATTGATTCAATGGGTACATGCTCTTATGGCACACTCAATACGCTCCATTCTATGCCTCTTACCAAGAGAGATTTACTGCTGGTTTGTCGCTTCTGATTGTTCGCGATATCGCCGTAATATTTGGCGTCTTATACTAAGTTTGTTGTATTTAAAACGGATTTCTACCTATTTCTTGACTTTCTTCGATTTTAATTAATATTCCTTTTCGCGGTACCAGCTACAGTTGCTCCCGGTTAAACTTAACCGTCCCAGCTCTTCTTGCGTTAACCTCTGCTGAAACCAACCCGTCTTCTCTCCATTCAACTCGCGCATGTACTTTCTGTATTTCTTTACTGATGGAGCCTAGATCGAAACTATACTTCTCTGTCTTTGCAATCTGTTCTGCGGTAATTTGGAAAACGCTCTCGCCTGATTGCTTTACATTGATGACTTTGTTCTCCATTCCCGCTATATGTTGCGAAAACGAAATGGATCTGCTCCGACGGACTGTGGCTGGAGTTGATGTCTGCGCCGAATTGTCGCTCGTTACATCATTTATTGCGATAGAATGATATACGCATTAATGGCGATATCTACCGAAGCGTAACGACAAATCTGCTGCCTTCATGGTATCAGAACTTCAGAAATGCCAGAATATACATGTTGCTCCTGCTCTCGAATGGTATACAATGTTTTAGCCGTCCTGAGCTAGATAGTTTCCATTATTTTGTTGATGGTTGTGCTAGAACGAGATGGAAGGTACCAATCTGTAGGATTTGTTCACAAATGGATTTATTTCTTCGGTTGGATAATGGTAGAAGACTTCGTGCGGCACTGCGGGAATGTTTACTCATAGTATTGTTTGGCGGTCACATGATCTTGCCATCGCGTTGCTCGGTGCCTACTTCGAACAATACTTGAAGTTGCGTGCGATATGATTTCGTTAATTCAAATTGTTGGTTTCGACCGTTGCGTAACATGATATCGCTCTCGGCTCATGTTTCTTGAGTATTCCCGCGGTCAATACGCCAGAAAAATATAACAGCAGCAGTAGATAAGAACTCCACGGCCTTGGTTCTGATTACTGGAGATCTTGGATTTAATAATTTATTTAAATATCTTCGCTGCGAATGGTATGCCAGTTGTCTTTAAACTTTTCTTCCGATTCTATTCACAGCGATGGTGCTCGTGTTAACAGTATTCTATGGTGTGAAGATATTTGTTGCATGTTGGGGTTTATGAAAGATTTCTTGTACTGAATGAACACTGGAAGCGGCGGTTGTCGAACCATCGGTAGATGCCGTTCTTGCTGGCGCGATAACTGTATAGTCTCTGTGGGACCCAACAATTTGTTCTGCCAGATGGCCAACAATCAGCCGGCGCGCTTGATCATTGGATTGTCTGGTCCAGATTGGATTATTTACAGACCGCCGCCATATTGCTGGAATATTGCTCAGTGCAGTGTTAAACAACAAGCCAACCAACCAACTACTAAATACTTGAGAAAGCTGCTGAATTCTACAAATATTTTATTAAGTAAAGAAAATTACATCAAACCTTAAATCTTGTGATGTTCCTCAATTAAGATAATTTTTTCTAGAAATTTTCATCTGGTAGGTCTCAAGATTGCAACAATATTGTTTACCAATCACACACTATTTGAGAAGTGAGCCATACAGTCTGGTGGAAACAGATTACTGAAGGATTTCTATTCTCCAATCTTCTTGAAAGTTCTCTACAAGGAGTATCTGTTAAACCCATTCCAGATGCAATCGGTAAACACACTTTGCTGTCAGTTCAGTACTGGGAACTGGATGATCAGCCTTGACCTCCAGCCCAGGATGAGAACATGCATGTGCCAATTCATCCTTGGAATAGGAAGCATCTCCATTCTCAGTCACTGGATACCTTTACAAATTCCTTGCATGTTGGCTTTTTGCATGGATTACGGCACTGAACATCAGTTCTGATCCAAGCATGGACATGTCATCTGTGTTGCACCTTGACATCTTAGTTCAGTAGCTAATCTCGAGGAGGGATCATAGTGGCTACAGTGTGGTCTCTCCACCTGATAGGTTGGATAATGTTGGTGTGGTTCATACCTCATCTGCACTTTTGGCCTCAACAGCAAACTCCTGTTGTGTGTAAGCTCAGTGCAAGATCCACAAGCTCTTCAAGTGGAATAGGACTGGGTTCTTTGCATACAGCTACACCCTGGTTTCATTGGGAGATTGAGGACAAAGACTGCTGAATCCTTATCAAAGTGTTTAGACGGACTTGGTTCCCTTGGCTCAATTCTCCTAGTTGAATCCCTTTGACTATGAGAAGGCCAAGACTCCTCATTATGTCAAGATCAGATATCATGTATGGAAACCTACAGCAACATCTCTGAACCTCATTCTGTCAACCTTTCTGGACTCATGCAGACGACTGGAGTCTGATTACCATTTGGACCTTACCATAGTTAATGGCAAACACCCATTGTACTGCTCTGGGATAGCTAAGTCATTGACAATACAGATTCTTGCCTTTGCCATTGCCAGATATCATCTGTATTGGATGATCTCTCATTCTACTGTAACAGTGGACTGGAGATTTATGTATGAGGTCACTGTTGGCTCAAAACTGCAATCTCTTGACAGCTACTGGCACATGGATTTAACAACTTCTGTGTTTGGTACCTTTAATGCTAAATGAAATCAGGGCACTGCCAGACAGATTTGTTTAATGGCAAACAGTCCCAGTCAGAACAGATTTCAAGGTATATATGCAACATCGGTGCATTGGCCCCAACCCACTTGATCAGACAGCCTTGGAGGGCTAGTTACCCTTAGTCTATGCATTGTAGGACAGGCCATAGCTTAATGCAAGTGATCATATTCCTAAGTCATGGGAATCATGTCTAATCCACTGGAAAGTGACATAATAACTGGATGCAGATATTATAGCAGATGTAGGAAGTGAACTACATATTTCTAAATGTACTTCACATTATTCTTAAAATATAACTTTTAAGGTTACAGAATTATGTGAAATATTGTTCAAATGATTGTCTAGAACAATTAGATACCTGTTAAGTTCCTGGATTAATGGAAAAGACCATACTTTGATGGGAATGTTGGAGTTAAGTAGACTCTTAACTGTCCTTAGAAGATGTCCGAACTTGTCGATTCTGTACATTGTTCAAGAATGTAGTAGTGGATTTTTGTAAGAATCAGATTTATTCAATCAGACAATAATTTTCATTGTCATAATTCAAATAACACCACAACAAATTTATCAGAAGTGACCCCAACCACCTCTGATATTGGCTTTGCATACACAAAGTTATTATTGTTGGACAAGTACCTTGTATCATTAACAATGATGCGTATTGTTTGATGTTGTTTTGTCTGCACTTATACTACCCTGCTCCTCTCCTCACCAGTACGGACTCTCTGTATGATGGCTATTGTGCTGAGGCCAGTGATGATTATGGCGCTGCGCTGTCGAAGTACTGTGACTGTGTGGAGGGTCAGAGTCCCGTGTGTGATTCAGGCAGGGATGTGTTTACATGTGGGGTGCACAGCAAGAAGAGTAAGAAGATGAGTAGAGGTCAGTACCTCATCCAACTCAGTCAGGTCATATATTACTTGACATGATACCAGAATCCTCACATTGTACAGTACATATCATTTGAACAATCAGCTCACATTAGCAAAGGTATTCCATCCATACATTGTCAAGTTTTACATGTAATAAAAAAATTTAAGCAGTCACCAAATAGCAAAAAACATAACAGTCTGTCCTTATCATGTTCTCAACATTGGATAAATGTGACAGTGTGTGTATGTGAAAGGTTTCAAGGTTGATGTGGAATATAACCATTAATAATATTCCTATCATTGTGAAATATTCATGCTGTTCTGCTAAATAGACACTTATTTGTGTTTCCATGTATGTTTACACTACTATTATGTCCTGTATGAGCTAATGTTTCAAATAGTCCAGAAAATATATTAAGGTTTTATGAGTTGCTGAATTGAATTCCTAAGTACTGAGTTTTGAGATCTGTGTTGCCCCTGTGTTGTGCAGGAGAGGATGTGACTGACTACTTCATCCGTCAGTCCCAGGTCCCCCTCAAGTGTATCCAGAAGGGAACTGTTAACATCACTTTTGAGTTTGACCTGGATTATGAACAGACGGTATGATCTTTTCAGAAACAGATGTTGTCATCTAACTTAAATTTGCTTTATAACTTGACATACATGAGGGTAAAGCATACATTACAAGTCTATGGATTCAGATTTGTTTGCCAAGAACAGATGGTTCAAAATGAAACATTATTTTTAGATGATTTTTAGGTAGACTCAAAGTTCCCATCAACAAGAGTGCCATTCTCCTCTAGTAAAAGACACAAAAACATTTCGATACTTGTTGTTTAAACCTATTTTCAGTGTGGAATCATACATCCTCACAGACAACTAATTTAAACATAGACATGCTCTTACTCTGTTTAGACCGGCTCTCATAAACTACGAATAGAATCTGGCAGGTATATTGGAGAGGCTAGAAATGACAGATTATGTAATATTTGCAAACTGTCATATATAGAAGATGAATATCACTTCTTACCTATTTGTAATAAGTATTAAGAATTGCGACGTCTGTACATTCCTCTACAATTTTATGAATATCCAACATTCCACAAATTTAATATGCTTATGCAATCATCAAATTCAAGAATCTTAAAACATATATATATATATATATCAGTTTATATATATCAAGCTACGTTACTGAGACAGTCTTCATTACAACAAACTTTCTCACTTTGTAATTCTCAATGTGTAACCTGGGCCTATTGCCTATATTACTTTTGGAAATAAACTACCTACAAGGTTTGTTGTGACATTCAGAAACAATGTTTTGTGAATTAAGAAATTGACGAAGCCAAAATATAGCAGATTATAGGCATTATTTTCAGGAGCATAAACCCAGTTACATAGGGAATAGTTTTGAAAGGATCCATAGATTTTGTATTTATCCTTTACATTTTGTAAAAACCTGCATATGATTAATTGAGATATTTGCATACTTAGCAGTCTTTGCCACTTGAATCTGTGCAAATGTATATATTGAAGCAAGTATCAGCTGACTTCATACGTCTATGGCGGTATTAAAAAAATGTATCTATATATTTGTAGGAGCTTACATGGCCAACGGTCACTAATATAACACAGACTGAAGCATATGAGATCTGTTCCACACACATCCTGGCATCCAAAGTAGCTGCCCTCTGCCAAAATATCCCCTTCATTGTCATTGATTTCAACGAGACAGTGGAATTTTGTATGGAAGATATTCAGGTGAGATTCTCCCATGTACAGTACACCTCTCTGACTGTGATAGGGGCTATAAAATATATTGACAACAGTTGACCTTGACATTATTTTGTTTCACATGTGCAGGGATGCACCTCAGTCAGCAGCAATGACTAGTGTCTAATTTGAACAATTAATCATGATCTGTGGATAATACATGCAGTATATATCTGAAAACCACTTTTGCATTTCATTGTTTGCAGGTCAAACAGTGTTTGCCACTCAAAATATCCATGTCTGCCAACCATTTTTTTAGCAGGAATATTGTTGAGTGTGGTGTTAATGTGAGCTCTTTTCCAAACAATTCAGATCACAGGGGACACTCAGTGGCAGGTGACAGCTCTTAGTAACTTGATTGCTCAGTGCCAGACAGAAATCACAACCAGGGCAGAACTGATGGTTGAAGTTAGAGGCCAGTTGGTGCCCATCCCAGAGGTGGAGAGCATCATCTGTATCAACAGCTGCAGTGGCAATGGCAACTGTACACAAGGTATGTTAAAGATGGATAATGGAAGCTTCTTAAGGACATACAATTCTCATAAATTCTATGATCATTATATGCCCTACGAATATTTACTGATTTCTCTATGCAGGTGAGTGCCAGTGCTATGATGACTGGCTTGGTGAAGACTGCTCCATCAATGGAACTCAACCTCCGTCTGTGGATGAAATCCAAGGAAGCATTTGTGACTCCCAAACTACTGCAGACTGCACCAGCATCACAGTTGTTGGAGAAAATTTTGCTGATGTAGACACTCTTATGTGCAACATTGAGGAAATACAGGTATGAATATTAAAAAGACAAACGTAATTGCCACTGCAACTGATATCCATGCAGTGTGTATAGTTTCGTGTGTAGACAAGGACTGCAGTGATCTTATCATTCAAAGTGCAGCATGAAGTATGTTTATCTATTGTCATTGATATGATATTGTCTTCCAGCTGAACTGTTCCATGGATGGCAATAGTACTTACACAGTGCCTGCAGTGTACATCAGCAATGAACTTGTAGTATGTCGTCTCAACAAGACATCCAGTGCCAGGATCACCATCAGCAATGATGGGAAGCTTTTCAGTGAGCCTCTCACTTATGTTGTGATCAGCTCCAACTGTGAAAGTTACAATGGAGATAGCTGTGTGACTAGGGTGAGTGGTTGATAATAACTGACACAATATTTTCTACTTGTTATAATAATGACATACAACAAGGAGAAAAGTGCACATATTTAGTTAAGATGGCTTACACAATAATGACATCTAGTCTACATCTTTCTACAAAAGCCAGCTATATTGTCTTCCACTGAATACAGGAGGACATTTATTCATTATCTGACATTAGAATGTAGTTGTAGAAACTCACGCAGTACCTGTGTTTCATTTTGCAGACCGATATATGCAACATCAACGGAGTGTGCTATGAGTGTGGTGATGTGTTCAAAGATGACCCAAAACGATACTGCCAGTCTACTATCAACAGCACTAGCTGGACGGAACTAACCAGTAAGGAATGCTTAATTTTTTGTTCCAACAGATATAACAATAAAAAAAAAGAAATAATGTTAATTTATGCGAACAAAATTAACTTTTGCATGTGTACTTCTCCTTGCATTTCAGGTGAGAGTGTTATTGTAGCGAGGTACAAGTTTGATTCCCTGGCTGAGTTTGCTGCAATGGGGACACCGTTACTGGTTGATGGACATGGTGGTGGAATGGCTGTCCAGTTGAATGAGGCAACTGTCTCATTCCCTGACTATAATTCAACCAAATATTCAATTTTATCTGCCCCAGGAGAATGTTCTATTGGCTTCACCATCAAGTTTGATGTACGGTACAAATCATTTTGTGAGAACATGTATGTGCTGACGACAGGGGGCGACCAACCTGATTCCACTGGTATGGCCGTGTATTACCGACGCCGAGCTGTTTACTTTACAGTCAGCACACCAGACAAACAATGGGTGGTCTCGGTGCCACGTCCACAACTCCACGTCTTCTACACATATCAATTCAGCTTTTCAGCAGCTTATGGTATTGATGTTAATGTTGGTAGCAAGTCTTACAAGACCAGAACATTCTACAGACGTACAGTTCCTGGAGAGAAACAGAGTGCTCTGAAGATTGGTGGTCCTATTGATGATGCTGATGGCTGCTATGGAAATATCACTTTTGGTGGATTAGAAATTTATCAAGCTCCAACATTTGTGCTTGATGTTTTGGATATTGTCACAGGTGAGCAGACATTTTGGTAAAAAATATTAGTATATTTTACTACATAGTTGCATATCATGTTGAATACTTAACCTTCTTTCATGGTTAACATTCCAGACCTGCCATCCCTAGAGGAATCTCCAAAGCTAATGGTATCTGATATGAATGACACTGCCATTTTCAAGTGCAGCTTCAAACGCCTTCTGAGAGGTGATACAGCATATCGTGTACAGTGGGTCGTGAATGGATCAACTGTTGCTACTGAAGATGTAGAGGATGATATGTCCTATGGAGTGTTCAGTGAGGACCAACACATGGAATGGGCATATGGTGTTCAGGTATGATCATGGTCAGATCATGAATGGGTATGATGTTTAGGTATATGGTCAGATCATGAGTGGGTATGATAGTAAGGTATATGCTCAGGTCATGAGTGGGTATTGTTTCAAGGTATATGGTCAGATCATGGATGGGTATGATGTTTAGGTATATGGTCAGATCCTGGGTGGGTATGATGTTTAGGTATATGGTCAGATTATGAGTGGGTATGATGTTTAGGTATATGGTCAGATCATGAATGGGTATGATGTTAAGGTATATGGTCAGGGTGCCGTTCCACTAACCGATCTTAACTAAGATCAATCTTAGCAAGTTACGCCAATTTTACAATCCTCTTAGCTAAAAGTTACGCCTGTTCTACAAACTGATCTTAGGACGATCGTAGCCAGTCCCAATCTTACGGTCCGATCCTAGCTAAGATCGAGACTCTTTCATGTGAGAGATAGAAAAATGTGAGGCACGAGTTATCTCCCTTTGCATAATCTAGCAGAGGATGACATACTTTTGGAACCAAGTGTAAACGTGGAGAAGAAACCTCGAGTGAGAAAGAGCAATTTTTCTCCTGAGGAAATATCAATGCTGGTTGACGAAGTGGTCCACCATCACTCCCTTTTGTCTGCTTCTTTCAGGCCAGGCGTAATGAAGAAATCTAAAGATTGATACAAGCACATCATCTGATAAAGTATCTAGAATCTGTGAACAGTCTCGAAAAACACGCTCACAGTGTAATGCTTGCTCTTCTTCTTCACATAGAATAATAAAAGCCGCCATTTTGGTTTCTCTACGATTGATTCTAGCGATCCTAAGTTGGTCATGAGCAACTTAGACTTTGGATCTTAAATTTACGATTGACTTGGGTAAGATCGGTACGGTATGCCGATTGTAACGTCACACTAAGATTGGGATTTTAGGGGTTTACAAATTGCGTAGGGCTAAGACCGGTTAGTGGAATGGGGCCCAGATTATGGGTGGGTATGATCTTCAGTTACTGCGATTTCTTCTTAAAGCTCAGGATGGTTGGGACTAATTGTAGTTAATGTAATGTGATTTGTTTGCTTTCAGATTGAGTGTGGAGTATCAGTGTGTTATTCATTTGATTGTAATAACACTGAAGGACCAAGGCAGAGAAGCAACGTCATTTCACTTGGACTTCATGTAGGTTTTCACTGTTTACCTTAAGGTAGTGAGATTATGTACTGGTTGTGAGTGTGTGTGGATGTAAGATGTAAACTGTAATCTATAAACAGATAATGAGCATATACATCAGTTGTAAATGAACATCTTTAAATGCGCACTGCATGTATTAGCAAGTTGTTACTGCATATAAAAATAGGTAGTGATGGTGTATGTAAGGTGAAAATGTATATCTGGAAATAGTTAATAGTGTGTATGAAGTCATTCTGAAGATAACAAAAACTCTGTTTCATCAATGCCAGAAATCATGTATTTTGTCTCTCACCACTATATGAAAACTCCAAATTTTCCATGTTTTAATTTCCATGATAAATGAAGAAAAGAACTTGCTGACATTGAAATTATCAAATAATAAATTAACAATAACATTGACGGGCCTCGGATATCGATTATCGTGTTGCAAAATGTGAAGACAATTAAACCTTCTGGACAATTGACCTGTAGACAAACCAGCCTTGAGAAACCTGACAGCTCTTTCTCTCTCAACAGCTGATTAACCTGGCATTATGTAAAGTCAACAGTTTAGTGCTGTTCAATATCAGTGTGATTGTGACACACAGTTTAACTCATTAAGCCCGAGAGCCCCATCACTACTCAACACCTGGAAGCCCTCCCTGATTGCCCACTCTCTGTGCCGAGACTTATTAGTGCTAGTCACACCTGATTTCCCTGGCAGGTTTCGGGGATCACTGGAAACTGTCTAGTCGTACAAACAAGTCCTGATTGTTTAATTGTGTCGTAAAGATATATGTTGAAAGAAATCAGGTGTGAATACATGTCGTGTATTGCAAGCTTTATGTAATTTTATTGCAAGTTTCTCTTGTAGACCTTTTGTCAGCTTGTACATTTATAGTTTATCACAATATGCATACACATGTATTCTTTGTATGTAACAGATGAGACACACGTTAACAAATTCTCTCTCTTATATCATTGTGTGAGGTTTAAATTTACAAAACATCTATGACAATGACATACTGTAAAGGAGAATTTACTTTCATACTTTATAATCTTCGACGAAAATAGCGGTTTTGCCGATACATTTCTAGTGTTTACGAATTATTTTAATGAAAGTACTAAAACGCTAGTCTGTGACTAGCACAAAGCACATTCATAGCATTGCACTTTATTTCATACAGATTTAATGCAGAAAACATACGTGACCATACAAACATACATATACAAAATGTATACTACATATTCCTTGCATAGACATAAAACAAAGAGTCACGCGATAGGGCCATCAAATTTCGAATAGAGCGTTCAGTATCTCAACTGTTCAATGTAGTGGCTGGTCATATGTTATCTGCGACCAATCGTATCATGAGATACCTGTCACAGAGGAAAGGACAGGTGATGGGGGCGTGGGCGAAATTTCTGAAGAGCACATTTGGTCACTCAGCAGCTTGGATAGAGATTGGTTATTGGCTATATCGTTGACCAGTCAATATGCTGGGTTTCGGCTTTATCAACTCAAGCTATCATGTAACAGTTTGTGTATTGTAAACATACACACTGGTAACGATGTATGAAATATACACATAAGACAAATAGGAGTAGATAGACACTTTGGCGAGTTTATTTGTCCTCATTTTAGTGTTTTTCGATAAGTAAAACAAAGCGATTGAAATCCAACCACTGAGTAGAGGTAGTATTTATTTTCATATACATTTTATGCACCCAACTAGTACATAAAACATAATGGTTTGCTGTACATGTAAATATAATCTTCACCTTGATACGAATGACTATCCAAACTAGAGTACACGCATTACAGAATTCACGAGGTGACACTATACTGAATTATTATAGTGTATAAACTTGCAGTTGACACCCCCACCCCCAATATTTATGAAGGTGGGCATGCCTATATCTTTACTGAATGCAAACGAGGTTCATAAGATTACAGATGTGCATGCATGTATAAACATCACAGAGAGGGGCGTGACTCCATAAAGCAAGATGTCCAATGATATAACAGCGCATCTGTTTATTTTACACTTGTCATGGGACAAACCTTTCAACAAGGACGTAACTATATATGCATTCTACCGGAGGCTGTTATTTCAAGGTCGAAAGAGACTTTCAATTATCTCATTACTGTAATCTGCTTGAATGATTATACGCATGTGTATCGATACCGTAACTGATATACTATCCAGCTTTTATTGACGATGGATCAATAGAGACTGAGTTGATTGATACACGTGATAATTGCACTGGATTTGATAATTACACAGATCAAATACAAACGTTTTACAGAATGCTCATGTAAATTGCATAGAAAACTGACAATTCAAATCAACATGAAACTTTCAACAGCTTGAACAAAAATGCTTGAAATATCTTTGTATGGCTTACATGTAATAACTTATGATATTACTTCTGTCCATGTGTGACAATGATTTGAATTACCAACTTACTGTCATTTGTAACAAACGTAGTAAAAGATTTCATTGTTGTAATAACACTGACATGTATATATGTATTCGATGCAAAGGCGCGACTTATCACTTTATAATCGCTTAGGTAACATTACGAACTTTAGATTATGGAAAACAACTAGTTACAATTCAGTAAACTTCAAATTAGTAAGTTCAATTATGGTTAACCTATTCGAGCTTGGATCTATAATTACTTGTGTTTATACATTATGTTTCAGTATATGAAACATGATAACGGAATGATGCCTAAAAAGTAAATTCAAACTATTCTATTGTGTTTGAATTCTTTGTATGTCCTTGAAATTTCGTATATTGTTTCCTATTTATTAGGTAGTTGAAGGAAATATAATTTTTAGTAACCTCTAAACCATTACATCTAATTAAATCAAGGTGCATACAGTATTTTAGTATCCATTCCCAAGGAAGAGTGCCAGGCACTTACCTCTGTAAAACATCATAATCCCCTTTCTACATGGACATGCGTTCATTTGCTAAATGCTGTACAAGCCTATGATAATGATTAGCAATTGTTATCAAAACACTTTAAATACTTCTTCTGATTGATACTAAAGGTGGGATCTCTCGTAAGAAAAGCTAACATTTGCTCAGTACTGCTAAATTGGTTGAAATAATAGGTACAGTGCGATTTTTAAAAGTACAACACACATGTGCGTCTGTCGCTGAATAAGAGGTGCTTTCTGTTGACGACTGTATGTGGCTCTCGCTGTGAGAAACTGCTAATTACCTGCCCCATAAACACGTCACTCGCTGTGAGGAGCTGATTAATTTGCCCCATATATGCGTCTCTCGGCCTTAATGAGTTAATGATCTGTCAGTGTGTTGTGGAAACACCATGTTTTATGCATTTGAACTCGATTTGCAGGTGAAAAGTTGATTTTCAGCAAATGGTGGGTCACAGGAACACACAGGGATGCACATTCTTCTCGGTGTTCACCATGTATCTTTGTCATAGTCAGATTACTTCAAGCATAGGATGGTTTCCAAAATTCGTTTTGCATATTCTGTGATCAATGACAATAGCGTGAGGTAACCAGATACCCACTGATGATTATGCTTTGATAGAGGTTTTGTATCATAAGAATTAACAAAACTATTTTCATTGATAATTCAAAGAATATGACCTCTGTTTCATCAGGAGTACCTCCCAAGTAAGGTGTTGGTGTTGGAATTATTTGAAGAGTTTCTGTTGGGTATGGGCAGGGATTGAGTAAGCATCACACTAGCAGTTATCACAACTGGTATGGATAAACATGGATGGATAGTTAAACATTTTATAGTGTGATGACAGGAAAAAATACAGGATTTCTAGCACAAATGCAATAGAGGTAGAATCTGTAAATTATCAACATAGGCTTCTATTGGTTGATGTTTGTATGTTAAGGTTAAGGAAAGCAAAGTGATGGTTTCTGAGGGATCATCGGAGACCTTCATCACTATCATCATGACAGTCCCGCCCCACCTTCTGTGTCCTGTTGACAAGCGTGGGAACGTCACAACAGTGACAGCCTCTGCCTTCTTCCGTGACCTAACAGCTACACAGACCACCTGTCCAAATGGTAACACCTTGGCCCAGGCAGTAATTGGGAGTATTGGTGGAGATGATACCAAGTGAGTTATGGAATCATTACAGAAGGTTGTAACAATTTCTTGTTGTAGATCATTTTCATTGATACCACATGACAGACCTGCTTACACAGCACATCCTGATACCTGCTTACACAAAAGATCCTGAGATTTTTATTTGGAGCTTTGGATCACTATACATTTTATTCCCAAAACAAACTTATATGCTGAGTAACATCCATGCTTGATGAATTCCAAGTGGTAATAAATTTGCTATTGAAGGTAATAATTATCTGATTGATAATCAGATGAAGCATCCTTGGTCCAATGTGACATATAAAAAACCCACATAATTTAACACATACTAAATTCTTAGTTTGCTATGCCTATGATGATAAATGTCCACCCTCCAGTAGCTACATGTGATACAATGGTACCAGGCTGTTGGGAAGTATAGTCTTTCTGATGATACACATGGGTGTGGCTTTGTATGTCAGTATGGATATGCTGTAGTATTGGTATAATACTTACATTATTATGTGTTCCAAACACATTCACATATCGAACAATGGGTCAACAATAGCTACTTGCAAAGAAGGGTTTACATCCACACTGACTGTCCATACTAACTGCTGTTCGGTCTGCTAGATGTGGAGCTGCAGTCCTGGCCAGTACATGGAACAAACCCCTCCTCCTCCCTGTCCGTGCCACAGTGGACGGTGTCCGGGATGGAGATGCTGTCGGTCAGCTGCTGGTCAGTGCAACTGTGAACTGTGGGGCAGAGTTCTCCTATACAGAACAGCTGTCGGAGGTCCAGGTATGTTCTCATTGCTACATTGATAGGCAAATGTGCACAAAAATATTTGATATTTGAATGTGAGCTTTTCTGGTATCAACTTATTTTTTCAGCTTGTTTTGTAAAAAGGGAAATTGCTGTTGTAATAAACATGTGCATGTATTAGTTATTTTCAAGCAGATTGTAATACATGAGTCATCTGTTCTATGGTGCTGTAGGTGCATATTGAAGACAAAGATGAGGTGAAGCTATGTGAATCTGTCAATGACCCGCATGTGAAGACATTTGACAGGAAGTAAGTCAGTATTTCATTGCTCTTCACATTAGGCACTTATCATATGGTTATTGGTTATTTATGCACTTTCTAGAGCAGTGGTAGGTCTGTATAACTTGCAATTTCACAACTGATTTTGTCAGTTGATTCAACTTTTGGGTCACTTTCGTACAATGTCTTGGTCACAAGAGGTTACCTTAAAGCAGTTGTTACAATTTCACAGACTCCAACTAATTTGATATTGCAATACAGCTGTATATCATTTTCATGTCAAAGGGCAAGGTTAGCATACAGGTGCTTTGCTCATGAAATGCCTTAAGACACAGACTAGTTTCATTTGGAAACATGTTGTCAGCTTGGTAGGAAGACTTCATATTTGTAGCATCACCTATGTCTGCAGCACTTAGTGTTTTGGCAATCCATTCGATGGTGTTTAAGGTCAAGGGCATGAAGTGAGAACAGAAGACTCTGTGTGACTACTGATGAATGTTAAAGTTATCAGAAAACAAGATTATAAATTCATGATAAAACATGTTTAGTTTTATAATACTACTGTAACACTCTTCTCCATGCCTGTCATATGTCAAGATCAGTCACACACTGAAACACTTGTGAACCATTTATTTATGCCATCTACTTTCAATCAGATATGTAACTGCTTATAACTTTCTTAACACAGTTGCTAAATGGGCCTTTCTCTTTCAAAAGTATATGTTTTGTTCACATTGGAATTGACACCATTGAAATGGAAGTGCTAATAACGTTATCAAAATAGTTAAAAACACAGATTGTCTGCTTCTGTTTTCTTATTTTCAAAGATAATTAATGTGTAGGCATAAAGAAGAAATGGAAGTCAGAGATCAGAAATTGAATACTTTGAGAATTCAACATACTTTTATGTTTTATGCATAATTGATATCGTCTGAAGATGTGGTCAAGCATTTGTATGACAGCTACAGTCTGTGTTAACCATGAACATAAGCTGTTGAAGAAAGTGTGTTGATGACAGAATGGTGCTTGTATCTCCAGGTCATTTGACAACTTCCTGCTTGGTGACTTTGTCCTGTACCGACACACCAGTCTACCTTATGAGGTGAGTACAGGTAGTATTTTTACCTTCACATTGTGAAAATGCTTTCTTTTTATCTCAATAAATTGATAGATGTAAAACTGCAATATACAAACATTAGCATCCCATTGTCCTTTAATAAGTGTGCAAGTTCTATATTCATAATATGATTATCTTTCATCATCAAGCTGTCTTGTCCGTTTCTGCATTACAGAGTGTACAACGTGAGAGAATTTTGGTGTACAATATACTATATACAAATATATATACCTATAGACAAGATGTGGGGCAGTCGGGTAGCCTAGTGGTTAAAGCGTTGGCTCGTCATGCCGAAGACCCAGGTTCGAATCCCCACATGGGTACAATGTGTGAAGCCGATTTCTGGTGTCCCCTGCCGTGATGTTGCTGGAATATTGCTAAAAGCGCCGTAAAACTAAACTCAGTCAGTCAGTCAGTATAGACAAGATGTGACCAGATGTCATAATAAGTAGATCACCCATTAGAATCAATGTTAGAATTAGTTTTTGGCAACTCTTGCTTGTTGTAAGACTCACCTAACGGGATTGAGTGGTCAGGTTTGCAAATTTGGTTGATGCAAGTCATTGTATTTAAGTTGTGTAGATTGATGCTCATGATGTCAATCACTGGATTGTGTGGTTGAGACTCAACTATTTACAGACCAGTATCATATAGCTAGAAATTGCTGATTGTGACATCAAAAACAAACATACAAAGCAAAGGTAGCTAAGTTATGAACAGTTGATACTTCAATTGATGCATCATAATGTTTATGTTATGTGTTGATCCCAAGTTGAACCTGTAAGTTACTGGAAGTCAGTCTAGTGTGAATTGGGATATAATTAACAACTGTATTATAAAATTAACTGAGTTTACACAACAAAGGAATTACAATGGCAGTACAACATAGAGTGACAGTACAAATTCAAATCAGTATAATATATAGGTTTCAATTTGAATAATGTTATCTTCACCCAATTCAAAACATTGCTATGAATATTCAGTATGTTTAACATTCAAAACCTTTTGTCTTGAACACAGTCTAAACTGCCATACTCTTATCATATTCTTCACTTGTTGGACGTGTAGAAGTCCCAGTTGTCAAGAACCCAATGCTTACCAAATACTTGAAATGTGTTAAATCTCACCCTGATGAGTCAAACTCCAGATTTTTCCCGAATCACAACTTAATATTTTTAAGTTAGAATTTGTTTCACATGAAATTTTCTAAACATGATATGGCTTGCCACATCAAGGACAGGAAACTGTTGACTGGCCTGAGGAAAGGCTCCCACAACCAAATGACGTGGCGTGTATTCAGTTATATATAGTTAAGTCTCTGAATACTGAATAGCTATGCTTTCAGTCCAGTGATGCTATGCAATTAAGTGTATAAATGTAGATGTTATAAAAGATCATATCTTAGTCTAATTTCTGTACATAACCCTGCACAATAAGGTATGTTGGCTTTTCTGGGAAAATAGCTTATCAAACCTTTCTTAGGTAGAGTATATGGCATCATGATATAAACAAGGGATTTTTCAAAAACAGTCAACCTATTAATGTTCGTGCTTGGTTAATACCCTGACTACAGAACCACTAGTTCATATTGTTCTGGACGTGTATATTCTGTGATAAATTCTACCTCCATTAATTACCAAGGGTGCATGTATAAGATGTTATGGCATGTTCTGATCACATTGCAGGTTCATGGACGATTCGACAAGTGTAATGGTGGTGTGGCTTCCTGTAACTGTGGAGCTGCCATCAGGATTGGCGATGACGTCATTGCTGTCAATCAGTGTGGTGCTGCCAAGAAAAGGCCACTGAGGCTTCAAGTCTTCAAGAATGGCATGATGACACCAGGTGTTCGAATTACCCGTCACCATGGTGACAAGAAATACAGAGTATGTGTAACATTTTGAAATCAGATTTATATCAGTAGTGATTGCATGCCAAGTAATAGTTAACCCATTCCGATGAATTTCTTTGTGATAGGTCACTTTACCGACTGGTACAGCAGTGGATATCATCAAGGGAAGAGGAAGGTCAAAGTTTTTTAACATAATGATTCGGTCATCACCAGCTGACTTTGAACACACTGAAGGTAAGACTGAATTCTGCAAAGTACTAGAAATATTGTTGAATGACACCAATGGTTTTGGTTATATGTATTAACATTGACACATCTGCCACATCTGCCACTGTAACTGATGTTGAGCATGTAGAGCCGTCATGCCCTCTTTTGGCACTACTGTATATATCATTACCACGGTAAAGGAGGAGGGCTGTCTGTATACATGAATGTGCTGTAGGTATAGTGTGTCCACATAGGCTTACTGTAAATGAAACTGTAGCAACTGTTTTAGTTGATAGTTAGGTGTGTCAGCAAGTCTGATGGGTCCAGGAGGCCAATTTCTTCTTAGGTAACACTTACATGATACTGACTGACGTTGTGTTAATATAAAGGTTGGAAATTACTCCACACTCAGAAGATTTTAGTTTCCTTCCCAAGTAAACTGACATGGATGTGACTGACTGTAAATTCATGGTTGTAGGCATGTTATTGTGTGCATTAACTTGTTTAGCCAGACTTAGGGTTTTCACTGCAGGTTTGTGTGGTACTTATGATGGAAACAAGAACAATGACCTCCGCATGCCAGATGGAACTATATTCAAAGGACGCTCCAAACATCCAGATACTTTCTCAAGGGCCTGGAGGTTAGTTTATCAAACTGCTACATTTGGATATCTAAAATGTGCTACTCAGTATCCTTTAAGATCTGTTAGAATGCAGATGTAGTTTGTTAGTAATCATTCCTTACACAATATTGCAATTCATATTACAATGTTAATTTATCAAGTGAGCCAGTGTCACACTAATGTTTCAGGGTAAATGCAGAGGATTCTATCTTTGATGGTTTCTGCCCTGAGGATGAGGAAGTGTCTGGGTCTATGTATTGTGACTGCCGTGAAGGGGAGAATGTGACCTGCTCACCCTCCCAGTATGTCTTAGACTGTTCTCCACCCAGGCTCACAACCAATGGCAGGAGGAAAAGATGTAGGTCTTCCTACTTCTATTGCACTCTTGTACTTCATTTTTGGGTGTCAAGAAATAACTATTATTAATACTATGATTCTCACACAGATACTGATGTGACAGCAGAACTGTTTTCTGAGGCAGAGGAGCCATCAAAATGTGTCAATCCAGATGACAGAAAAATCTTTGAATATGAAGTGGACTACATTTCCCCAGTAGGTTATTCAGGTTTTGTTCAGGCTTGTAAAAGCCTAGAATGTGGACCCTGAAAAGGTCCTTAATTCATCGTAGCCTTAAAAAGGCTCCAATTGCAAGTTATTTGTCCTCAAAAGGCAATATATTTAGAAAACCTGTGAAGCTATGATTTTACTGGAAACTAATGGATAATATCAGTAACTTGCAATGACAGTGGGTGTTAATTGATCTCCATCACAAAGCAAAACTTTCCCCATGTACCGATGTAACTAAGAGTTATTTCCGTCTCATGGTTGGTCCCATATTTGACCAACCATGTGTGTATTCCATGTGTTAAAATTGTTGATTGGGCCTTGGAAAGTCGCCCAAATGGCCTTAACTTTAATGGTTGATAATCTGTATGAACCCTGTTATCATTCATTTATCTCCATCCTATAGCAGAAGTTACCAATATGGTCTTTCAGAGTGTAAATGTAACACGTCGTGTAGTAGGATGGCTACAATGTACAGAGAACCTATATGACCAAGTGTTGTTGTAGCCTGCAGTGTGGCCCACCCGGACTGGCCTTGGCTATGATGATGTGAAGCGGTACTGTGAGCAGCAGATACAGGTGTCATTTGCAGCCAGGACGTGTCTGGGGATGGCCGAGGTTACTGCGGACCTGTCAGTTGACAACTGCATTGCTGACATACAGGTGAGTGTTTCATACGGTAACATCTGTAATATGTGTGTGTCCTTCTCAATTATAGTGTTGAAGGTGAAAGACTCCAGTTGCCAGTTGTTATTTATTTTCCTCTCAGTGTAAATTTCATTTATTTCCTTTTTTCAAAGCTAATTGTGGGACTAATGGCAGATGCCAATATCATAATATACTGGTAGGTTAATCTGTTAAGAATTCAAAATGAGTTTGCATTGAGAAAAGTTAGAAGAAATATTGTTAATTGCAATATTTAATGACATATAAATGACTACTAGTTGTGTTTAGTAGTATATTATACACATCAGCATTAATTATACACTACCTGAATCCAAGGGCAATTTTAGATGTTGTAGATATTTTACATTGCAACAAAAACTTGAACTGTTTTCTACAGCTTCAGAGTCATGTTACCAATGTATGGTGAAAATCTGTAATCTTCATAGATCTTGTAACATATGTAAACTGTCATGTTTAACCTGAAATTGCCTGTATGACCTCACTAACTTCTTTATGATCACAAAGCTTGATAGATAATGTGAAATGGAAAAGTGTACCAGGTAAAATGCATGACGATGAGTTACATTTTTCCTGTTTCCTAGCTAACAAGTGACTTGTCATGGGCACTGACAATGAGAGACAACATTGAGTCCCAATGTGCCTTCTCCCTGGAGTTCAACATCTCCCTCTGGTTCTCTGCAACAGGGGTGTCAACTCTCCCAGCTATCTTTGCTGCAATATGTCCTGATGACTGCAGCGGTAATGGCGTGTGTGAGGAAGGTATGTTTCAGCAGTCATGTCATGCCACTGTACAAACATTAAACATATAGCAGATCCTTTAAAAATATATATCGTGCTCTCACTACCAATTTTGAATTTGATATTTAATATGATGATACTTTTCTGTTTTTATTCTGGGTAATCATAAGTGAAATGCCACAAATACATCATAAAATACATCACTTTCCATGTATGTTAACTGTGTATTTCTTTATTTTGTTCCATGTGTCCAGGTATTTGCATCTGTGAGGGAGACTTCATTGGCGAGGACTGTTCAATCAGTGCCAAAATCCCACCATCCCTCTTTGAAATCATCACAGGAACATTCTGTAACACACGGGAATCCAGCTGCATAAATGTACTCTTGTATGGAGAAACTTTTGTTGAGTCTTCTAACCTGACCTGCCAAATGACTCCCCTGGTGAGTACAGTGGAACTTTGTTGCCTCTTTCTAAAATTTCTTCTTTGACGTTAATAAGGTAAGTTGTGTGTTACATTCTATCATGTCAATATTTGTAGCTATGATTTGTTTGATGTGTGATTCAGGGCTTCAAAAATCCCATCGCCCGACGCCCGGGACAAGTCAGTTTTCATTTTGGGCAATCAAATAATGGTATCTCACTTGTCTGTGGGCTACTAGATAATTTCCACTTATGGTTTCAAACTGCAAATAAACTTGGATTTAATTTCATATCTGCTCAAAATGTAGCAATTAAATTTCGCAATGATAATAAAGTAGAGTTATCTTTCTTTGCTATTTATCACTTTTCAATAAATAGTCCAGTAAACATTAACATCAAATACCATGCATGTTGATTTATTCTTTCATAATTACATCATCATGATTATTTAATAAAATCAGGGCAAGTGGAAAATTAGTCAGGACAAGTTACTTTTTTATGACAAGTGACTTTTTAATAAAATTTTGAACCCCTGGTGATTGCGAGTATCCATCAAAAAAAGACTGGTATTGACATGTTCCTCAGTATTATTACTGCATTATCTCTGTACTAGGTTGTTATGAATGGGTTATTCAAGAAATCTACAGAAGCCACCAGCACCACCGTAAGAGCCCTGTATATCAGTTCAGACTCTGTGCTGTGTGTCCTCAACTCCACTGACCGCTTTGCCATTAGCATCAGCAACAACGGTCAGGACATGAGCAATGAGATGTTCCACATCACCTTTGACTCCAACTGTGAATTGTGTGAAGGAAACAAGTGCGTTGAAAGGGTAAGACATTACATTATGTAATAATTACATATTGTTCACATGAAATCATACTTTCAGTGTTTAACTTGGTCAGAACTGCAAGATTATACCTCTCTTGATAAAATGCCTTGTGACATGTGAGTAAATATAGGTATTGTTATAGAGGTATTTTAATGTAGTACTTTTTACAACTTGCCATGAATGCATGTTTCAGCATGTTTGAGTACACTGTGAGTTATGTGTTTGCATACTGTGTTTGGCATTGCAGGGAGATGTATGCAAAATTGATGGCCAGTGTTACTTGAAGGGATCCACCAACCCTTTAAACAGAAGCCAAACCTGTTTCCCCACGAAGTCTACAAATACCTGGAGTAGTCTTCAAAGTATGTACAGCCCAGTACAGTAGACCAAATTCAAAGTAAAGACCAGTAATTCAACTCTACAAGTTATAAGTACTGTTTGTTCATTGTGTTAATCAGCTGTCATAACAAGTGACAACTGTTCAACTAATTACTGACTGAGTGCCATGTTTGTGTTTGTTAAGGAATGTCCACCATCTTCAATGTAAGAAAACCAAAAATAGTTTCCATCAAAAACTCATTATTGACCGTGATATGATGTGATGTCCACTCATATGTCTTTTTATGACTTGACCACTGACTACTCCAGTGTCATGATATGTGATGAAATCACCTTCTTTTTCAGGAAGTGAAATCACAATTTTTAGATATTTGTTTCTCCGTGTTGTGGGCTCTGTCCTCGTGACACAATCCTTCAACTTTACACTGTTGGGTATGCCAAGGTTTGCAACTGGCCCTGTTGGTGGTAATGCTATTGAGTTTAATGGTGGAGACCAGGCCCTGGACTATGGAGAGCTACCAGAAAGTGACTGTCTGGGCAACCTTGACAACTGCCCATTTGGACTGACCATCTCCTTCAACCTGCGTATTGTGGAGTTCCGAAACAAGATGTATATATTCTCCAGTGGAGGAGACAGCAAGGACACATCTGGAGTTAGCATGTGGTGGCAAGGCAACAAGCTGTACCTGAGACTGGTCACTAGCCAGTATGAATGGACATGCAAGGCCAAGTATAAGAAGGGGGATATTGTGTTTGACACCTTTGTGAAGGTGGAATTCACCTGGAGTGTGCAGTCTGGACTGAGGATGTTTTTGAACAGTGACTTGGTAGATACAGATTTGAAGCCCAAGAAGACCAAACACAAAGGGAGACACACCAGGAGGTTCTACATTGGGCGGCGCTACAGCAAGCGGGAGTATGCTGCATGCCTCATCTCAGACTGGAATGTTGTCTTCGCTGAAAGGGAAATTGTCAAAACATTCAGTATTGACATTGGTGAGCTGATATTTTCACAACATCTGAAGTAGCAATAAAGTATATTGATAACTGATGCAGATTTAGACCCACTTTACTTTCAAATATTCACAGTACAGAAATGTTTTATTTCTTCATTATTTTGGAAATGTCTGATGTAATTACAATAATGTATTCAAACATAATTAATATAATCATTACAAAGTATTACTGATTATATGTGAATGTATGAACTTTGTTATAGTATACTGAACAAAAAGTGAAACTTCACATTTTGGAAAATGAATTATATTGAAAATTGGTTGGTCAATAAGGTCAAATACCGTAATGACCAGGTCTAACCTGATTCATCCACGTATTTCAACTGTGGTGAGCCACGCAAGGTGCATGTAGCACACTCTTTGTGAAAACACAACCTTCCACATGTGCAAGGTCAATTTATGTACCTAACTACCAACATGTGTGCAGAATTTGCTGGTGACTAACAAATATATTAACAAACCTAGAGACAAACAATTCTCTTGCCAGGCCTTACAAACGTTGAATGTAAATATGCAGCTGTGGCTGTTGCACGTGACATGAGATGCAGTAGACTGACATAGCCAACATTGATTGTCCTTGGCTGACATAGCTGACACTGATTGTCCTTGGCTGACATAGCCAACATTGATTGTCCTTGGCTGACATAGCTGACACTGATTGTCCTTGGCTGACATAGCCAACATTGATTGTCCTTGGCTGACATAGCTGACACTGATTGTCCTTGGCTGACATAGCCAACATTGATTGTCCTTGGCTGACATAGCCAACATTGATTGTCCTTGGCTGACATAGCTGACACTGATTGTCCTTGGCTGACATAGCCAACATTGATTGTCCTTGGCTGACATAGCTGACACTGATTGTCCTTGGCTGACATAGCCAACATTGATTGTCCTTTGGCTGACAACATAGCTGACATAGCTGATGATGTCCTTGGCTGACATAGCCAACATTGATTGTCCTTGGCTGACATAGCTGACACTGATTGTCCTTGGCTGACATAGCCAACATTGATTGTCCTTGGCTGACATAGCTGACACTGATTGTCCTTGGCTGACATAGCCATTGATTGTCCTTGGCTGACATTGTCACTGATTGTCTGACATAGCCAACATTGATTGTCCTTGGCTGACATAGCTGACACTGATTGTCCTTGGCTGACATAGCCAACATTGATTGTCCTTGGCTGACATAGCTGACACTGATTGTCCTTGGCTGACATAGCTGACACTGATTGTCCTTGGCTGACATAGCCGACATTGATTGTCCTTGGCTGACATAGCTGACACTGATTGTCCTTGGCTGACATAGCCGACACTGATTGTCCTTGACAGTTGACAATCCGAGGAAACATCTGCATCAAATGGGTACAACATCTAATCACCCCAGGTCAGGATGGCCATGTGTGATGTCATATGCCAAGGACAATCAGTGTCGGCTATGTCAGCCAAGGACAATCAATGTCGGCTATGTCAGCCAAGGACAATCAGTGTCGGCTATGTCAGCCAAGGACAATCAGTGTCAGCTATGTCAGCCAAGGACAATCAGTGTCGGCTATGTCAGCCAAGGACAATCAGTGTCAGCTATGTCAGCCAAGGACAATCAGTGTCGGCTATGTCAGCCAAGGACAATCAGTGTCGGCTATGTCAGCCAAGAAAAACAGTGTTGGCTATGTCAGCCAAGGACGAATCAGTGTCGGCTATGTCAGCCAAGGACAATCAATGTTGGCTATGTCAGCCAAGGACAATCAATGTCAGCTATGTCAGCCAAGGACAATCAATGTCGGCTATGTCAGCCAAGGACAATCAGTGTCAGCTATGTCAGCCAAGGACAATCAGTGTCGGCTATGTCAGCCAAGAAAAACAGTGTTGTCAATGTCAGCGAAGGACAATCAATGTCGGCTATGTCAGCCAAGGACAATCAGTGTCGGCTATGTCAGCCAAGGACAATCAGTGTCGGCTATGTCAGCCAAGAAAAACAGTGTTGTCAATGTCAGCCAAGGACAACCAGTGTCGGCTATGTCAGCCAAGGACAATCAATGTCGGCTATGTCAGCCAAGGACAATCAATGTTGGCTCTGTCAGCCAAGGACAATCAATGTCGGCTATGTCAGCCAAGAAAAACAGTGTTGGCTATGTCAGCCAAGGACAATCAATGTTGTCAATGTCAGCCAAGGACAATCAATGTCGGTTATGTCAGCCAAGGACAATTGATGTCAGCTATGTCAGCCAAGGACAATCAATGTTGGCTATGTCAGCCAAGGACAATCAGTGTCGGCTATGTCAGCCAAGGACGATCAGTGTCGGCTATGTCAGCCAAGGACAATCAATGTCGTCGGCTATGTCAGCCAAGGACAATCAATGTCGGCTATGTCAGCCAAGGACAATCAGTTTCGGCTATGTCAGCCAAGGACAATCAATGTCGGCTATGTCAGCCAAGGACAATCAGTTTCGGCTATGTCAGCCAAGGACAATCAATGTTGGCTATGTCAGCCAAGGACAATCAGTGTCGGCTATGTCAACCAAGGACAATCAGTGTCAGCTATGTCAGCCAAGGACAATCAATGTTGGCTATGTCAGCCAAGGACAATCAATGTTGGCTATGTCAGCCAAGGACAATCAGTGTCGGCTATGTCAGCCAAGGACAATCAGTGTCGGCTATGTCAGCCAAGGACAATCAGTTTCGGCTATGTCAGCCAAGGACAATCAATGTTGGCTATGTCAGCCAAGGACAATCAGTGTCGGCTATGTCAGCCAAGGATAATAAGTGTCAGTTATGTCAGCCAAGGACAATCAATGTCATTTGAGTAATCGTTTTATGACTGTAACCTTAACCAGTAACACACTGTTTTGTGGTCACGCTGCCCATCTTCGTGCCCTACATCCTCATGTTGGTCCAATACTGAGATAAGCCATAATGACGGTGTGAAATATCCTGCAAAATGGGGTTATTGATGTCAGGCAGTGGCCCATGAGATCACTTGACCTCAATCCCACTGAACATGTTTGGGATGCTCTTGGAAGAAATCAACCCCAGAATGTTCAAGAGCTGTGTGCCTAATGCTGTGTTCACGGGTGTTAGGATGATAGTAATGCATTGCTGTTGTGATTGTGAGGGGTGGGGGTTGGGGTCGGGGGCATATCCGCCATGAGCATGCATCAGTGGGTGCAAACTGGCGCTTTACAAATATCCACTATTATTATTATTATTATTATTATATGTGGTACTGAAGTCCAATGCAGATGGCTAGTCCTTGTGAAATAAAAGAAGTAAACCCATTGTGTTTCTACTAACTGTTGAGGGTGCACCAAGCGTACCTGAATGCCTAATCCTGTTGTAGTGTACGCTCATTACACCTATAAACCAGATTTATCTACTAGCAACACACTTTGTTCTACATGGGTATGTTTGGGACACAAAGTAACGCATAACGAGTTTCTGTTTTTGTACAGTGTACAACATGGTGCATATACAGTGATACATTACAAAGTACTTATACAAGGTGGTGATTTAGGGCATGAAAAAAAGCAACGTTCATGTATTCAGAAATTCATGTTAGTATGTGAAGGCATGTTTTCTGATGTCATTTACTTCTAGGTTTGCTAGATGCACAAGATATTTATAGAAACTGAAGCAATATATATCCATTTGTGTAAAATAACATACAACCAGGACTTGACTTGTCTTTCACTGACAGAACTGCCCAAGTTCTCCAGGGCCCCAGAGCTGTCCCTGTCAGTGAATGGATCTCGAGTGGAGTTAATGTGTACAGTATCTCCACTCCCTCAAGAGGCACTCACCTACTATGTGATGTGGTATAAGAATGGCCAAAAGATTGTTGATGATCGACAGCTCAATCTGACAAATGGTGACTTTGTCAATATCCTGAGGGAAGAGGATATTGGTATCGTCCACTTTAATGATAAGGTACGAGCTTAGTTTATTAAGCACTTTTTTATATACACAATGCTATTTAGAAAGTGGTAAAATGTAACACATGTTATATTTGGGATTACTCTTTTCAGTAAAGTACAGATTCTAGTACTTTTGTTGCACGATTAGGTGCCTGACTCTGAGGGTGTGAGTTCGAATCCCGAATGTACTTAACCCAATAAAAGTACTAAACTCTGTACACTTGTTTTATACATTGATTAATCCACATAAATGTAATTACCTAATCTAGTTGTGAAGTTGGAGCTGAAGAACTGGAAAACAAGCAAAACTGAGAATAAATGAGTGTAGTAATTTCTCAGGTAACAATTAATGCCTGTGTTGACAGGTTTTCCCCCTGAAACAAGAAAGATAAAAATGTGGTAACAGACACAATGCAATAATGAATTTAGTCACTGACTCTTTCTATTTTGAAATATGATAATTATTTTCTTTATCATTTCGGACTTCAGGATTTATTTTGTTAGATATCTGTAAATGATATTTCCCATCTCCCAGTGGAGGAATCACGTGTGGCAGTATCACCATTTACAGTAAGGATGAAGTGTAAGCAATGCATTTTGTTATGTTGACAGCTGTCCTGCTCAGTGTATGCCTGTGAGCCTGACAACTGTGGACCTGCACGAGACAGTGCATACCTCACTGCACAAGTGAAGGTGAGTGGCAAGTAATGTACATGCTACGAGGACACATCCATCTGTCTGAAGCCATGTGCAACTGTGTTAAGGTGCTTATATATGCTGCAGAAAGATTGCCTTTGGAAGTTGTTCTTCAGGGTACTTTTTTTAGGTGATTAAGGATCATGGTTGTATAATTCATTGCCAGTCACTGTTGGACATCTACATACACAATTCTGAGACTGGCTAGAATTAAAGATTTAATGAAGATCAAGGTCTTGAAGTAACCATTTTAGACTTGAGATCCATGGTTGCATGTTGAGATTAGGGAGGGGGCATATGCTATGAGAAAATGACGGTGAAGGTTATTCAACAATGTATTTTGTATAAGGATTTTAATGTACTGTAAAACATGGTTATAACGAACTCCAAAGAACAGTTAATCGTAAAGCAACACTATATACATGTATTTATGTCTATTTTGTATAACTGGGTTGACATTTACAATAGAAAGCATCTGAATGGGTATTGAAGTACTGTGGACAGTAGCATCAAACAACCTGACAATATATGTTGTAGTTTGTTGAAAAATGCTTATTTTTCCTTATCCTGACTCATGCTTATTTGCTTGTCTTCTTCTTCTTTGCGAACACAGTGGAACACTTGTATCTCCCAATTGAAGTTCCCTTCAATGTAAAATCACTAATTAGTACTCACCACGAGTTATCTTTCCCCTCGCAAGCGCGGGAACGAGGGCGCCACCTCCCACCATGTGCCTCACTCTCTCCTTCTTCGCCCAGTGAGCTGGACGTGAGAGCGCCTGTGTCTCCCTACACACTATATCCTTTATTTATATTTAGTTCCATTTCTGGTGTCCCCTGCCGTGATATTGCTGGAATATTGCTAAAAGCGGCGTAAAACTAAACTCAGTCAGTATATTTAGTTTGGTACCTCTTATATTCATCTATAGAGGTGTAACTAGTATCCTTATTCAACATGCATTGATAATTATTCGTGTTTCTGCTGCTTTATTCACGGTTCGCCGTGTTTGCTCAGCAGTTTGCGTTAATAAAAATCTGCACTGTTTGTAAATTACCTTACTCTGCTGCCGATCGCATTTAATATGCCCTAGTTGCATAACTCCATGCTCTATTGTTTCACGCTGCAAATTATGTATTAATTTGTCTAATTCTGCCTTTGATAAATATTTATATTCCGTCTTGAGACGGGCGGCAGATAGATCTCGGAAACAATCGTCAGTCATGGCTAATAGATCAGAGTCACATATACCCTGTCAACTGTTGGCGGACGACCCTCTACCGTCTGGTGTTCCGCCTGAGTTACCTTCGGGGGAGAAGCGTGGGACGCAGTCCGCTATATCCAAGAAGCGACCTGCATCCCAGGACATTCCATCATCACAGTCTAAGAGAGCTTCCACGTCGTCTCAACGTACGCTCCGAACCCCCAGGTCTACAGCTTCGTCAAAAGGGAAATCCACCAAGGCTACTAAAAACTTTGCTTCTGACATTCTACCTGTTTCAGAATTGTGTTTATATGATGATGACATTCCGATTATCATTCCAGATGTACGTCATAAGAAGCGACCAGTATCGGCTACCGTCACTTCAGCGCAGATCAACACGCAACCAGAGATGCCTACGCTGACGCCTGAGATTATAACTGAGTGTCCCGTCACTATCACAGAGAGGACACCCTCAACGCCAGCGCAGACCGTCCCAGATGACCTGGTTAACCAAATCATGATGTTGATGGAAGACAGATACGGTTTACAGAGGCCTCAGAGCTGCGGGCCCCAAAGCCCAACCCATAATAAGTCATATAGGGCCCCAGAGCCCGCCTTGACTTCGCGTAGGGCCCTAGAGCCCACAAACGCGCCTCCACGAAGGGCAACCCAGCCCGTATCAAAGCCTTCGCGAAGAACGTCCCAGGCCGCCTCCACAAGGATCCAGATCCTCACCAGTTGCGAAGGGCTTCGGGGAGGAGGAGTGCTTCACCGAGCTCAAACCCTGTAGAACACAGAGGTCGTTCGCGAAGCAGGCTCCCATATAATGATTCGGACACTGACTCGATACCTTCCTCGAAGGCCATCACGAAGGTTAAGTGGCTCCAAGTCATCTTCACCCAGAAGATCTAGAAGGGATTCATCGAGAGCTTCACGAAGCCACCAGCGTTTGCCGAGGAAGTCTCCTCCAAGGTCTCCCTATACTAGCCACTCGTCAGTCTGTTCACCACAATCTTCTCGTCGATCTTCTTACAGATCTAGGACTCCACCTCACTCTATTATATGTGATCCTACGTCAGAAGAGGAAGAAGGTATCGTATTCTCAGATGCAGAAATTAGATACTGGATGGTGAATGGATTGGAACTTGCTTCCCCCGTCTAAGAACGAGAACCCAGCTCATACTTATTTGATGAAGGAAGATGATGCGGACACTATCACTATCTCCTGATTGCAGCGGTTCCAGCTAATCTGGATACAGCCTTTACCAAATCTACGAAATTCCAATCAACACATTTCCCGGTTTTCAACGCCAAGAAATTTGCAGGTCACAATATGGACTCCTTTTTCAAGGCTCAAGAGATTGATGACAACTTTAAGTTAATCAGTGATGCCAAGTCCAGGAATTACAGAATAGACGATCGCAAACTAGCCCAGTTGGATACCATTTCTAGGAGAATGTTTTTTGGATTGAATAGATCTAGAACTGTCAATGAAACTCTCATCACCAAGTTCAAAGATTCTACAGAGGAGGAAGATAGAATGATCTACTCGGCTCTACTCATGCAGAAAAGAGACCATCAGTTCCTTACAGATCACTTGTCAGCGCGCTTACTGAAGCTACTACCATGGCTCGTCGTCAGGGTCTACTAGCCTCCTGCAATTGGGATAATCAATTTACGGAATCACTCTATGCTGCCCCATGGTCATCGCCCTTACTCTTTGGTGGTAACATAGACAAGGTCTCCAAAGAGGTGTCTGAGGACTCTAGAGAGGTGCTTATGATCAAGTCCATGGATACGTTAGCGAACGTCATTAAGCAATCATCCTTGAGATACTCTGGCAAGTCTAAATTCTCTGGACTACAGAAAGCACGGGACAAGAAATTGGCTACAGCAAAAGGTCCCAGGGAATCTTTTCGTCGCCCATACAGCAATTTCAGAGGAGGATCAGCAAGAGGCAGATCATCCAGAGGTTCCCTGAGGAATACAGGTTCGGAATGACTGGAGTCGTCCACCCCCAGCCGTTCCAGTACAACCTTCTCAAGTGGGTGGACGCCTTCAGCTGCACTGGGAAAACTGGGGATTACTACAAGATCCTTATGTATCCAACATCCTACAGCACGGATATCAAATACAACTCAAGGCCATACCTCCGTTAACAGTCATCCCTCCAAGGTTCGACTTTCAACGGGCACAACTACCTATGTTAAGAGAAACAGTAGCTACTCTGCTAAACAAACAGGCCTTAGAAGTTCTGGATCAGCGAAACATCCTACCAGGTTTCTACTCCCCAGTTTTCCTAGTGCCCAAGAAAAATTCCAAGGAAAAGTTTCGTCTCATGTACAACATGAGCATCTTCAACAAAGACTATCTAAGCAAACCGCCAGCGTTTTGCATGATACACTTACCGCAACTTCGGCACTTAATTCGTCCCAAAGATTACATGGCCAGCATAGATTTGCAAGACGCACATCTACACATTCCGATTCATCCCAATTCAAGGAAATATCTAAGATTTATCCTAGGCGGAAACATTACCAATGGAAAGTACTTCCCTTCGAATCTCATCGGCCCCTTGGGTATTCACAAGAGTGACGAAGCCTATTGTCGCATACCTACATCGTCAAGGTCTTTGCAGCGCATTTTACCTAGACGACGGGATACAAGTGGATCCAGATCCACAGCGTCTCAGACTACAGCTGAACTTTATAATCAAGTTACTAACTCAACTAGGATGGTTAGTAAATCTACTCAAGTCGGACCTAGAACCAGCGCCAAGATCTGCAATTTCTAGGTATCACGATTTCTAACAGCCCAGAATCGTATAGTAGTCCCGGAGGACAGATGGATCAAGATCCAACAGTTAATCCCACAAGCCTTACTCTCTCCGCTACCACTACGACAGTGGCAGATCCTATTGGGACTACTCACATCAGCCCAAGACTTGACAGTCAGAGGCAGGCTTCAATTACGTCCGTTACAAGTCCTCATCCATGCGCATCTCGAGGACCCTCTACCGTTTAGTCTACCAGATCACGTCAAACCTCATCTACTCTGGTGGACCAAGAGATTGAATGTTTGCGTAGGCGTCTCCTTATTAGAGCCAGAATCGGAAACACATGTCTACGTAGACACGTCACTACAAGGTTGGGGAGCCCACCTCGCCTACAAGACAGCGTCAGGCCTATGGAGCAATCAAGAGAGCAAATGTCACATAAATCTGCTAGAGATGCAAGCAGTCATAAACGCCATAAGTCACTGGAGCAACCTACTACAGAACGCTCAGTTGATGATTCACACAGACAATTCGACAGTGGCGTTTTATGTGAACAAACAAGGCTCAACAAGGTCACCGAACCTACTGTCTCTATGTTTCCGATTATTCGATCTAATCGACAATCTAAACATACATGTCAGAGCTTGCCACATTCCAGGAGCAAAGAATGTATTAGCAGACGCTCTCTCTTGGCCACACCTACCGTCGTCGACAGAATGGATGCTCCACACAGAGATATTCACTCAAATAATCATGGAAATAGGATCTCCACTAGTAGACCTATTCGCCACTCGATTCAACAAACAACTGACAACTTTCGTATCGCCAGTTCCAGACCCACTAGCATGGGCAACGGACGCACTAAGCATATCGTGGGAGGGACTCAGCGTCGCACGCTTTCCATCCACCAGCGTCAATCCCACAAGTCTTACGGAAAATCAGTCAAGCGCCAGAGCCTCCATCAGATTTTGGTGCAGCCCTACTGGCCAGCGAGAACGTGGTTTCAAATCTTATTCAAAAAATCGGACAACCAATTCTACAACTTCCAGAGCGGCTCGAATCTATTGATACATTAAGCACACCAAACAAGTGCGCGGAAAACCAGAAGTATTCCAACTTCACGTTATGGATTGTATCAAGGCATGTCTGAATAAGAGAGGTTATTCAGCCGGAGCGGCAAAAGCAGTCATGCTTGCACTGCGTAACTCAACTTCATAACTTATACGATGACAAATGGCACAGTTTTGTCAATTACGCTGCAAAGAAAGGATTTACAGCCAGATATGCTACTCATCCTCAAGTGGCGGACTACATATGTTATCTACGACATACTAAGAATCTAAAAGGCTCAACTTTGTCCACTTATCTTGCAGCATTAAGCTCTGTCATAACTATGAGAACGGTCAAGTTAACAAAGACCCCAGAGTTACTTTCGCTTTGCTCACGAGCATTCCGATTGGAGGATCACAAACGGAAGTTTCAATGCTCCAGCTTGGGATCTAAATATAGTGCTCCAACACCTCACAAGTGAGGCTTATGAACCGTTAGAATCTACATCGTTTGAATCACTGACCCAGAAAACTTTGTTCCTGTTAACGCTAGCTACGGCTGCCAGGATGTCAGAGATTCACGCTTTGGATTACGAGAGAACACGCTTTGGTGATATTCATAACATCGTTCATCTGGGACTACACTGGGATTTTATAGCTAAGAACCAATTGCCAGGTCAACCAGACAGATTATTCCACGTCCCAGCTCTCTCATCCATACTTGGACCTCATGATACGATGGATCTATCACTATGCCCAGTAAGAGCACTGAAAATATATCTCCACCGATCCAAACAGAGGAGAGGAAAATTCAAGAGATTATTTATCCCTCTATCTACAGCTATGCAGACGGAAGTCTCACGTACTACTATCTCAATTTGGATCAGAACTGTCATACTACGTGCCTACAAGGCTGCAGGACTCGACCCTCCAAGAGCATCTAATCCTCATGAAATTAGAACGCTAGCATCAACACTCTACACGGCAACTGTTCTTTGAATACCATAATGGAGGGTTGTTTCTGGAGATCCGATATGGTGTTTGCCAACCACTATCTGAGAGATATCACCACCAAGGACGTCTCAGGTATTCACCATTTCGGTCCCATGGTCCTCGCTCAACAGTTGACAGTTCCTCGGAGAAGATAAGTCAATCTTACAGATTTATACTTATCTGATATCAGTACTAAATAGCTACATGCTATATATATATTTTGCTTAAGTTCAATCTATTATCTTAAGCTCAGTACTATGGTTATTATATCATACAATATATTAGCTAACAACTCTAAGGAGTTTTGCTTTTATATATTAGCTTAAGTTTCATCATATCTTAAGCTCAGTAATATGGTCACATTTTATATATATATTAGCTAACAAACTCTACGGAGTTTTTGCTATTATATAGCTTAAGTTAATTTATATCTTAAGCACAGCACTATACTCATATAGCTTAAGTTTATGCATATCTTAAGCTTAGTACTTTGGTTACTTCATAAAAGTATATCAACTATAAACTCAAGGAGTTTATGCTATCACATTAACAACTTAAGTCTACTAGTCTTAAGCTTTGTATTAATGTTGTATATACTTTATCATAATAAGTATATTGTAATAGTTATATTGTAATAACCCATATATGGCAGCTGATAAGTTAGCAGCAGGAATTCATCAGTTCAGTGCCTTTATGAAGTTCCCATAGGGTTATTACAGTCATTACAATTCTAATCACTAATTATCTTAATCCAAAGTATTATATATTCCCACCTCCATAGCCGTCGGATTCTACAAGCAAATAAGCATGAGTCAGGATAAGGAAAAATATGTAATTTTCTGAGTAAAATTGATATTTTATACTTATCCTGACTCATGAGGTAAGCCCTCCCCGTCCTCCCCACATAACACTTTGGATTTCCCTGTAAATTCAAGTGTTGGGCTCACTATAAAAGGAGAGAGTGAGGCACATGGTGGGAGGTGGCGCCCTCGTTCCCACGCTTGCGAGGGGAAAGATAACTCGTGGTGAGTACTAATTAGTGATTTTACATTGAAGGGAACTTCAATTGGGAGATACAAGTGTTCCACTGTGTTCGCAAAGAAGAAGAAGACAAGCAAATAAGCATGAGTCAGGATAAGTATAAAATATCAATTTTACTCAGAAAATTACATATTCTGGACATCTTATTGTGATTGAAGACACTGGGGTACAATTATCTGTAAAAGGAAGTTCGGATTTGATGTGATTGTATTCATAGCTTATATAGTTTGATTAATGCTACCATTTATCACGTTTAAATATTGATATTCAAATCTGTTCATCTGTCATATCGATTTAAAATTAATTTGTTAGTCAAATGAATTCTGTATGATAACGACAACAGTGCATGTGACCTGCTGACAACTTGTTCCACAGCTACTGACCAAGGAAGTGACTGTATGGGAGGGAGCTATGTATGAGTACATCGAGGTTATATCCACCATCCCACCACGGCTGTTCTGCTCCCAACCTGATAGAGATGATGCCTGCAAGCTGTTTGTGCAGGCAGTGATGGAGAAGGAAAAGAAGCAACAGAAATGTCCAGGCAGTGATGAAGTAATCTACCAGGCAGTATTTGGGATGGACATGTTATCCACAGAAAGGAGACCATGCCAGTATGAGATCCGTATGTCTGTGTGGAGGCAGATCATGAAGATTCCAATCCGTGGATCTGTTGATGGGCTGAAAGACAAAGACCAAAAGCGGGAGGTGAAGGTCACAGCCACTGTTGAGATCAGTGGCTTGATTTACAGCAGCCTGGAAGTTGGGGAAGTTAAGGTAAATCAATTTTGAGTATTGTGCAAATAAATCACCTTGAAGTTGTGTGAACTCAAGATGTTTGAGTTATATTTAGATGCATCCTAGATTTTGAAAATCAATGGTGAATGTGTCAGGTATTTGACTATTTGAGATAGACTTTATGACTGTAAATTTCTTTATAATAAGGAATGCAGCATTCCAGAGTATGTGATTTCTCCTTCATCAGGTGAATAAAAGCTAGCATATTATATGCACATCTAAGAACAACAAAAGCGATAAATTGACAAAGGTGGAAACTTAACAAAAGGAAGCCTACAGTTAATTAGCACTGATTGGCAATAGCAATGGACAAATGGAAGCCAGGAGTTCTGGAATAAGCACTGTTAATGTACATTCGGTATCAATTCCAAAGCATCCTTGTTATCAATGGCCTTTCGTAGTTTCCTTTTGTGCCAGTTGTTGTTGTCATTGGACAGAGCTAGTAGTTTCTCAGATGAAGGTCACAATGGTCTTGTTTCTTGCAGAAGATGGCTGATGATCTTTGAATCTATTGTTTAGCGGTCTGAGGTTTCACCAGCGTACTGGTGAACATGTTTGCAGGGGATCTGGTACTTACATTGTCAGGGATTGGGGCTTGTGTGATTGGTGCCTCTGCCATAAGCTCACAGAGGAGTCTTGATGGTATTGCCAGTGACATCTGTCAACAAACCTGAAATGAGGTATATATCATTCCATTACTTGATTTCTATGTATGATTTGTGTAGCTGGCTGTGTTCTCTTATTCCAGGTGACTGTCAAAGACAGGAACAAGAAGAGTGGTCTGTGTAGGTCCACAGGTGACCCTCATAGTATTACCTTTGATGGAAGGTAAGTCCTACTTATCATTAAAGTGGTATCTTATTGGGGAAAGTTCATATTTTGATGGTCAAGATGTTTTGGTTTCACATTATATGTACAAAACAATTCCTCACTACAGAACAGATTAGCATGCCTGGCACACACATATTCAGTGGCATTCCCCACCATAGTGATACTGTCATTTCTGTAGACAAAGGGATTTTATTTCTCATGTCAATCAAAGTAGAACAAACATAAGTTTATGGCAATGTATCAAGACCCTCTCCATTGTATGGATTAGTGTTGTAGCAGTATCATTTTGAATCTTTCATGATATACAGTTGATGAGCAAGCTTATGTCTCAGACCAATGTGAAAATGTTACTGTTATTTATATATTTTTTAGAAATCATCATTTAAACTATTAATTATCTTAGATACTTGTGCAAGTCTAAACAAGAGATATCAATATGCATAACTGTATAAAGACCTTTGCTATTTAAGTATATTATTACTTGAAGTCTTTACCTATCAAATATATATGTGTACTGACTCATACATGAAGCATAAAGTCAAAGTCTGTTAAACAAATCTCACTTATTTCATATCTGCTGACTGTTCTTGAACCTTGAATGAAAACCAAATCAAGAGCATGCATCCTTCATGTTTCTTGCCTCCTAACACCTCATCTAAACATAACCATAGCATGCTCTGCTTAAGCCCAGTGCCGCCTCCAATCCATTCATTCTCATTTTTGTTGCTGCTTATTAACTGTTCTAAACCTTTGAAGCTTAATACTGCAATCTTTATAAGACTGTTCACAATTTCATAGCAACATGCTCATGTGATTGACATGTTACTGTCACTGCGACTGCAGTGTCTAGTGTCAGGAGGGTATTGGACCAAACACTGAGGAATAGCCTGGAGGAGGTGGGAAGTCGACCCAGCACACCAGTATTGGTTCCTGTATTGAGGTGCTTGTATCAATGACAATGTGTCTATGATGTGGAAGCCACTGTGGTTGAGAGGGACAGGCATCTGACTTTGTGTGCTGGTGATTAGGTGCCTGACTCTGAGGGTGTGGGTTCGAATCCCCCGGATGGGACTCAACGCCCCAAAAGTACTAGAATCTGTACTTTACTAAGAAAGTATAATCCCAAATATAACATATGTTACTAGTATACAATTAAATTGAATCTAGACTAGTTAACTAGAATAAAGCATAATATCCTAAAGACCTTATGATACGGTAATTACATATGAAAGACATCTAATTTAACTTACCCCAATAAGTGCAGTGCTATGATAATCATGCAGAGTTGACATGGCAGCAATGACCAGAGAAGAGAAATGTTGAAGTACATAAGACTCCAGATCTGGCCTAATGCTACAGAAACAATGCTAACCTACATAACTACAGTATAGAGTGCTTGGGTTGATTTAAAGAGCTGTTACCATACTCAACTAAATTATCTACCTTGAAAGTGTCAAACTTATGCATGTGGAAGGTGCTTCTATGTGTGCCACATGCAAACTATAGGAAGTGATTTGTTTTCAGGTTTGTGGCTGGTCCAGCCCTTTTGTAACTGGCTACAGTGTCATGTGGAATGATACATTCCTTTGCTGCTAGGAACAGAGCATAAAAATTTCTCTTGAATATCAGATTTCTTGTTCGATTTCTTTTCTAAATGTTAATTGTAGGTGACAACATCACAAACCCTGACATACCATGTGTCTTGTATTTCCAGGTACTTTGACAACTATTTGGAAGGTGAATTTACCCAGTACAGGCACAAGAATCTGCCATTTGAGGTAATGCTTTCATATAGTGATATCATGACTTGTGGGCAGGGTTGAGTTTGACTGCTTCTTACAGAACTGTGTATATAAAGTATGTGTGCTGTTGTATTTGAACAGGTCCACAGCTACCAGCGTAAATGTCGGCGGGCAGCCTGTCTGTGTAGTGTCTCGATCAAATCAGGCGACGATGTGATTGTGTTTGATCAGTGTGGGCCGAAAAAATCTGGATCCAACAGAGCATTGCAAGTGAACATGTACGTGAATGGGGATCTCACCCCAGGGACCATCATCCGTAGGAAGTCTGGGGGCGCTGAGTACACTGTGAGTAATATCTGATAATCTCATGTACATGTCAGAACATATACTACCAGAAAAAAGTAACTGTGCATAACATAACATAGCATTAAATAGAAGTTATTTGAAAAGTTATAAAAAATATCCCTAAATAAACATGCAGGTAAGCACTTTGCATGAAATTTGATTGCATTTGAAATAGCTATTAGCCTGCTAGCCAAATGCTAGCTGATTGTGAATTGGACCAGTAATAAGTTGTTAAAGCTATCTCAAATGGCTAACTGAAAATCTCATTTATCAAGGTGTTAAAAGTCTGTCAGAAACAGTTTTGTGATATTTATTATCTCTTGTCACAGGAAGATCGCTCTATAATAATGTTAATAGCATTGCACCAAAGAGGTTAGGAACAATTACAATACAAACGTAATGTTTAACTTGATTGGCTAAGACTCTACTTGTATCCAATCAGCTCCACCGATGTACATTTTGATATTGATATTTTGCCCTCCTGGCCAGTTACCTTTCAAAATTGATTCATATACTGGTGGTACGTGCACTTTGTGCACAATGAATTCACTCATTTTGTCCATGCTTTTAGACACCTGAAGTTCACACACATGATATTGAATGTTGAACAATGGTTGATTATTCTCCAGCCTCTGAATGTTGTGGAAAACATGTTAATTTGAACCTAAACTGTGTGTATGTCATGTCATGGCTTACAGAACATCTGTCTCCATGCCTTGGGTATGCTGGAGACTGGAATGGCCCAAAATAAAGTGGCCAGACATTTTGGTGTCCATCTAACCACGATCTCATCTCTATGGAAATATTTTCAACATAATGCGAACACAAGAGATTTACTTCAGATCAGCCTTCCATGCTTAACATCACGTTTGGCTGACCCATCTAAGGAATCAATTCCAGACTGCCAGTTTGACACCTTGGACCATTCCTGGCTTATGTCCATTCAGCTCCAGTATTGTACAGAACCGACTGGGGGAGCACAACATCTGGCCCTGACAGTCTGCAATAGGTCCACGTTTACGCTGTCATTGACAGGAACATCTTGCCTGGTGCAGACAGCATCTATGGTACAGGACACAAGATTGGGATGGTGTTTTGGTCACTGACGAGTCAAGATTTCATGTGGACAGCTCAGATGTCAGGGCAAGGGTGTACAGATGGCAAGGTGAACGGTGGTCGGACACAACTTGTCAATTGCAATCTGACAGGTCTGAGATACAGAGATGAGATCATTGTACCTCATGTGCAGCCGTTCATTCAAGGACAGAGACGTAACTTCATGCTTCAGGAAGACAATGCCCATAAAGATGTCGCTCGTGTTGTGACAGATTGCTTGAGACAGAACATTCTGGTACTCCCATGGACAGCTGTTTCTCCCCTGGACCTGTCTCATATCGAGCACGTTTGGGATGAAATGGAGTGACATTTACGTCAAGCCCAGAATAAGCTATTGACGTTAGCTGCATTGGGACAAGCATTGGTTCAGACATGGAACAACATTCCCCAAGCTTTCTTCAATCACTTAGTGTCCTTTATGTATCTTGTTGTCAAGCCTGCATCAACGCCACTGGTGGACACACACGATATTGTATTTGTGAATACTTTTGAGTTTTGACACTACATCTCTTCAAGGGCGTGTCATATTCGATTTCGATATTATCTAGTCAACGGTTATACAGTGATTAAGGAAAACACCACAAATCGTGCTTTTTGGTTTTTTGCATTGAAAAAATTGGCATAACGTTAAATAATGTACAGTTACTTTATTCCAGTAGTTTCGTATTGTATTCTTTGTATACTGCAAAGAGTTGGTGTCCATATAACTGTACCATTTTTCTAGGTGACCCTGCCAACTGGAGGCATGCTGAGAGTAAAACAGGTGAAGATCTTTGGGGAGAGATTCCTCAACCTGTACTTCAAAGCCTCAGCAGCTGACTTCATGAATTCAGAAGGTATTGGATTTGTGGAAAACATCTTTGAATATAAATGTATTGTCATGAAAATGGTCCAAACAGTCTCTGATGTAAGTCGTATAATGATAGGTATCCAACTCATTGTCATTTTTAAACACATTTCTTTGAATGTTAAATTAACTATGCCAAGTTTCTCAGTTCTTTCACGTGATGTTGTAGAATAAGCTCATTAAGAAAGCTTTACTTTGACAATGTGCAATATTTCATATTAATGATTGTTCTTTGACTGATGTGTTCATATCTTCATTTGAAGGTTTGTGCGGTACATTTGATGATGACAAAACAAATGACCTTACAATGAAAAGTGGCAAAATCTTTGGAGGAAAGTCGAAACGTCCAAATGAATTTATAAGGAGTTGGAGGTAAGATAATTCTTTTGGTAAATGTAAAGAATCTATAAAGATCCGCAGAGAAAATGTTGGTTTGCATTGACTGTTGAAGAAATTGCAAGACTTGATTTCTTGTTTTGTGCTGGTAGGGTGACATCGAGTGAGTCCCACTATAATGGCATCTGCCCTGAAGTTGAATCAGTCGGATCAGGTGACATGTTCTGTACATGCATGGAGGGTGAGGACATGACATGCAGCAACACTTTGGATGTGCAGACATGTCAGGAGGCTGAAGCTCGCAGAGGAAGGATATCAAGAAAACATGGTAATGCCCACTCACTGCTGACAAACATTCAGTACCTTCTGGTAAAGGATACAATTTGAATATGAAAAGTATAGAATATTATCCTTACTCTAAAAAATACATGATGGGTCAAGTAGAAGCACCATTAACATTAAAGTAACTAGAGACATATTGTCAGCTGTCCCATGATGGGATAAGGTTGAAACACCATTACGATTAAGGTAACTAGAAGCATATTGTCAGCTGTCCCATGATGGGGTCAAGTTAAAGCACCATTAACATTAAGATAACTAGAGGCATATTGTCAGCTGTCCCATGATGGGGTCAAGTTAAAACACCATTAACATTAAGATAACTAGAGGCATATTGTCAACTGTCCCATGATGGGGTCAAGTTGAAGCACCATTAACATTAAGATAACTAGAGGCATATTGTCAACTGTCCCATGATAAGGTCAAGTTGAAGCACCATTAACATTAAGATAACTAGAGGCATATTGTCAACTGTCCCATGATGGGGTCAAGTTGAAGCACCATTAACATTAAGATAACTAGGTCAAGTTGAAGCACCATTAACATTAAGATAACTAGAGGCATATTGTCAACTGTCCCATGATAAGGTCAAGTTGAAGCACCATTAACATTAAGATAACTAGAGGCATATTGTCAACTGTCCCATGATGGGGTCAAGTTGAAGCACCATTAACATTAAGATAACTAGAGGCATATTGTCAACCGTCCCATGACGGGGGCAAGTTGAAGCACCATTAACATTAAGATAACTAGAGGCATATTGTCAACTGTCCCATGATGGGGTCAAGTTGAAGCACCATTAACATTAAGATAACTAGAGGCATATTGTCAACTGTCCCATGATGGGGTCAAGTTGAAGCACCATTAACATTAAGATAACTAGAGGCATATTGTCAACTGTCCCATGATGAGGTCAAGTTGAAGCACCATTAACATTAAGGTAACTAGAGACATATTGTCAACTGTCCCATGATGGGGTCAAGTTGAAGCACCATTAACATTAAGATAACTAGAGGCATATTGTCAACCGTCCCATGACGGGGGCAAGTTGAAGCACCATTAACATTAAGATAACTAGAGGCATATTGTCAACTGTCCCATGATGAGGTCAAGTTGAAGCACCATTAACATTAAGATAACTAGAGGCATATTGTCAACTGTCCCATGATGAGGTCAAGTTGAAGCACCATTAACATTAAGATAACTAGAGGCATATTGTCCCAACATTGAGGCATCAAGTAACACCATTAACATTAAGGTAACTAGAGACATATTGTCAACTGTCCCATGATGAGGTCAAGTTGAAGCACCACTAACATTAAGATAACTAGAGGCATATTGTCAACCGTCCCATGATGAGGTCAAGTTGAAGCACCACTAACATTAAGGTAACTAGAGGCATATTGTCAACTGTCCCATGATGAGGTCAAGTTGAAGCACCACTAACATTAAGGTAACTAGAGACATATTGTCAACTGTCCCATGATGAGGTCAAGTTGAAGCACCACTAACATTACTGTAGACGCAAGAATGACAACTCACCAAGAGCTCGCATCCAAAGGGTTTTATTCTTTGGTGGTAAACAATGATACGTTATGCGTTGATGTACGGTGACAAATGTAAAATACACGTTGGACGTTGGTCGTTAGCCATAGTGTGAAAGGATAAATAGACGAGTGGATGAGTGGATGAGGTTTGGAAAACTGGAATAAACAGAATCAATTTGTAATATAATTTGACTATAAAATACAATGCATTGACAAAATATCATCTAAATTCATGTTTAAAACTTTGAAAACCTTTGAAGATTATTTGAACACTTTCAGAAAATATTGCATGTAACAATAACATTATGAGGCCATGAACTTCAAAGAAGACTATTAAACATTATATTTATACAAAATAGAATAGTAACTGTGAAATAATAAAGATGCAAGACTTACATTTGTGTTCCTGTGTGCTACATTGAGATTAACAGTCAGAGGAGACCTCTTGACGGTATGGAGGCTGCTAACACACTGAGGCATGGGGTCCCAGTACCACATGTGCTTTTTTATGGTCACATGACAGGAAAGTGGTACTATGGGATATGAAACATAACAAATCTGCAAAAGTTTTATTAGAAAGCTGGGATTGAACCCTAGCTGGCTGGGTTACTAACAAGTGAGGTAATAGCTGATACGAGGATGAAGCAAGAGCTGCAGTGTGCTACAGAGACAGTACAGATTAGTGAGACATTTATAATGCATGAAATATGCAAATGAAAATTATGTGAAAATATCTGCAGGAGGGAAATGTGCACAATAAAAATGAAACATATGTATCTTGCATTAACAATTACGGTAGCTAGAGGCATAGTGTCAACTGTCCCATGATTGGGTCAAGTTGTGATGCTTCCTGACACATGTTTCAAAGAAGAAAGTTTTGTAGCTCTGTTCCAGTCTTGACATGTAATGCAAACACCTGTATGATTACTCTGATTGTATCACCAGGTAAAGACATCACCAAGTCCCTTGCTGAAGCTGCCCGGGACCGTGGACCTGTGTGTGCCCAGGGATGTCATCATTTGGGAATTTGACATAACATTTGAAGCAGTGGTAAGTTGACATGCTTAGCCACATATGTTAGGTGTTGTGTTAACTATTGATATTGACAGATTTCTCATGGCATGGGACAAAAAGCTGGAGAGTCCATCATTGAAAAACACATTGATACTGTGTTAGATACATATGTTTCCTAAATTTTCTGACATATTTTGATATGAAGCTGCATCATATGAAGCATACTAGTATGCACATCGTATATTGCTGAATGCACACTCACCTTTTTCATGTATGCTATGACAAGATTTGCTGATATTTCTATGCATGAATTCAAAAAGATGATACCTCAGGAAATGCATGATCATAGAATATTTCCAACAGATTCCTTCCAAATGTAATTGGTGCTGAAATTTCTGAATCTTTTCTATGTTTACTCGGGTTGGAAATATGAATATTTCTTCAGGTTGGGAAACATTAGTAAATAATTATTCATATATTTTCAAATGTTTACATGCCATAGAAACTAATGTACCATTCCTGATATCAAGGGAATGTTTTTAAACAGCTTTTACATGTTCATATTACTAGTGCTAACACATGATGATCAAGAATTTACAGTTTAGTAAAATGCTGGATTCACATTGTATTATTTTCACAAATGCTGAAGTCTTTGCCATCAAGGCTTGTATGGCCTCATTAGGTTTCTACTGGTCAAGGTCTGGCTAAGCAAAACATGTTATACATGCAGACACGTTTCCATTTGGTCAGCAGCTAAATAACTTTTCTTAATTTCTTGGTCATTTTTTAGACGAATATGACTTGGAGATAAAGTCAATAGACAGATTTTTAGCCTTTACATGGTTGCTCAAATGTTGTGATTCACATTGGGGATTGATAATTTTTTAAGTTATGCAATATACTATTACTCTCCTCTAGTTTATTGGTTTTGTTCTGACAACAACATGACAGTAAGTGAGATGTTTCATGTCCAAGCATTAGTCAATGCAGTAGAGATGTTGAGTTCATAATTGTTGTTCTACTTTTAAGTTGTTCCCTCAAAGTTAGAGGAGTTATGCTTACTTTCAAATGTATAGTTTACTTATGGTACACCCATTTCATGTTACATCCTAAAATATGGGAGCATTACATCCATATGAAGAGTAGCCGTGATAAGCCACATCACTGCTGATGGAGTTAAACAATATTCACTCTGTCACTCCTTACAAATAGGTGTGTTGAATTTATACCATACAAACATGAAATATTTTGGAATTCCATGTCAAAGTCACCAGACAGAACATTGGAAATTATGGTACAAATAAACATATGTCACTTCATTCGCTACTTTTGTTCTAGTCACAAAACAATAAATTCATACTGTTTAATATCTTTGATCTTAAATAGCCTCCACCCATACAAATGCAACATGACAAACATTCAGACCCACAGTTCTGGGACTGAGACTACTATTACATCTGAGGCCCCGGCAGTGCAGTGCGACTGTGGCTGGTACAAGGAAGGAAGTGCATTTTAAAACCTGTTATCGTTTAAAGACAAGATTATGAGTCAGATGTCAGACATGCCTTTAGGAAAAAGTGAATCTATCTTACCATTCCATGATATTTCTACAAAAGAAAATCACACTGTTTTTTTTTAACACAGTGTAATGTTTGATTTGTTTATTTGTTTGTTTTTACTCGGCAATATTCCAGTTATATGATGGCAGTTTGTAAATAAAATAGTTCGGACCAGACAATTCAGTGATCAACAGCATAAGTATTGATCTATTCAGTTGCGATATGATGACATGTGTCAATCAAGACAGCGAGTCTAATCACCCGTTAGCTGCCTCTTACGACAAGCATGGGCTGCTGAAGTTAATTCTATCTCAGATCTTCATGGGTGTAACCAAAGTGTCACCTACATAAACTGCTTCCAGGTTGCTGACTGCTGATAGCTCAGTACCATATGACTGGTATATTTAAGATAGAATAAATTCTTTTCAGAAATATGACTGACCCTACAAGAAAATAACATACTTATGCCACTGTTTTATTTCACTGATTCACTTATACATCAAGAGTTGGGTGAGTTAGAAAAAATATGGAAAAGGAGCAGTGACAAGTATTACTAGGGAATACAATAAGAATGTTGTGTTTTTGAAATGTTTAAATGTGGCTTTGTTGTAAACAGGTGTGTTGCTTTCTCCTCAGGAATTTACATGGCCAGTAGCAGGCATCACCAGAGAGATGGCAGAAGAGAGATGCAGATCATTTATTGAAATCCATGCTGCTGCTCAGGCATGCAAATCTATCATCACAGTTGACTTTGAACTGGCTCTTGAGGGCTGTGTCGCTGACATCCAGGTATGTTACATCTTGCCCCAGAATGTCCTTTCTTTGATGGCTACATATACTGGTCACACTTCAGATAACATGGTATGTTGGCTTGTAAAACATATATGTATGTAAGACTTTCAGTCACAGAATGTCGTGACTGTGTTGGCGAGTCAAGTGTACATGTATGTAAGACTTTCAGTCACAGAATGTCGTGACTGTGTTGGCGAGTCAAGTGTACATGTATGTAAGACTTTCAGTCACAAAATGTGGCAGCTATGTAAAATAAGCCAATGTAGATTTGTAATGCACTAAACTGTTCTTTTCAGTACTCCAAAACTTTTGTAGATAATTAAATGTTTGATTATTTAACAAAACCTATCTTTGCAGATTTCTGGTGGTTTTGACTTTCTGCTGTCCATGTTTTATGACATAGTGCAGACATGTTCAGTAGAGATTGAGTTCAATGCTGACCTCTGGATTGTCCAAGAGTCAGGGGTCATTATCCTGCCAGAGGTCACTGCCATACTGTGTGACGAGGACTGTGGTGACAGTGGCAAGTGTGAGGATGGTAGGTGTCTGTCTTCATCATTTGTTAAGAATATGTGTTGTATTTAGTATGCTCAATTTATATTACAATAATGAGGAAAAGACTCATTGAATAAAATAGACTATAAAGCAGGCACAACATTGTCATTTTCAGGAGAATGTAAATGTAACGAGGGCTGGCTAGGACCTGCGTGTGACATAGATTCGGCACAACCACCTGTGCTTCTCTCTCTCGACACAGAACTGTGTGACACGACTACTGATGATTGTGATGAGATAACCATATATGGATTCATGTTTGTGGAAAGTGACAACCTGCTATGTCACTTTAAGAATGAACAGGTAACACTTTACTGTAGCATTCTTTTTTGCCAATTTGTTTTTTGAATAATTTCAAGAAATAGGACTGACAAAACCCTTTTCATAAGAAGCATCTTCCTAAAGCTGTGTTCATTGTAAGATGACTACACTAGGTGTTCATGCCCTATCAGTGGCATTATTAAGACAGCCGTTAAGATAACCATCCAACTTATATGTTTGTTCATATTATGCATTATATAATGAGTTTAAAACATGTATTGAAAATCAAATGTTTTCAGGATATTCATTGTCCCTTTATTGGTCAAAATGTGTTCAAAGGCCCCAGAAGTCCATAAGCTGTGTACCTGCTCCACCTGCTTGTTTAGACTACATTCATTTATCACAGTTCATGAAAACAAGATCAAAATGTGTAGAAAGATGATATTTTTCTCCTGAAAGGTGTACATCGTCAATGTTAACATCCTCATATCTAAACAAATACTTGTGTTGTGTGTGTTGTTGTTCACAAGGTAGGACAGTATTTCCAGAAGAGCTGCTACATGTGCACATGTTTATGTTAATGTACTAATACATGGTGTTTACCTTGTAACAATAGTTATAACTCTTTGCAATTCTAAGAATACATCTTCCATGATGGCCATAAATCCCATATACTGGCTGAATCCCAAAACACTTCCTGGAGTTTTCAGAGCAAGCATTGTCTTCACTGCCAGCTATCCAATATTCAAAGGTCAGTCAGACGAATCAGCAAGCATTGTCTTCACTGCCAGCTATCCAATATTAGAAGGTCAGTCAGACCAGTCAGCAAGCATTGTCTTGACCAATCAGAAAACATTGTCTTCACTGACATTTATCCAATATTCAAAGGTCATTCAGACCAATCAGCAAACATTCTCTTCACTGGGAGCTATCCAGTATTCAAAGGTCATTCAGACCAATCAGCAAACATTCTCTTCACTGACAGCTATCCAATATTCAAAGGTCATTCAGACCAATCAGCAAACATTGTCTTCACTGAGAGCTATCCAATATTCAAAGGTCATTCAGACCAATCAGCAAACATTGTCTTCACTGAGAGCTATCCAATATTCAAAGGTCATTCAGACCAATCAGCAAACATTGTCTTCACTGAGAGCTATCCAATATTCAAAGGTCATTCAGACCAATCAGCAAACATTGTCTTCACTGAGAGCTATCCAATATTCAAAGGTCATTCAGACCAATCAGCAAACATTGTCTTCACTGAGAGCTATCCAATATTCAAAGGTCATTCAGACCAATCAGCAAACATTGTCTTGACCAATCAGCAAACATTGTCTTCACTGACAGCTATCCAATATTCAAAGGTTTTTCAGACCAATCAGCAAACATTGTCTTCACTGAGAGCTATCCAATATTCAAAGGTCATTCAGACCAATCAGCAAACATTCTCTTCACTGACATTTATCCAATATTCAAAGGTCATTCAGACCAATCAGCAAACATTCTCTTCACTGAGAGCTATCCAGTATTCAAAGGTCATTCAGACCAATCAGCAAACATTGTCTTCACTGAGAGCTATCCAATATTCAAAGGTCATTCAGACCAATCAGCAAACATTGTCTTCACTGACAGCTATCCAATATTCAAAGGTTTTTCAGACCAATCAGCAAACATTGTCTTCACTGAGAGCTATCCAATATTCAAAGGTCATTCAGACCAATCAGCAAACATTCTCTTCACTGACATTTATCCAATATTCAAAGGTCATTCAGACCAATCAGCAAACATTCTCTTCACTGACAGCTATCCAATATTCAAAGGTCATTCAGACCAATCAGCAAACATTCTCTTCACTGAGAGCTATCCAATATTCAAAGGTCATTCAGACCAATCAGCAAACATTGTCTTCACTGAGAGCTATCCAATATTCAAAGGTCATTCAGACCAATCAGCAAACATTGTCTTCACTGAGAGCTATCCAATATTCAAAGGTCATTCAGACCAATCAGCAAACATTCTCTTCACTGAGAGCTATCCAATATTCAAAGGTCATTCAGACCAAATTCAAAGGAATCAGCAAACATTGTCTTCACTGAGAGCTATCCAGTATTCAAAGGTCATTCAGACCAATCAGCAAACATTGTCTTCACTGAGAGCCATCCAATATTCAAAGGTCATTCAGACCAATCAGCTGGACCAGCTGTGCACAAGCAAGGAAGGAACCATACTGCTTCTGTTGAATAACACACATAGTGTCCAAGAGCCCACTGTGTAAATGTAAATGTGGAGGTGGGAGGGACTATTCTTGATGTAATAGAGGGAGTATTCTTAGAATTGTAAACAATGATAAGTTATTAGGCTGACAAAACATCAGATGTGTAAGTTACCTTGTAAGGTGAGCTGATTATGTAGTCTCTGACAAAGGTTTTCTGGTTAGGTTTTCCACTATCACTGCATGGGATTTTTTGGACGTCATGTTGTATATCAGCCATCTGAGCCACTACATCTGTGTGTCATTATACAGGATCGTGTATCTACCCAGCAAGCTGTCTTTGTCAGTCAAGAAGTAATCCGGTGCCCCTTGTCCATTTCTGGTTACCTTCAAATCTCTGTCAGTAATGATGGTACCAAGACCAGCAACAAGACTCTACTGTACCGGGCATTTGACTCCCTGTGTGAGACATGTCACAACGTGACTAGCTGCAGTGCCAGGGTAGGTGACAGCCATTGCCAGATTCCTGGTAATAAATGCTTCCAGTAAGTAGTCAGTTCTAGCATAGTCATACTTATCTGTGTAATGGAATAGTGATCCCTAATGAACCTCAAGGATAACTTAGTTGAGCATGTTGTAGCTGACCACTGGGCCATCCACGACCAGAGACAGACTAAGAAGAAGTTGATGCATCAACATACACTGTATCATACAGATATCTTCATGTCTATTTTATATGAAATCAGAAAAAATTTCCATGGTCTATTATTATGATGGGCACATAAAATGTAATTATATTTGTATTTATTCAAATTGGATTCCCAGCAAGGTTCTCTCTGTGGTATGCTTGAACATGATTAAAAGCAGTGTAAAATCAATATTAGACATCCGGGGAGAAACTAACATGATTTCATCAATTGATGTCCTAACTATAGGGACATCATTACAATACTCTGTTTCAACAGTGGTGAGACATGGGGACATTTAACAATTTATCAATTTAATGACAATGATGAGTTACTTGAATTTTATCTGTGATTCTCCAGGATGATGTCTGTAAAGTTGACTCCAAGTGCTTTGCTGATGGATTCTTCAACCCTGAAAACCCGGATGAAATGTGCAACCTCGTCATATCTTCAACTGTATGGACTCCAATCAGAGGTAGACCTGTTATGTAGGAATACAAAACTGAATATGTTGTTTCCCAGAAAAGGGAATAATGCTGACCATACACCCATGTATGGATGAGCCTGATTATCTGAAGAAGTGTTGTTCTCATGTTTTCAGTTGACAGTATTGAGGAGCAGAGATTGACATGGCAGACAACCATTGGTAACATATTGGTAACTTCACTGGGAAACATCACAACTGCAGAAGGTGTGACTCTGACCAGAAATACCCGCAACCGCTTTTCATTGGAGTTGGATGGTAGGACACAGTCCCTTGACCTGTCAGGCTTGCAGTCAATCAGAGACAGTTGTGTGTTCTCTCCCAGTGAGTGCAGGCTTGGATTTACCTTCCTCTTCACCATCAAGTTCCTTGAGTTGGAGGACAACACCTACATTCTCACGAATGGTGGAGACCTGCTAGACTCCACAGGACTGGCTGTGTACTACAGACGAAACAGGCTGTACATTACTGTCAGCACACGGACTCAGGAATGGACAGTGTACATCCACAAAAAGGACATCCTCTTTAACAGATATCAAGATTATGAAATTTCATGGAATCTACAGCATGGATTATCCTGTTCCCTTGACGGAAGATTTATACGAAAATCCAAAAAGTTCAAAAAGCGCAATGTTGGTAATGTCATACGAAGAGGTTTCTTCTTTGGACGCCCAATTGAAGCAGGTGGTAGGTATGCTAGGTGTGTCCTGGAGCAGTGGCAGATGGTGTTTGCTTCCAAAGAGATCACAGAGAAGCTGGACATCCCACTGGGTGAGCTAAACAGTTGCTCCTGTAGACGATAGATTGCACTGATGTTTGATGTTTATAAATATATTTAATTGAAAATGTGAGCACTTTGTATAAAAGTGCACAATCACATATCTTTTTGTACTTCTGTCAGTGTGAGAAGATGAATTGTACAGGAAATGACATCCTTATTATAAACATTGATCACATTGTCCTTGTCAGTGGTTCCTCTGTAAAGTCCTTGTAATTTGTATTGCAGGGTACCCTAAGCTTCTCTCACCACCAAAGATAGAGACAGAAATGACTGAAGCTGGAGCTCACTTCATGTGCCGCTTCTCATTAGTGAAAGGTCTCAGTGTCAAATATGATGTGGCATATTATGTGGATGAAGAACGACTTCTAAATCAAACTGTCTCAGGAGATGCTATACCAGCCCTCAACCAGACCATCTATCCAAATGTCGAACTCGGAAGTCAGGTATTAGCGTCATCAAATCAAACATATATGTATTATTTTTAAAAAATAAAGAAATCTATGGGTCTATGAATTTAGGTTCTCTGATATTGCTGATAGGTGAGAAAAGTTACGAAAGACTGACTGACTGAGTTTGGTTTTACGCCGCTTTTAGCAATATTCCAGCAACATCACGGCGGGAGTTACAAAAGATGTCTTGAGACATTAACCACATACACTCTAAACTTTCATTGTGAAAAAGATCACATGATCAAAGAATAAATTCAAAGAACCAAAACTGATCTTCAAAACAGTCTTACATAAACACACCATCCAAGGTTTATAAACTGATATGATCTTTCTTGTATGGCAGTTTTTTTCCCCTGTAATAGTGAAGCTTCATATTTTCAAAGAAAATATATTGTGAATGTCAAGCTTGCATAGAAAACTCCCAGACCAGATTCCATTCCAACTAAAGATGATCATCAGACATCAAACATTGGGGGCTGTGAGGTGACTGTTCTCCCCTGCTGTGATATTGCTGGAATATTGCACTAACCTGCGTAAAGCATACTCACTCACCCACACACTCACTCCCACATACTCACTAGGGCTTCAACGAGTCGAGGGGTGAGACTCGACTCGGACCCGAGTACTCGAAATTCATACCTTTCAAGCAAACGATCAATTGTCAAGATAGTTACCTAATCATTTTAAGAAGTGAAATCTCAAACGATGTATAATATTTACTCTCATCTGCAGACTTGTAACAACTAATACCATACAGCCACACCGTGTGAGGAGTAAACTATTTAATCTAGGTGTTAATAAAAAAATATCAGATGGATTAAAGAATTCAGGGTACATAAAACTCAGTATGTCAGTGTCAATGGCTATCAATCTTCTTTTCTCTCAACCTCTACTGGAGATCCACATGGCTGTGTTCCTTCATCCGTACTCTTCGTTTTGTATACCAATGACTGTTACTTGTCAATATATGACTTGTTTACTGTGAAATTTTCAGATGACGCCACTGTTACTGGCCTAATTTCTGATTCTGAACATTATTATCGTCAAGGCATTGACAAAACCGTAATGACAGTTTTTTATCAAACCTTTATTCAAAGTGTGTTGACCTACAATTTTCTATGTTGTATGGGGATCTGTCTCATCGCAACAAAAACAGACTTTTCAATATTGTTAATACTGCTTGCAAAAGTTCTGGAATGTATTTCGAGTATAGTCAAAAAGGCAGCTAAAATTAGATTTGATAGTTGACATATTTGATCTCACCATTTTGAACTACTTCCTTCTGGACGCTGCTGTCGATTACCTTCCTTCAAGACAGAGCTCGACAGTCTTTCATACCATCAAGTATTCGTGAATGCAACAAATATTTTGAATCACCATCATGTGATTAGACTGACTGACTGAGTTTGGTTTTACGCCGCTTTTAGCAATATTCCAGCAACATCACGGGGGGGACACCAGAAATGGGCTTCACACATTGTGCCCATGTTGGGATTCGAACCCGGGTCTTCGGCGTGACATTTGATTATTAACTAGAATTATTCAGCCATTTTACCTATGTGGTTAATTGAATTATCTCATGTCAGTTTTATTTGTAAATAGCATTCGTTTTGAGCATGTAATTATTGTGTATATTTTTGTGAACTGTGTATATATTCATTTTGAGACAGTTTGGATGTATGAGAATTTTCTGTGGGATAATAAAGTTATATCTTTTTCTTAATATTAGATGTTAACGGCCGCTCATGCTTAGCACATGGCAGACAGTCCGTCAACGTCAATAATTCGAGTTATCTCCCCCTTTTCGAGTCCTTGAGTCCTTGAAAATGGACTCCAGTCCAGCTAAACCCGACTCGTCCTCGAGTACTCGAGTACATGGAAGCCCTAATACTCACTCATGCACAAACACACTCACTCACTCACCCACACACTCACTCAATCACATACTCACTCACCCACACACTCACTCACCCACACACTCACTCCCACATACTCACTCATGCACACACTCACTCACCCACATGCTCACTCACTCACTCACCCACACACTCACTCACTCACCCACACACTCACTCACCCACATACTCACTCACCCACACACTCACTCATTGAACTCTGAACTCCTGCCTTACATGCCTCCAGCTTATGTAATATAGCATGTATTTCAGCTGTACTGTGCTGTTGCTGTGTGTCTCAGTGAAGATTGTGAGGCAACTCGAGGTGAGGGGATCCGGAGTCCAGTCATCACACTTGGCATTCAGGTAGTCTCACACCCAACATGGTACTCTCTGTTTCACTAATAGAAACTTAAATCTAATGATCTCAAAGGCTAAGACTTCTGTACTTTGTTGTCAATGCTAATGCCAACATAGCGATTATTAATGAGATGATAAATAATATGAAGTATTGCTCAGCACCTTGATGTAGTTGTTCAAACTTTTGTCTAATGATGTTTGGAGTGCTATTTCAAAAATTAAGTCATAAGTTAAGTTTTAAATAGATCATGTTATGAATATTATAGCAATTTTGACTGAATGAATTAAGCTAAACATGTCTTGTATCCTTACTTGAGGATATTTATGCACATCAGTGATCTTTGAATGTTATTTTACTTGTGAATGAAGTTCAAACTATGTTTGATCTTGGAACTTGATTATTTATATAAATGTTCCTGTTGAGTTACTTGCTGTTGGTTGACATTACGAAGGTGACATGGGCAGGTTGCACATGTATCATGTTGTTGTCTATAGCTGCAAAAGCTATGTGATTAATGTTACATCCAGTGACACCTCTCAGTGAGTTCTAGTGTATATTATTGCTCTCATCTTCTATGACTTCAGATTCTGACTGAGTCGCTTACTATTACGGAAGGATCCGTAGGCCACATTGATGTCCGAGCAACCATTCCCCCATCCTTCTTCTGCCCTGCATCTGAGAAAGAAACATGTGTGGTGAAGCTTCATGCAGGAATCCGAGCCAGCAAGGAGAAGAAGTGCCCTGATAAGTCTGTCATCCCACAAGCTGTTTTGTCATGGCAGCACATGGAGATTACACCATTCTGTGGTCTCGTGTTGCAGGAAGAGAAATGGCAGCAAAATCACAGCATTGTTGTAAAAGGTGTCATTGATGGTGTTAAGGACAAGGATCAAGTGCGTTCTGTCAGCGTGTGGGCAACAGTTACATCTGTGACTTACTCAAGACGACTTCAACTTGGAAATGTCAAGGTAAGTGATACTCATTCAAAGCACATTGATTCAATGATGTATTGAATGAAAACAGTACTGCTGTAAATTCAATGGACACTGCACAACTGATTCGTTCAATGGACACTGATGCATTCAATGAAGGCTCACACTACATAATGGTCCTTACAGGTGACTGTTAAAGACATGGATGACAACTCTGTGTGCATGTCTGTCAATGATCCTCATATCTACACCTTCGACAAAAGGTGAGTTGACATTAAAGGAGATATTTGATTGTGTTTGTGTGTACATGCTGTATATACAGAGTGTTTTGTTTGTGTGTGGTATTCTCTTGCATCTCACATGTGATATTTTACATTCCAGGAAGTATAACAATTTCTTTGAGGGTGAATTTGTGTTTGCCAGCATCAAGGACTCTGGTATCAAGGTAACAATAGTTTATATATGTCTTCTTTAGTCCTTGTGAGACTTTGATAGTTACCATCTTGTCCTTATAGTTTCCATGTCCCCACCTGGTGATGAAAGAATCACGGTCAAGCATGTCTTGCTTGACTGTGTTGAATATTCCATCACAAGGGATATCTATTTCAAATCACGAACTATGAAGGATCTTTTTAATAATATAAGTTCTCATTTAATTACTGCATTTTTAAAAGAATTAGATTTGTTAAATGATTTGTAAATAGATACATATTTTATTATTGGTAGTTTAGATTATTAACTGAGATTGTTAATGGCTGTTCCCTCAAAGGGGGTTGAAGTAGCATTAAATTATTGTCCTCCTGAGAGGAGTCCTTTCAAGTCCCAAACTTTCAAAGGAAATTTAAATTTACCTGCTGTTTTAAATGTAGCATTTCTGACATTTGACTTAAAATGCCAGCGGCTGAAGGGATGATTTAAATCCAGCTAGGGTCCATGCAGGTAGCAAAAGTACTGTAAGTCCCTATGGTCCCTAGTATGGTGATCTACCTTCAGTTGTTGGCGATCTATAGCCAGTTTTTATATTGTTTTGTCCAGATAGTGCTATTAGTTTTAACTTTCTATACTAGTTTTAATTCAAATTGTGATATTCTAGTTGTTTTACTGTCCTTTGATGACAGGTTTTTATAATATACATATATTCCATTTCAATGTCAAATATGTTCTCGTCACAATATGGCTGAAATATTGCCGATGTGACATTAAATATTAACTCACTCACTCACTCCATGTCCCCATTGAATAGAAAGTTTAAAGAAATGTTGGCTACAGTGTGAGTGGCACATTGTGGGCTGCATGTCTGACACATTGTTCCTGGTGCTCCAGATCCACACCTTCTACCGCAGCTGTAACAAGCGAGCATCATGTAACTGTGCTGTGGCTGTGAAGGTGGATGATGACGTCATCCTTTTTGATAAATGTGGAGCACAGCGGGGTACAGAGGGAAAAGGCTACCCCATGACAGTCAAAGTTTACAAAAATGGGGATCTCACACCAGGACTTTCTGTATACAGAAGAAAGAATGAACAGTATAATGTAAGTGCTTGATATTTTAATACCATTGACACTGGTTTCATTGAATCCATATAAATACATCATTACGTATTCAATCATAGCAGAAATACCTCTGTATCAAGCATATTCATGTATAGCATTTCTGCATATGCAGAAGATATAATGACATTATGTGTTTGAAACTTTTATCAGTCATAATCTACTTCAAATATTCCATATGAAGATGTTTAAGTTTCATTCATATATTCAGTTTTTAGCAAATATTCAGTTTAATATGCTATCAAATCCAAAGAAATTAGTCAAAATGAATGTATGGCTTGAAAATATATATGTTCATGTTCTCGGGAAATACAGCAGGTGGCCAAATAAACAGTTGTGTACAACAGAAGGGGCTCCCAACACATGTAGTTGTTGAGTAATACTCTTCTAAAGCAATGAGACTAAAGGTCAGCTTCATGTATTCTTAATGTTCTCCAATGTATGCTCTCAAGGACACACAATACTTGATTCCATGTTTACCAGCTAGCACATGAACTTGATTTCTGTCTTTTAATAGCCATTGCATATGTTTATATTGTTATCTTTGCCTCATTTTTCTAATATCAGGTGAATTATGTCAATTATCTTAAAAATTGACTTCTTCTCTACAAAGCAATAATAATTAAACTTGTGACACAGGAAACATCATGATAACATCTTAAATACTGCAATTTATATATAATACTTTGGATCCCTTGCTTTTAATATTAAACAGATTTATCATGGTGTAATAGGAAAAAATAACAATGTACTCTGGATTATATAATTACTGTATTTCCCAGTGTATAGTGCTCACCTTTTCCCAAAGATATGGACCTGTGAAGAAGGGGGTGTACACAGAATACTTGCATACAATGAGTTTCAATGTTGTTTGTCAATGCAAACATGTTATAGTAACCACATCAGCACAGAGATGAAAGGACCCCAAATCTGAATGTTATTACACTATTTTGTGGTAAAAGGTGTATTTGGTCTCACAGTTCTAAGCTATTACATTAGTTTTATTTAAGATTTCATACAATATTGTTCACAACAATATTGGCAAAATCATGCACAGTGATCAACTCTTCAATATTTGCAACAACCATGATCATATGACCGCTACTGAAGTGTTGCCTGTCTGTGCTGCCAGGTGTACCTGCCTAATGGGTTCCTGCTGAAGGTGAAGGTGCAGAAACGTGGCCGCAGTAGGAACTTCATCAATGTATACCTCACTGCATCTGCTGCTGGCTACAACAAGACTGAAGGTATAGACACTCAAGCAATATATCCATTTTATTCAAAGTAACTTTTAACATCTCCAGAAACCTAAAACTGAAATATTTTCCATACACAGCACCATAATTCCTCTTTTTATATAAACTTTTCAATGTTTGAGTTTGCAATAGAAAATAATAATATATATATAAAACTTTTACAAGTGATTTCTGGAAGTAATTGTCTATTGACAAAAATAGAAGAAGTGATTTCTGAGAATTTTAAGTTAAAAGATTACTTGGATTCTATACGGACCTACTTTGAAATGTTTCTCATTGCTTAGGATATTTCACAGAGAAATGTAAACTACCTTAAATCATAATTTTATTCTGAAGATGGGCATATATTTGTGTTGTGACTGAAGTTGATGAATTTCAGCACTGCATTCTGGTATTGTTATGTCCTATACAGACAAGACTTGGTCCTTCTTCATGTGCATCCTTAGGATGTGTTGCTAGGTTATGAAAAGGTTTTGCAGACTGGAAATATATAATGTGCTCGTTACATATTAATAGAAACAGGGCCATGTACAAAGAATCTTTGGGTCCTTTTGGTATTTAGAAACATAGATTTGATCATATTACTTTCAGCAGATATTTAAATTAGCTTCAAGAGATGTTTTACATGTTATTAGTACTTGTATTTTGCCTGATCCTGTCTGATACTATTTGCTTCTCTCTCCCTTAACCAGACATACAGTGGATACATTCCATGTTTTGCTCCCCACGAACAGTTGAAACATTTCAACAGAACGCACCCCACCACCATGCATGTGCATCCGGCTCCTACTTGACCAATTGTATTTGTCACTCGTTCTATTTTTGCCCAACAGGATGGGCAATCCAATCCATCCATTTCATAAAACTAGGCTTGGATTATCTCTTTAGGACCTTTATGCATCATATATATCAATTACTTTTTCAACTGGGTGTTTAATGAAGTATATTCTTATCTTAATTATGACCCACGGTCTGTTCCTGAAAAACTGTTCTATATGCAGACTTAAATCAGGTGACCCACACCCTATCTGATCAACTTGTATCCCTAAACATTGTAACGTGTCATTTCTGTGTCATTCTTGGGGATAATGATTTTGCTGATTATCTTTTTGGAGTGCAGAGGATAAAGATGGACAAGAAAATAACCAGGAAAACTCAAGGTCTTTATCCCAGTCTTCATCTTCTGTGGAGAATGCTATTGATCATTAAGGAGAACTTGAGTTCCAATACATTCCTCTATTAATATGGATTCTTTTCAGTTGGTAGAGGGTTCGCTTTCACCCTACTCTCGGTGTAGACTCCCAAGCTACTGAAGCAGTCATGAAGGTTGTACTTAACAAAAATTGTGATAAAGAAATCTACATCTCTGAAACTGTGTGCAACTTTTACTTTAGGGGCTTTGAACCCTTCTACGTTAGAAGATGACGTGAGAAGTGTTGAAAAGTCGTTCACGCAGCTGCCTGTACTTTTCCAAGCATTGTCAGTGGTGCATCAGAGACTTTTCATACTGTCTCAGACCTTCACTCAACCCCATACCCTCATGCAGCCTCAAATCTTCACACAGCTGCAAGCCCTTGTGCAGAAGTCATGCATTATGCAAGGAGTTAAACAGTCTTCTAATCAACCAGATGTAATAGCAAAAGTCACTATACAGGTACTGTTTGCTATTCAGCAACAATGGCATCAACAAATCAAATCATCACCTTCTGTTACGTTTATGACCCAAGTCTATATGTAGATGCTTCACTACAACCAGCAGTGGTAATCAGACTTGGCTCAGGAACATGTTCCGGATGATCAGCAAAGACATCAGAGTTATATCCTTTTACATCAACCTTCAAGACACAACAAGGTCAGGAAGTATTCTGCTGGTAACATTTCAACTGTACAGACACTCTCAACACACGATGAGAGCAAGATACATTCCAGAAGTTACAAATATGATAGTAGATACTCTGTCCAGGCCAAACAAGCCATCAGTCTTGACGAGCAATATAAGAGTTAAACTCATCAAGCTTCCAGAACTCACTGCCCTTCTGAGGCCTTATGATCTAGAGATCAACAGAAGATATTTAAAGCACCAGCATAGGACTACAATATAGTCCTTCAACATCTGATGTTTCTGTACCTCTTCAACAACCATACTTTGAGTTTTTAACTCAGAAGACTCTATTTCTTCTGGCATTTGCTACAGCAGCAAGGATGTCAGAAATTCACAGTATCAGCTTCAGTAGCTCCAGATTTGATACTGGCAAACATGCTTCAGTCTTCAGGGATTATGATGGATTGCATAGCAAACAATCAGCTTCCAGGACAACCTGACAGACAGTTCCACCTCCCAGCCCAGAAATCTATTTTAGGAGCAGAAGGTACATAAAATTTATCACTCTATTGCCAAAACTAGAAGTTTCTAGAACAACTATGTCTTTAAGCATCCAATTCGCACAAACGTAAGGCCATAGCATCCATGCTAGTGTGTTATGGCAACTGCTCCATCACATCCATTATGGAAAGATTTTTTGGATGTTCATTACTCTCACATGAAGAGCCTGGTCAACAACTGATTCATCTGGTACTTGGAGACCAATAACCTCCTTAGTGACATCCAATGTGGTTTCCGAAAAAAACTGAAGTACCATTGACCATTTGGTGTGTTCTGAATCATTTATAAAAATATTCTATTGTTAACAAACAGCATACTGTATCTATATTTTTACTTCAAAAAAGCATGTGGTGCAATATGGAAACATGGAATCTTAAAAGATTTGCATGAATTTGGATTGAGGATCAGATTACCTCAGTTTATATCTCAGCAACAATTAACAGTTACTTAAAGAAGATAATTCTCACCCACAATCAACATAACCAAAAACTGAGACTCCATGTCCCCCTGTTTTATTATGTAATTCAGGGCATGAGTGATAAAATTCAGAAATAAATCCACAAAATGTTTATGACTTACTTTTTTAAACTTAAAAGAAGGTGGTACCCCTTTTCATCAAGCTTCAAGAAGATTGGAATTTACATGAACAGTATATGAATTCAAAATTAGGTTGCTACCCACCACCTGCCGACTATTAAAGCAAATAGCATGAGTCAGGATAGGTAAAATATGTATTTTATAGAGTGACAATATTATTCTATACTTATCCTGACTCAAATACTTAAGTACCTCCCCACGCTCCCCACACCCACAACCATCTCCACTAAACTTTTTTGATTGTATGGAAATTACAAATATTGAGAAAGTGACAGTCACCATGGTCACTGATGTGGTGAAGGGCTGCATTTTGGGTGAGATGTTTTAACTGTTCTCTGGGAGCATAACACAGAAGGGTTCTACTGTATCACAGGTTAAGGGAGAGAGAAGCAAATAATATCAATCAGGATAAGAATAAAATAATATTTTTACTCCAAAATATACATACCTATTGTTGGAGGGCCATTTACATTGACATAAAGCTACTTTTCCATTGCCATACATTTACATTTTCTCATTTTGTTCAAATGTAAACATACTCTGATGATTGAAGATGAATGGACTTTGTTAATGTTATTGAATTCCAGGCTTATGTGGTGTATATGATGGCAACAAGAAAAATGATCTTCTCAAGAAAGATGGTGAAGTGTCTCTTGAAACAGACAAAGAGCCAAACATCTTTTCTCAAACTTGGAGGTAAAACTTGTGAACGTTTTAGCGTACACTTGAGTGTTTCATACAGTAGTATACAATAAAGTTGAAAGGTAAAGTTACATAGGCTGTTGTATATTCTGTTAAAATTCACTTACTTGTCCAGCACCCATCAGGTATTTGTGATTCTTAACCATGGAATTGGGAATCCCAATGGGATTTCTGTTCTGTAGTGATGTGAAGAGAAGGGATGATTGGCAGCAGGCTCTTTTCCAAGTTGTAGTCCGTTTGACTTCATTTTAGAGCGATGAATGGCTCACTAACACGAAATCTAATAATTGCAACAAAACCAAATTTTGCACAGTCACATGAAATCGACAGACCAGCTCTGATGATTTCTCTCATAATTTTTGGATGCCTGAATTAGAAAGTTGTTTAACAAGCGATCATATTTTGTTGTCACTTTTCGCTATTGCTTATGAGGGGATGAGGGGGGCAGGGCAGTTGCTGGTAGAACAGCCAGGTAATCGACAAGCATGAGCAGTGAAATTTCAATTTCACACGTCGCACGCCTGGCTGTTCTACCAGCAAGTGGTCCTCCCTGGTAAGAAATAGCAAAAAGTGACAACAAAATAATGATCAAACGGACTGTTCCTGAGTAGTGGCTGATCACAGGACTCTGGTAGTGTCTACCAACTCTGTTACTCCTGTGAAACGACCTAACGTCCTAGGTAAAGTAACACCATTGAAGGCACGATCTCTTTACCCATAGTTGATGTGTTCAATATGGGTATCTTTGGCCAGATCATACCTTCACTCAATGCCAGCCTTAGTCTAAGCTTTTGCATGAGGTACAATTTGCCAAACAACTGGTCAGGAATGATGACAGTGAAGAGGATGTTTGCAAATAATCTAAGGATTAGAACTATGCACAATGATAACTATTGTTTGATGTTTACAGGGTATCAGAAGAAGATTCTCTGTATGATGGCTTCTGTGGTGTGGCATTGTCAGAGGCATCAACAGCATCCCAGGTTTACTGTGACTGCATGTATGGGGAGGACGAAGTGTGTGCTAGGGGCAAGGACATCTTCTCATGTGACCAGGATCATGGCCGTGGAGGAGACAAGAGGAAGGGTTAGTTGCTATAAACATGTACCACAAAAAGTGCTTTATATACCCATTTCAGATTTCACATATTACACTCATTCTCAATAAAAAGGGGCATGTGTGTGTCTGCGCTCTGTTTTCCTGGCTTTCATTTTTAGTTGATTCTTTTGCATTTTGCAACATTTCACTACCCCTACTACAGATTTAAACAGCACGTGTCTGCTACATGTCGGGAATAACTGAAATATATCCAATTGATTGTTAATTTTGAAACATACGTGACTGTCGCTGCAAGTGGTATACACACCTCAAACGACAATCAGTATGTAATTTTCATTAATGATAACCTGGTTAACAGGCTGTAGTATTTTGCCTATCAAAGAAACTAAACAGGAAGTTAAAAAAGTTTATTGTCAAGTCTAAACTGTCTGTTGTCAGTCTGTAATTTATGAAAATGACCTTGGCAAGTGATTTTACATGTGCCACTGTACCGGAGTACACCAGCAATTTTAAACTTATTTCCACCCCTGATATGTAAGATGGTAACGTACATTTCAAATGTGCTTCAAGTTGATGGAGGGGATAATGAAGTGGAAATATCCTTTTTGGAGAAGTGAGTTAATGAATTTTATGCCGCTTTTTGCAATATTCCAGCATTATCACGTTATGGAACACCAGAAATGGGCTTCGCACGTTGTACCCATGTAGGGAATCGAACCCTGGCCTTTGTCGTGACGAGGGAATGCTTTAACCACTAGGCTATCTCACCGCCCATTTTTGGAGAAGAAAGAGCAGTTTTTTCAGTATCCTAAATGTCATGATGTCATATGGTTTCCAGCTTCTGATGTGTTGTGATAGGTGAACCTGTTCCTGTAGGCAAATCTCAAAGAATGCTGAAATTGGATGCTGTTGAGAAGCACAGAGTGTTGGATTTATTTGCAGTTTTAGATTTCAATTACAATGTAATTGAAAGTGTGATTTCTTGTTTCTCGGTCAAACCTTACTGATTGTATGGAGGATTACAAATCATGGATCCATAGTCTGATTGTAAAATGTGCCCAATGAGAGTCCCAGCAGTACGATTTAGTATCAAACTTGGATGTGAGAGATGATTTTACCGATTTGAAAATGAAGGTTGCTTTAAAACAATTTATGTTGTTTTTAAATCATCTTAATTTCTTCTGTCTTTTGAAGTGAAATTTGTGGTTTTATCTGATAATTCATAATTTCAGAACTGTGCTACAAAGGCAGAGATGTATGTTCATGCATTACTTTTAAGAAATGAACACATTCTAGAAATGTTCTTGTCTCTAAACATGTGTATTTTGTGGACATCACATAAACCAATTAATGTAGTTTGAAATTACATGGACATTGTTTTGGGCTGAAAAGATGACCTTTGAAGATCTCGACTGGAACTCTTCTTTGATATTCATGACAGTTATTTGGTTATTTATCACTTGAATATACTCCACTATGGTAAGGAAGAAGAAAATATATCTTAATATCTCTGTTTAATACTAATCTACGTAATTGAGTATCGCTTTCACTGTAATGTACATTACTTAGCTATATTTTTGGTAACTCTGAGTCACAAAATAGTATGTTTAAAACAAAGATTACACAACAACTCTTGTTGTTATTTATGTACCTAATAGACTTTTTCAGCTTTTGATGTGGTTTTATTGAAAATGAGTGATTAACGCACTGTTGTAAAGGGTCGACAACTATAGCATCTTCAATGCTCAAAACATTGATCGTTTTCCCTCCAAACAAATTGAATTCATATAAACAAGTGAATGTAGTTACTTTCAAGAGGGTACTGATATCAGAAGTGACAGGTGACATTGACGTATATGGTGATTGACAGATAGTCGGCCAGTACAGTGAAAGTAATGCTGAATGTGTGTTCCATGATTTTGTCAACTATCATCTGTTCACAGGCAAAGACATAACACAAGCTCTACTAGAAGAGGCTGTTGTTCCCCTCAAATGTACCTCAAGTGAACCAAGAATCATCTTCGAGTTTGACATTACATATGTACATAAGGTAACGGTTGTTCCCAGTGAAACTTAATGTGTTTAGATCCACGTATTTGTATTGCAGCATATTTTAAATTGTACTTTCTAAAGGTTTATCTGTTTTGAGGCAGCTGCAGAAAACCATTACTAATTCCCTTGTACATATGAAGAAAGATAATAAAGTCATTATCTTCTATCATTTCCAAATTGTATACAAAATCCAGTGTATGAAATAAGCCAAAAACCCAGCCAGACATCTCAATAAAATGTTGATAAAATATCTTCCTGATAATGTTTAGAGTTTGAAACATTTATAAAGGGCAGTAACAAGTAAGTCATTTCTAATAAGGAAATACCCATGATCATAGAGCTGTTGTAGACCAGAACCACATACCAGTTTAAAAATTATGAGTTGTCTATCCCTTTCTCAAAAAATATTAGCATCCCAACTGTAAGCCCCTAAGCCCTGATCCCAACAAATGTGTGTTTACAATGTGGCCACATACTGGTCATTATACTTCTTATTTCACCATATATACCCTCTATGTTGAAAATTGAAATTTGTTCTTTATTTTGTCATGTGTGGATATATCATTGTAAAATTTGATATGGACTGAGCTTATTAATATGTTTGTGCAGTGACATATAACAAAACATATTTCCTTTTTGTCCTTCGCATAGAATCAACTATCAAGTTAAAACTTCAACATACCCTGAAATGACTGATTACTTGAATGTTGATTCTTTTGAGTCTACTGATCAGGTATTGTTTTCATGTTTTCAGACCATTATTTTTGGCATCACAGAATTTGAAGCTGCAGATTTCTGTAGGTCACAAGTACAGATATCTCAATCAGCCCGGACATGCAAGGGAATCATAGAGACAAAGTTTAACCTGGCTGTAGATTTCTGTGTAGAAGATTTGTTGGTGAGTTTCAACAACGTAGAAGGCAATGTGTATTCAGGATTCAGGGATTCTTATAGACAGATGCAGAAAGGTAGTGCTCTTGCTTCTCACAGACAGGTGTAGAAATGTGCACTTGCTTCTCACAGACAGGTGTAGAAATGTACTCTTACTTCTCACAGACAGGTGTAGAAATGTGCTCTTACTTCTCACAGACAGGTGTAGAAATGTGCTCTTACTTCTTACAGACAGGTGTAGAAATGTGCTCTTACTTCTCACAGACAGGTGTAGAAATGTGCTCTTACTTCTTACAGACAGGTGTAGAAATGTGTTCTTACTTCTTACAGACAGGTGTAGAAATGTGCTCTTACTTCCTACAGACAGGTGTAGAAATGTGCTCTTACTTCTCACAGAGAGGTGTAGAAATGTGCTCTTACTTCTCAGACAGGTGCAGAAAGGTAGTGCTCTTACTTCTTACAGACAGGTGTAGAAATGTGCTCTTACTTCTCACAGACAGGTGTAGAAATGTGCTCTTACTTCTCACAGACAGGTGTAGAAATGTGCTCTTACTTCTCACAGACAGGTGTAGAAATGTGCTCTCAGGTGCAGAAAGGTAGTGCTCTTCTTACAGACAGGTGTAGAAATGTGCCTTACAGGTGTAGAAATGTGCTCTTGCTTCTCACAGACAGGTGTAAAAATGTGCTCTTACTTCTCTCACAGACAGGTGTAGAAGTGTAGTGCTCTTGCTTCTCACAGACAGGTGTAGAAATGTGCTCTTACTTCTTACAGACAGGTGTAGAAATGTGCTCTTACTTCTCACAGACAGGTGTAGAAATGTGCTCTTACTTCTTACAGACAGGTGTAGAAATGTGCTCTTACTTCTCACAGACAGGTGTAGAAATGTGCTCTTACTTCTCTGTGCTCTTACTTCACAGGGTGTAGAAAGGTAGTGCTCTTACTTCTCACAGACAGGTGTAGAAATGTGCTCTTACTTCTCACAGACAGGTAGAAATGTGCAGCTTCTCACAGACAGGTGTAAAAATGTGCTCTTACTTCCTACAGACAGGTGTAGAAGTGTAGTGCTCTTGCTTCTCACAGACAGGTGTAGAAATGTGCTCTTACTTCTTACAGTCAGGTGTAGAAATGTAGTGCTCTTGCTTCTCACAGACAGGTGTAGAAATGTGCTCTTACTTCTGTAGTGCACAGACAGGTGTAGAAATGTGCTCTTACAGACAGGTCTCACAGACAGGTGTAGAAATGTGCTCTTACTTCTTACAGACAGGTGTAGAAATGTGCTCTTACTTCTTACAGACAGGTGTAGAAATGTGCTCTTACTTCTTACAGACAGGTGTAGAAATGTGCTCTTACTTCTCACAGACAGGTAGAAATGTGCTCTTACTGTAGAAATGTGCTCTCAGACAGGTGTAGAAATGTGCTCTTACTTCTTACAGTGCTCTTACTTCTTACAGACAGGTGTAGAAATGTGCTCTTACTTCTCACAGACAGGTGTAGAAATGTGCTCTTACTTCTCACAGACAGGTGTAGAAATGTGCTCTTACTTCTCACAGACAGGTGTAGAAATGTGCTCTTGCTTCTCACAGACAGGTGTAAAAATGTGCTCTTACTTCCTACAGACAGGTGTAGAAGTGTAGTGCTCTTGCTTCTCACAGACAGGTGTAGAAATGTGCTCTTACTTCTTACAGTCAGGTGTAGAAATGTAGTGCTCTTGCTTCTCACAGACAGGTGTAGAAATGTGCTCTTACTTCTTACAGTCAGGTGTAGAAATGTAGTGCTCTTACTTCTTACAGACAGGTGTAGAAATGTGCTCTTACTTCTTACAGTCAGGTGTAGAAATGTGCTCTTACTTCTTACAGTCAGGTGTAGAAATGTAGTGCTCTTGCTTCTCACAGACAGGAGTAAAAATGTGCTCTTACTTCTTACAGTCAGGTGCAGAAATGTGCTCTTACTTCTTACAGTCAGGTGTAGAAATGTAGTGCTCTTGCTTCTCACAGACAGGGGTAAAAAAGTGCTCTTACTTCTTACAGACAGGTGTAGAAATGTGCTTTTACTTCTCACAGACAGGTGTAAAAATGTGCTCTTACTTCTCACAGACAGGTGTAGAAATGTGCTCTTGCTTCTTACAGACAGGTGTAGAAATGTGCTCTTGCTTCTTACAGACAAGAGGTCAGAAGAAGGTTCTGTGTTCTTGGTCTGACTGATGGTTTGAAAAAGACTTTGTGTTATTGGTTAATTACAGAGAGAGAAAGGCTGTATTTTGGGTCAGAAGTATGGTCAAAGAAACGCTGTGTTATGGGTCTGACGTACATGGACAGGATGTTATGCCTCCTACCTGCTAATGAATTACTAAATAGATTTTTATTATAACTGTACAATGTATATTATATGACAGATAACTGGGAACTTCACCTGGATGGAGGTGTCCCGTGAAAACATCAAGGAGCTGTGTACAATTGCCATAGAGAGGAACACAGACCTGTGGCTTGAGGTTGATGGAGAAACACAACTGCCGGCTGTCATCGACGCCATATGTCCTAATGAGTGTAGTAACAATGGCAACTGCACTCTAGGTAACTCAGCCAAACTACTTCATTCATTAATCTATTTATTGTATTGTGATGCATGTCAGTCTGTCGCTGTAAGTGAGTGTTTGGGCATGTCTTTGTGTCATGCATATACCAGAACACAAAGATGTATGATGTCATTCTGTCGTATGTTTGCTTCCATTCATATGACAACAGGAACTGGAAGCCGTTTCATGTAAACCAACATTACAAAAATGTTGAAAAGGTAGGTAGGTATGAGGGACCTGTGGCTAAGGCTACTACTGACCTTACTGTGTTTCAGGAAACTGTGAATGTAACACAGGCTATGCAGGTCCAGACTGCTCCATCAACCTCATCGACCCTCCTCGGATCTTCTCTGTCAAGGGAGGCTTGCTCTGCGACACTTTGCTGTTTCGCTGTAACATTGTCACTATATTTGGGTTTGGCTTTGCAGAGAATGACAATCTCACCTGTAACTATCAGAAGATCACGGTGAGTTACTGGAATGATATAGTGCATAATTAAGAGTGCCATGAAACAAGCATTTCCTTCAATTAAACCACTAGGGAAAGTTATGTCCATTGTTCTTGGAAGTGTTTTATTATCATAACTGAATAACTGCCCTAGGGTAATTATTTCTATTTAAAAACAATAAAATTGTACTTATTTCGATTATCATGCCTAATACATTACCTGCGTATTAAATAAGTATGCCCTTGTGGTGTAAGCCGTGTAATCACCCTCACTACAGTAGTTATTTAAATAAACTCTTGTAAGGGTGATTAACCTATACATACCCTACCTCTGTTATGTCATAGCCATAAATTCCACATTTTGGCTGTCATTATATCATATTATCTGTTAGATTTTCAGCGGGGATTCTCTTCACTCCCAACCTATCCTATGATTAGTTTTGAGGTAAACCGTACCCTCAATCCAAAGCAACTGCACATATACAGGGCAGAAAGATATCACATATTTCTAAAACCCTATACTGACAGGATGGGGATAGACTGGTGTAATAGAGGTAGTATTCTTTAGAATTATACATAAAAATAACTTTTGTTTGATCAAAATGAAACCAAGTAAACACATGTACATGTATTTAAGAGAGCAAAGCTACTTTTCCCAAGACACTGAAAGTAACATTCATCACTTATTTGTTATTTTGGAGAGAAACAGCGTTTTGCCTCCTGAAATTTAGAGTGAGTTAAAGCTTTGTGATATACAAATGTGGGGTGACATGTTAAGATCACTGCATGCAATATAACATCACCTAGCAACTAATGAAGATGTGGTCTGACCTGTTTGCCATCTATCCACATGTGTGTGATGAAGAAAGAGTGGGCAAAGTGGGCTTACAGTTTATTCAAGATCAGTTTCTAAGTCAAGCACAAACATGACATTTACCAAGCTACAAATGACTTCCAAACATGTTGGTCTATCATCATTCTGTTTTTGGCAAAAACTTATGGATGGAAAGATGGAAATACAATATTTTTGAACGTATATCTAAGAATCCTGTTGTGCACTGATTAGATGGGAAATTGATTGTTCAAAACCAATAGAGGTCAGCTCTATTTTGTATTTGGAGTGGCCTCTGTATGACAGTGAGACTAATTTTGATTTCCCACTACTTTTGTAGAGTAAAACAACTATGACAGTATCAGGAGACATCATCCAACTGAAGGCTGTGTTTGTGTCACAAGAAGAGGTGAAGTGCAAACTACCATCCAACGACAGTTATGAAGTCTCTGTCAGCAACAATGGCGATATTTTCAGTGATCCCATACTGTTTGTTGTGTTCTCCTCTGTATGTGAGACATGCACAGAGCGAAGCTGCAATGACAGGGTAAGATAGGATCACTAGCATCTTAGTTATTTGTGCAATTCTTCCTGATCCTTTTTGAAGGATGCATGTTCCTTATGCCAACTTGTAACCAAGCAGCTGGACATGTGATTACATGAATACATGGCCCAGTACAGGAACACTTAGGGCTCACATTATGTACTATATGTACTGAGAGTTACAGATCCCTTCTGTGGTGCAATTCCTGATCTCAAGGTAAAAAATAAACTTTCCACTTCAATACACCATTACAGAATAATTTGTGACAAAAAGTTGTTTGGGGCTGCTCATGTATTTAGGAGATTGAAGAGTGGGTTTTAATTTGCAAGCCATAAATTTCATTAATTTTTGTCAACAGCTTGATCTTTGGGGCTCATGTACTCGTGGAAATCAACTTGTATCATTGTGTGTATTAGTATGTTTAGCCTTGTAGTGCCCTAAGCATTTATCTTGGCTTTAAATGTCATTGAGTCAGTCAACCATTGTATATAGCATTCACACTTAACAGCTCATTAGAGGTATATAGATACGCTTCAGTTCTTCAATTATTCAAACTTTCATTTATGTTCTTTTGTCAAGTGATATTTTTAAATAACTAAAATGTTCACATTCAATATGGCACAAGGGCTTGATGATATTCGATACTGGCATTGAAAACTGTTTTTCTTGTGTCCAAACAACATGACTTGACTGTTTCAATTTTAATGGATACAGAAGACATTTCTCCATTGTTCTGCAAAGGTTGAACAACACTTCTCCCAGAGAAAGGAGATTTAAATGATCTCCCAAACTCCTGCCCAATTACATGTCTGAATGCACAATACAACATATTTACAGGGTGTCTTTCAAGCCTTGTGTCATCATACTGCTCCTCTAATAATATTATTTACAGAAAGGAGCCCCAAACTTATTATAGGCGTAAACATTCCCTCTGGATTATGGTTGCCTTATTCATGTGGATTTTTTAACTAAGTCATAGCTATCCCTATTGGTATGCTTAAAAGAGTTATGCAGTTATCTCCCCTGACTGTGACGTCACAACATAGTTGTTGAAAACCTCTCATAATTTTTCTGTATGGACAACACAGAAGACGTGTTTTCAGAGTGGAAGTATTTTCAAAATTTTCAAAAACTACAAGACTCCCGGTCAGTAGTGTCGCATTGGTTGATGTTTCTGACCATCGCATTCTATATTTTGTACATATTGCTTGCGTTTTATGTTACTTTATTGAACTCTACTTTTCCCGCCAAAAAGCACATGTCACAAGCGCGTATCTGCACTTGTTTTGTCTGCGCCTCGTGCTTCACGAGTCCTCCCTCAATTTTCAAAGAACTACAAGACTCCCGGTCAGTAGTGACGCATCGGTTGATGTTTCTGACCATCGCATTCTATATTTTGTACATATTGCTTGCGTTTTATGTTACTTTATTGAACTCTACTTTTCCCGCCAAAAAGCACATGTCACAAGCGCGTGATCTGCACTTGTTTTGTCTGTGCCTCGTGCTTCACGAGTCCTCCCTCAAAATTTTCAAAGAACTACAAGACTCCCGGTCAGTAGTGACGCATTGGTTGATGTTTCGACTCAGTCTGTTGATCTGTCGGCGTCCACGGGACAAACACAGACACAGCTGGCTATCCATCCAACCATCCCAGACGAGACCACGGGTCGAGGTCTGTCGGACTGGTTCATGCTGGCATCGGGTATGGTTCCATGGCTTCTGACCTTCCCGTCCTGCCACCCCCCTATGCTGGGGACCCACGGGATCCCTCAGCGAAGGGGATCTTCCGGCCACCGTCCTTCCGGCCACGCCGTAGCCATGGCTGGTCGGTGGGTTGGCATTTCGGGATACGCTCCGGATCAGCCTGACACGGATGTCGACGAGGTCGACGGATGGCAATCGTTTTTTTTTTGCGTGCCTGGTGGGGTTGTAGCCGCAACAGCTCAACCGCAGCGGCAGTGGTTGGGGCACGCCCCCGGGGTCGTAAGTCGTACAACTCGTATAACGCCGGCAAGAGCCATAGCCTAGAGTCTATATTTTGTAGACTGTTGGGATGCTTTATAGTCTGTACCCGGGAAGTCGAGTCTCAACCATGGAGTGAGCATATTAAGTTTTCACGCCTCACTGAACAATATTCCAGTTTATGGCGGCGACCTATAATTCATCAAGTCTGGACCAGACATTCCAGTGATCAACTTGAGCTTAGATCTACGCACTTGGTGAGGTGGGGTGGCATTGGGTTTCACGTCGTCCTTGAGAATATTTCGTTCATATGACTACGTGCATGCGTGTGTATGTGTATGTGTGGCTGCTTGTACTAACCCAGACTTCAGCTGGGTTTATAGTGCAAGCCCACTGAGATACCATACTGCAGTGAAGCATGAATACCCCACTCGGACACATTATACTGACTCCGAGGCGCCCAGTCCTTGTTGTACCCATTAATGCCGAGCGCCAGGCAGGGACGAACAAGTACCATATTTTAACGTCTTTTGGTATGACGCGGTCTGGGATCGAACCTGCGACCTTCCGCTCTCCGGGCGGACGCTCTAACCACTACACCACGGAGGTGGTTTCTACGCACTTGGGATACGGTGACACATTATGTTCCCCACGTCACCAGGTCTCACCATCCGATCCCATTAGTCACCTTTTTACGACAAGTCGACGGGTCTCACATGCCATCTCTTTGCCATCCTTCTCTGGTTAATGGCATTTGCAATTCTCACCTTAACTCCTGGTATAAGGGACTCGGGGGTTGTCGATCTCGTCTCCCCTCGACAATCTGTTACGCTTGGCATTGTATAAGGTAGCTATATATTTTTTCATCATCTGAGCCTATTACTTTGTCTACTACTTCGGGTATTTACCCGTTCCATTGGAATCTACCTCCGGCCACGGCTTCCAAACAACCCGGTACAGTTGTTTAAAGTACTCTGTATCATATACATGAGTCTAAGTGTCCCCCGCCATGATATTGCTGAATTGCTAAAAGCGGCGTAAAACCAAACTCAGTCAGTCTAAATGGCATAGCACCAGAATTTCTAATCGTTTCAGTGAATTGACCCTTCAACCACCCAGACAACTGCGATCTGGAAGCAATTCTTATTGAATACTCCTTCTTACAGACTGCCTTGGCCTCTTATTGAGAATGCTCTTTCAGTGGTTGCGCGCGCCATCACTGTGGAATAGTCTGTTCCTCGCTATAAACTGTTTCAATGTTTTAATTGCGTTCAGATCACATCTTTCAACGCATCTTTCACTGTACTATTAACTCAAACCTCACTTTGTAGCACTTGAGCATCCACCTTGTGGTTGGATTTCGCGATATGTAACTTTCGTTATTATTATATTATTATTATTACTGAATTAGCAACAACACGGCTATATTCGAGGCCTGGGTTCAGCTCAATCCGCTGTCCCACGAGGCGTCGGCAGTTCAGGTAGTACATGCGTCAGACCAGGTGACGGCCAGGTGAATGAATCAGATAACGGCGATGACACGTGCGTTTTCTTGCCAGCATGCACTGTCAGCTGAGCGCTCCATGGGAGGTACGGGCGATATACCGTTAGGTTGGAAACAAGCCTGATATCCAGTCACTGAATACAGGCAAGTGTGTTTATTCATTTGCCTCTATATAACCAGCAGGGTACCTGGGTACCTGGTGGGATAAATCGTGTGGCTATTCAATTTTCTTGCGCCTCTTGGCAGCCGGGGTTATCAGGGGTAATAACAGGTAACATGTCAACACCTTGAGCATGTGCCTTGTACCTGGAAAAGGCGTGTTATAGGGCACATTTATTGTTCTAACAAGTGCCTATTCTCCCTCTGCATTCTGACGGATCTTGGAAGGTGTATTCTGTCGTTCGTTTACTTTTTCATCATCCTCATCTCCCTAAACACGTTCATGGCATCTTCCGTTGGTCTACCTACTTCTGCCATGCTTTGCGACCTTGTGTTCAGCTGGGCCCTGTCTCGCTTATAGCTCGCGAGTGCAACGGGAGCCGGGAACCAGCTTAGACCTTGTGTAAGCTACAATATAATGAATTATTTCATTGGCTGATAAAAAGTATTTACTGCGGACTGAATGACGCTGATTGGCCGAGAGCTCATACATTGTAAATGGCCACCGTAAACATCTCGTTGTTAGGTTGTAGAGTGTTACGGGCGGACATGAGTTTAATCATGGGTTTAATCAATGGCGCATTGATTAGTATGTCCTTTTCTTTGAAGGTACGTTTCTTTAGACATATGACGCTGTAAGAATTTTATGCACCATGTGGGACATTATTCTGTGATCTCGTGTCTGCGTTCACTGTACAACGTAGCTGGACAATTCAGTCACAATATTGTAAATACGGAGGCTTAGCATCCTCGGCTAGGGGTATGGATAGACAGGCCCATGTCAACCTTGTTAAGGTGGGGTTGTTTTTTCCTTGCCAGTGCTTCCAATTGATAAGGATTTCTCACATCTGTTCTCGAATTATCCCAAACTTTCGTTCACATTTAAATCATGTTCCTCCTAGTCCAAGGGAGTTTTTAGGTTTTAGCCCATGCCTACTAGATCGATATCTTTTCATACGGCGGTTGCCTTGTCTTGGGTATTGGGTAGCTTCCTCACCCAGGTTTTGAGGATTATTTGGCAATTAATCAAGATACCGTGGTGGTCATGTCAGCCCACGAGGGATGATTGCCCACTCCTCTTTGGATGTCGTTTTTTCAGGCAGTTTTCTGATGCCCATCACACTTGAGTGTTTGTGTTAGACTATTCGGCAGCACTAGTACCATCTCGCCTCTTGACTGGAGAAGAACTTCCAGAACAATCCAATGATGAAATTGTTTCACCAATCTCTGGATATTTTTCATTGTTCTGATATCGATCCTCCATTTTTTATGTTGAGGGGAATTCAGATTTCTTAGCAGATTTCTATCTTTATCTTTGTGATGTTAAGACACTGAAACAGTCCTATGGTGGACTACAGATCAGCAATCGTTTCTGTTTAGGATATACAAGGACTAGCAGTGGTTCTAACAGCTTGATCTACAAGCCGCTTAGATCATTCCAGTTACGAATTTAATTCTTTATTTTCTATTTTATTTTTTCAGCTCCTAGTCCTTCAATCTTCCCCAAGTTGGCTTTATGTCTCATTCTGTAGTCCCTCCAGAAGTCTTCCAAACCTATGTAGGAAATTCCTTGACATTTCTTTTCCTTAACAGGTGGGGTTTCTCCTTGTCATTGATACAGCTTCCAGTTTCAGAATACCAGAATTTTTTGCCATAGACTTTAGCCAATCCCCTTTACAGGAGGCTATGGATGGCTGTCATGTAGCACTTTACCAGTTTTTTTCTTGCCAAGAATCGGGCATCTGCTAGCGGTCTCTCCTCCACAGAGTATCCCAGATTCAAGTATTCCCTACATCTGCCTCTAGATCAGACTGAACTAGAGTCCTATGACCTATTCATAGGACTCTATGATATCTTCAGCGTACTCTCCATATCAGACGTATTTGCCGCTGTTTTTTTATCTCATGCAAGACAATTGTTGATTTGGAGATCTTGATTGCATATTATATCGTCTTGGCTTAGGAGGACCATCACTTTTGTTTACCAGGACTGTGACCCCAACTTAGTGAACAATAGTTTTCCCTGCATGAGACCAGGGCCTGGATGTTGTCACTTGCAGCTTGGGGGTCCTTTTCCATAGATCAGATTGTTACTGCATGCCAGTGGAAAATATCTAATCCCTACACCAATTTACTTTTGAGAAACGTCATTCCATCCTTAGAGAGCCTACTGACAGCGCCTCTCCTTCAGGCTCCACCTGTTTTTCCCTTGAGGGGGACAAAGAAGGTGTGTGTGTGTGTGTGTGTGTGCTGATATATCCAAACTCAGCAGTGGTTCACTGTTTTGGACTGTGAGGGAGGAAACAGGTTAACAGTAAACGGAAGGATGAGGATCTTTGAAGAACCTTATCTATTAATATTTATCACCAGCAAGTGGAATTATTATATCCGCTGCAGTTTATTACTCCAGTTAAATAATCTACGAGAAGACTTGAAATCATGAACCGGAAGTGACATCATGAACCGGAAGTGAAGTCATGAACTGGAAGTGACGTCACAGAAACCGGTTAAAATGAGAATCGGTCAAATAGACTATTACAGAACCGGATATGAGGTCTTGGACCGGAAGTGACGTCACAGTCTTCTCCAAAAACCAAATATTTCTCCCTCACGAGTATGATCCTTCCCTTTAGGTAATTGAATACTAGAATATCTAGGGAATGATCTTGGTAATCCATATAATTACATTTCATCACCTAAGTCATAGTTATCCTAATTGTTATGTCATAGACTATAACGGGATAATTAGTGGTATTGCTGTATTCATCATCTGCATAAACCCTCCTTCCTTATGTGTGATTCTGGCAACAATAATCCAGAGGGAATGTTTACGCCAATAATTAGGAACAATTACATGTATCGTTAGTAATTATTAGTAAACTTACCTCTGGATTATGGGATTAAGTGCCCGCGCCAACCTCCCCACGAGGAGATGCAGAAGATGTTAGTTTTTCTTCTGAAAAATTATGAGAGGTTTTCAACAACTATGTTGTGACGTCACAGTCAAGGGAGATAACTGCATAACTCTTTTAAGCATACCACTAGGGATAGCTATGACTTAGTTAAAAAAATTCATCTCCATTCTGTATGTGTCTGTGGAATCCACAGGAATAAGGCAACCATAATCCAGAGGTAAGTTTACTAATAATTACTAGCAATACATGTAATTGTTCCTGATGTTGGCATCACAAAGATCAATTGCAGGATAAACCAATGATCCTTGAGGAGGCAAAAACTTTCCTTCCTAACCTCTCATTACCCGGTATGTTAAATAGACAACAGAAAAGCCTACAATGTATGTTTCTTTATGGATGGATTTTGAGGTCACTAGACTAATGACATCCGTGAATGATTACTTTTTTCTCTCAAGTCTTTTATGAATTGCTTGAGATAGTTTGCAGTGGCAGCTAAGGACTTTAGAACCCATTTCTGTTTATAGAGGAATATTTCAGGGAAATGGTGGTAGTTCCTTGCTTTTCTGTTTGTCACTCAATGCATTTAGTTACTTGCTCAACACAGTTTAACTCCTCAGCTCCCCAAAACCTTATTCACCTTCTTTCCATGGATGAACTTAAACATATTGCCTTATAAGAGAAAATGCTCATTTCAAGAACAGATTCTCTTCATCAAGTTTTTTTCCTATGGCTCTGGTATGTTATTCAAGCTGGACAAATGTAACAATCTTTATCTGAAACATGACAAGATAGAAGGTGGGTCTATATATCCCAGTTAGTTGATGACTGGACAAAACAATGTATTGACACCCTCACATAAAGAATCACATTAGACAATTGAGCCCACCACCCTAGCTCTTTACTCAATTGTATATATTTATCAATTTTAATAAGAGGCTGTGGTTTGATAAATGTGTATAAAACCAATGGAATTATTTATATCAGTAACTGATTGTCCCTTTAAACACAAATGTGATTTACAGAATTAATTTTTTGCACACTATTCTCAAAAAGTAATTGACATTTCAGGATGATATATGCATGATTGATGGCAACTGTTATGAGGATGGATTCACTAATCCCTCTGATGAATCCCAGATTTGCAGTCTAAACATGACAACCACCTGGAAGGTGATAAATGGTGAGACCCTTTAGTTACCTGATTGAAAAATATGATGTGCCATTGTGATGGATATCCAATGATTGAGGGAAAACAAAGAGCCTTTGAGCAGTTGTACTGGATATTGGCGCTATACAGATGTATATATGTGTTTGTGTGTTTGTGTGTGTGTGTGCGCGCGCGTGTGCGTGCGTGCGTGTGACAAAGGGATATTTATGTTTCGCTAAAAGTCATATTTGTTATAGATGATCACATGTCAATAAACTGTTTTCGCAGTGGAAATAGCGAAATCGCATGAAAACACATCAGTGACTTGTCAGACTGGTGGCATAAAAATTATCTGGCAGCGCATCAAAGATGATTACTGTTACTTCCAGAGTTCATTTGCTTTAGTCGTTTCATTTCATTTCGTCTGCCCATGTGACAAAACAGCAAAGTGTCTTTCTCATCCTTAACTCAATGTTTGGAGTAGCGTTACATTGTGTACTGTAATTGTCTAATCAGGCTTATCTGATTACATATTGCCACTTGTGTTTGCTATGTTAAAGACAAATGTATGAAATAGTACTTGTATCTTAACTGGGATTGCACAGTATTACGGGTATACAGCAATACACTTTTCAAATGATGCTTAGTGTAATATTTTTTATGAGAACCGGTATATTGGGTATATGGAGTTTTGGGGATTATCTTTATGATTTAAATTAAAATCTACACAGACTTTCATCTTCAACAGATGTTTTCCTTCATTATTCAAAGATAAAACTGCATACTGTAATACTATATATTGTATAGAAAAAGAAAGTAGAACCTCTGACAATGCAACCTTATTTTGAGATTGCTGTTATCAGAACCATAACATATATCTTTAGGGACTTATGATGCAGAACATAGGAGCGACATATGCAATAAGTGTCACTTACTGTGACACACTTAAGTTCCCAATATATCGCAATACGGGTACTTGAATTGCAGTACATTGCAATACAATTTATTTGCCAATATACAGCCCAAATATTAACCTATGTCTATATTCTATTATGACTATTTTAAACATACATGCTCATCACATGTTATTGCTGTTCCAGGTGGGGACATTATAGTGTATCGTCTAAGCTTCTTGGAGATAATTGGTGATGTTCTCAAAACAACAGGCTTTAACCTGATTTTGCAAGGAGCCCCTGACCTGGTAAAGAGTGTGACTGGGGGCCTGGCTATACAACTGAATGGTGTAAACCAGTCAATGATGCTTGCGGACAAGGCTTCTGAATGTATTGGTGATGTGGAGAAATGTACAACTGGACTCACAGTGTCTTTCAAGGTGAAATTCCTGAAGCTAACAGGAAACGAAGTTGACAAGATAATGGTGTTCAGTAGTGGTGCAGATAACAGCACGTCATATGGTATGGCGATGTGGTACTCCATCAAGTCCAAGCAACTCTGTCTTCGTGTCAGCACATCTACAAAGGAATGGACAGTCTGTACTCAAAAAGTAGCATTGGAGAGACTATTTGACTGCAAGTTTTCCTGGAGTATTCAGAAAGGACTGAAGCTTTGGTTCGATGGTAAGGTGGTAGCCACCCAGACAACATACATTCGGAGAACAATTAGAGTGACCAGACAGACAGAGTTCTACATTGGTAGAAGTGCTTCACTTACATCATTTGCTCACATCCTACTGGAAGGATGGAATGTTGCTTACACCACCGACACTGTAGCGGAAAAGCTGAATCTGGTCACAGGTAGGTTTTAGCTCCATATCTATTTGGTCAGTGTCTCTAGATAAAGGTAGATTGTAGCTCTATATATGTACTTAGTCATCCTTTCCAGCATACAGGTAGATTTTAACTCTGTTCTTGATCAGCCTTCTCTAGATACAGGTAGATTGCAGCTCTGTATGTACTTGGTTAGCCATCTCTGGATGCAAGTAAATTGTAGATCTATATATATATATGAGAAGTTCTAGATGTACTTGGTCAGGACATGGTTAATTGGTGAGCCTTTTGTGGATACCAGTAGGTAGTAGCTATTTATGTGCTGTTGGTTAGCTGTATAATGAGGTAGCTGACCAATGAACATTATTGTTGTATGTTGATGCCATGTTTCAGAGACACCTTCCTTTGAAGAGCGCGCCCTGAGATTTCAGTTCCATCTAACCAGTCTGAGGCCTCTGTCAGTGTGTACTGTACATTCCGTGCTCTGACAGCTGTGGGCCTGCAGTACCAGGTCATGTGGTATGTCAATGACACTGTGGTCAAGGTTGATGACATCGGCAACAACACGGTCTCTGTCCTGGCGGAAACTGGGTTAGGAGTTCTCTCCCTTGATAGTGAGGTGCGTACAAGCAATACATTCTTCTACAATGTAAACAATGTTTGATTCTGAATGAGGTTTTTTTTTACCCCAATAACTATAATCTGTTGTAAGTCATTGGTAGACATTTTGAAATAATCATATGTACAGGTATAGATGCAGAAGTTCAGGTTGTGGTTACTTCTCACATACCAGTGTGTGTTTAGTTTTGTTATGTTAAAATTAAGATAAGCATACTGCCCTTTCAACGCTGAGCTTGGGTAGTTTTAGATTCATCAAATTTAACATGGATTAATTGGGCAGTGGTGAAAGAAATACATGTGTACGCCTGTTTCTGAAACAAACCCAGAACATGTAACACTGGAGGTTCTACTATATGTTTGGTGGTACTATTTGATGTTGAATGCCACTTACATACTTTTTGATGTTGAATGTAACCAGATATCATGTGGAGTGTCAGCATGCTATGAGAACAACTGCAATTCTACAAGAGGAGCTGTCAAGAAAAGTGAAACTCTCAAGACATCAGTCAAGGTAACGTCATAATATGGGGAGTGATCATTTTCAGTTTGGAGTTTGTGTTTGTGGGTGCATGTGTGCATGCATAAGATATGTGTCCTGGCAGCATGCAAAGTGTTCAAGCCAAGTTACCATGAAAATACAGTGGTACAGATCACAAGCATCTCCGACATCCTCTTGAAGAGATTTACATATATAAATCACTGTGTCCTGCTGTCTTTGTAAGATCAGGTGTTATTTTGCTTACTAAGTAAATGTGTTTGACTCTAGTTATGTTGACACCATGTTCTAGGTATCTGTTACCGAGCTGACCATCACAGAAGGATCTAAGTCAGAGTACATCAGGGTCACCCTTCTATTTCCACCCCATGTGTACTGCCCAGGCAACCAGAAGTCTTTATGCAGTGTCCGTGTGAATGCTGTCCTGATTAAGGCTGAGGAAACCATTAAATGTGGAAATGGACGCGATTTCCCACAGGCTCTGATTGGTTGGACACAAAGTACACAAGGTGATGCCTTCTGTGGAGTCACCCTGACATCAGAAAATTGGCTGACAGGTGTAATGGTACCAGTCCGTGCAACATTGGATGGTTTAAAGGATAAAGACCAACAGCAAGAACTGCAGCTGCTCGCCAGTCTGGTTGTGTCAGATAAACCAACGGCCAGTTTTCTGCAAGCAACTGTTCTGGTATGTACCAGAGGCAGGACCAGATTTTAAATACATAATGTTGACACCCCATCATGATACAAAGTTGGTTTAACAGACCACTATGGCTGTGGTCATTGATATTTCTGTTTGGTTGCTTCAGTGTTTGCAGCTCAAATGTCTAACTCTGTGTATAAAAATGGTTGGCTGCACTCAACTTCTGGAGGTGTATACTTGGATATCCTGGTTACAAGTTTTATAAAATGTCCCCTTTGACAGGTACATGTCCAAACCATTTGGATTCTGATAATTTGTTTAACATATCCAGTTATCAACAGAACTGAATTTATTATATACTATACATATGGAAATTAATCAAGCAACACCTAATTCATAGACCTTTTGTTCTGTGAAGTAAGAAAACGGAGCATTTTACTGACTGATTTATTAGCATTTTGCATCTTGGTTGCTCAGTCTGTGAAAATATGTGCTGCTTAATTATTAGTTTCTGAACCTGCGAAGATTCGGTTTAGAATTGGTCATCAATCAGCAACCCATGCTTGGCACTGGCTTGTTAGGCTCACTGACTTGGTTGACACATGTCATTGTATCCTGATTGCGTAGATTGATGCTCATGCTGTTGATCACTGGATTTGTCTGAATTGCCATATGGCTGGAATGTTGCTAACTGTGACGTCATAGATATCTCTGCACATTCCACAAAGTTTAGTTTCATGATTTGTGGCAATTAATATCATTTTTATTTTAAAATTATAAAGTAAGAATGACATTGTATGATAATAGTTTATCACACTCGTGTGTTTTTGGATAGTTAATATCCTGCATTAGGAATAAACACTGTGTATACTACTCACACTTTGCTAAGGATCACAAAAATTCGCAACTTTACTTAAACGTATATTTATAAAATGAAATTGTATCCATTTGAAACTGGGTAAATAATGATATGGTAATACATCTTAAGGAAAACATCCACTTTAATCTAACCTTATGCACCTGATACATGTTTAACCATAAAAATGGCTTTCATAGCACCAATCATCCATTTTGCAAATCATGGCACAGGTCATTGACAAGTACACAACACCTGTCAAAAGCATCTACTGGATCCACAAGATGCAGTTACATACTGAAAACCTGGATCCATGCTTACAATAGGCTTAGATATTTAAACCAAATTTGACCCCACATCATAGTTTTCTGTTGAATCAATGATTTGATCCTTAGCAAAGTGTGAATAGTATATTTAGCGAGCCTAGGCACGCTAAACACAATGATTATTCCTAATGCAGGATATTATCCATCCCAAAACACACTCATGTGATAACTTACATGTCTTTCTGTTGGACTGAATAAAGACACAATCTCAACCTGTTTCTAGTTGACAGTAATTGATCGAGACAAGACTTCTATGTGCAGTGCTACTGGGGACCCCCACATTGAAACATTTGATGGAAGGTAAGAACTGGCATTCTAATTCAACTTAGTATGTAACACGAGTTCTGATTGGTCAATGCTATAAATTTCCGACCGTATAATCAGCATATACGGTCGCAATTTGAAAACCGTTTCAGCCAAACCTTTGAATGTATTCCTACACAATTGGGGTAATGCTGTTTTTCAGGGCATTGTCATTTGCAGAAGCCCTTGGCCCATTTACTCCCCTATCCAGCTAAAATTGGTGGAATGTGTGTTAAAAAAAGACAAAACAGTATCAAATATTTAATTTTAAGGTTCAAACAACTTACTCGCAACGGGCTGTTGACGCAACACTGTTAGATCATGAAACAAGATTTATGACGTCATTATGGAGCGTGACGTCACCTGCTGTGACGTCATTTCACAACAGAACTGATAATGGCCCGTAGTTGAGGAATCACCGGGCCGCTCATTTCTGATAACTAGAGAGTGGTTTCATCATTATTCCGTCCATTTTATCTATAACACTATGATTTATTCATCATTGTCAGATTTAGACAGTGTGCACATAATAAAGGTGTTGAAGATTGAATAGGGAACTACATTTTCTGGCGATGGTGTAAGTTCAAGGAGTGATATGATTAACCTTTGACCTAGAGGAACTTTGATCTGGTTTAAATAATGAATTTCTTTCACGAAAAAACAGCATAAAATGAGGTGAATTAGAATGGGGATAACTGTACTGTGTTTGACTAATTGGGGACGTGTATACCGGTCTGGTTATATAGCCGCAAATTTAACATTAACTAAAGTTGCGGCTATATAACCACCGGTATACGTCCCCAATTCGTCAAACACAGTACAGTTATCCCCTAAATATATTACAGCTGTCCCATCTGTCTGATATTTTGCCTGTCAAAGAGATTTAAAGAAATACTATTTATTATGTCTCAAAAATAGTTGTGTTACACTTTTGGAACAGTATTTCATGCATGTTGTGTCAATTTGTGTTTCAGAAAATTCAATGTTTACCTTGAAGGTGAATTCATCTTGTACAAGCACAAATTTCTCCCTGTCAAGGTAAGGCTACAAGTTTTTATTTCTTCCATTTAACATATGTATTGGAAACCGGAATCACTGTAACTGTTTTGTTGGCTCCACAGGTGACAACATTCTTCCGCCCATGCAACAAACGTCGGGGAGCAGCGTGTGTCTGTGCTGTCATGGTGATGTCAGGGGATGATGTCATTGTAATTGACAAGTGTGGAAAGGAGCAAGATGACCCGGACAAACAAAGGCCTATTCAGATACGGACATACACCAATGGAGAACTTACACCTGGTACAAAAATCTTTCAATACAACAATGGCAAGAAGACACAGGTATGTATAACAATAAGTGGAGCAGATGTCAACAGTGGTAAGGAAATATATATGTATGTATATAAACTTTCGTGATGTACCAAAGTCACCTATATTCACAGTACAATTAGTACACAATATTCATTCGTGAGTATCAACATATGACATTCATCAAAACTGTTTTTTTCAACAGGGGATAAATCTAAACTGAAATGCTTTCATTTAGATTTTCATGAGTCATGACATGTCACAAAACACTTTGTGTACTACATGTTGTTGTACTACATGAGATATCTGTCTGTCAGTGATGATGACTTGTTGTACACAAGATGTATGTCAGTGATCACTTGTTGTTAACTACATAAGATATCTGTCAGTGATCACTTGTTGTACTACATAAGATATGACTCTACATAAGATATCTGTCAGTGATGACTGATTGTACTACTTGTTGTCAGTGATGACTTGTTGTTACTAGGTAAGATGTCTGTCAGTGATGACTTGTATCTGTCAGTGATGACTTGTTGTTGTACTACATAAGATATCTGTCAGTGATGACTTGTTGTCAGTGATGACTTGTTGTTGTACTACATAAGATATCTGTCAGTGATGACTTGTACTACATAAGATATCTGTCAGTGATCACTTGTTGTTAACTACATAAGATATCTGTCAGTGATCACTTGTTGTACTACACAAGGTATCTGTCTGTCAGTGATGACTTGTTGTTGTACTACATAAGATATCTGTCTGTCATGTGATGATATCTTCAGTGATCACTAACTACATAAGATATCTGTCAGTGATCTTGTTGTTGTACTACAAGTATCTAGTGATGACTTGTTGTTAACTACATAAGGTATCTGTCTGTCAGTGATGACTTGTTGTACACAAGGTATCTGTCTGTCAGTGATGACTTGTTAACTACATAAGATATCTGTCAGTGATCACTTGTTGTACTACACAAGGTATCTGTCTGTCAGTGATGACTTGTTGTTAACTACATAAGATATCTGTCAGT